AGCTAGTGCCGTCGAGTTCGTCGAACTTCGGCAACCCTTGAATAAGGTTGCTCTCCTGCACCATAGTACTTCCTTTTCCAGAGTGGTAGTCTGCTCTTCTCGATAGTCCATCCGGCAGTGTAGCTTGTCTCCCAGGTCGATACACCATCTTAAACCTAAAGTTAGAAAGCTCTTCGACCCACCTGCCCTGCCTCGGGCTTAACTGCTTCGGTTCCATCCAGTATGTCAAGTTCAAGTGGTCCGTGAGAACTGTAGTTTCTACCTGTAACAGTAAGTGTCTCCTTCTTCTGAAAGCCTCAACGATAGCTAGTAGTTCCTTCTCGCCTACCGTGTAGTTTAACTGCGCCGCTTGAAACGCTCCTGACTCGATCGCTACCGGATGTTCTTGTCCTAACTCGTTCACCTGCGATATTATGAAACCCCACCCGAAGAACGAGGCATCTGTCTGTAGTAATGTCTTCAACGAGGGATCAAAGTGAGCCAATACCGGGGCCCTACACATTCTATCCTTCAACTCTTTAAAAGCTCTTTCCTGCTCCATACCCCAGACAAACGGTGCATCCTTTCTTGTGAGGTCATTGATCGGTTTAGCAATCCTAGAGAAGTTGGGGACAAAACGCCGATAATAACTAACGACTCCCATAAATCCTCTGCTCTCTCTTAGGTTCTTGGGACGGGGAAAAGACACAACAGCGTCGATGTACTCTGGATTACTAGAAACTCCCTCCCGTGAGACCACAAAACCCAAGAAGACTACCGAGTCCTTTTCAAACTCGCACTTACTAGCCTTGACGAACAGATTCGACCTTCGAAGAACTTCGAATACCTTCGCCGTAGTTCCTCTCAATTCTTCCAACGTCTGACCATAGATGAGTATATCATCTATATAGACAACTACTCCTTTCCCCAACAGTTCTCTGAAGCTTTCATTTAGGAAATGCTGGAATACAGCAGGAGCATTTCGCAGACCATCTCGAACAACAAGAGACTCGAACATACCGTACTGAGTTCTGAACGCCGTCAGGTGTTCGTGTCCTTCCTTTACCCGTAGGAGTTGATAAGCTCCAATCAGATCTAACTTGCTGAAGTACCTCGCTTTTCCTAGCTCTTCGGTTATCTGACCGATCAGAGGCAGTGGATAGGCGTCGGGTATCGTTGCCTCGTTTAACTTTCGGTAGTCAATGACCATTCGCCATTGACCTTTCGCCTTCTTCGGTACCAAGAACATTGTCACGAACTACGTCGTGACACCTCGATTACTCCACCAACAATGACCCTCCTTTGGCCATCAAAACCCCATCACGCCTTAACCTCTTTACTCTACACGTAACTCAGGACTTCTGACACCAAGTACGGCGAAGTTAGACGGGGTTAGGCTAAGTAGGGACAATGGGAGCAGAAGTACGGCGATGTTAGGCGGGGTTAGGCTAAGTAGGGACAATGGGAGCAGAAGTGCGGCGATGTTAGGCGGAGTTAGGCTAAGTAGGGACAATGGGAGCAGAAGTGCGGCGATGTTAGGCGGAGTTAGTCGAAGGAGGAAGAGGATGGCCGAGGGCTCGGGGAAGTTGGACGAAGTGCGTTGAAGTACGTCAAAGCGCGAGAGGGTTGGATGAACGTCTAGGAGGAGTAGATAATATTAGCTGAGAAGATCGCTGAAGTTCTTCAGCGATCCTTGATTGTTGTCAGTAGTAAAAGACAGATAGAGATAGCTATAAATCAAGATACATCGCCATCAGTAGATCAAAACCCTAGTTAGAGTAACTACGCCGAAGTACGCCGTAGTTACACCCCTTTCGACGTCTGCGCCCTCCTGGTTGGGTGAGACATCGACTCAGAGCGTGAAGTTAGCCGAGGTTCGTCGACCGTCGGTCTATTAAGAAGTAGTTGTTCGACGGCCGTGACAAACATCGGTGATCCGTAGGGCGAATTACTGGGTCGAATTCTTCCGGCCGACATTTCGCGATCTAGGATGTCTCTCAGCGCACTTCTCTGATCTTCTCCAAGCGAGTAGAGTGGAGCAACCTTCAGGTTCGCCCCCTCCTTAAGATCAAACTCCAAATCATAGCTCCTCGAGGGAGGTAATTCCTCACCTCCCTTCCTTGGGTTAAAGACATCAATGAACGAGTGGTATTGTTCAGGAACCACCTGATACAATTCCTCCTGTTCCTCCGGACTCAGTTCATCCTGATCATCTTTGTCTCGGAGATCTATCGCGTCCGTCGGAGTCGGCAGCCCTATGGCCGCTAACTTCGCCGCACTTGGTGAGGCTGGGATGGGAAATTTCACCGAGTTGTCTCTTCCATCAAGGACAACCCCTTCCTTCCTCATCCAATCCCACCCTATCACAACATCTGCGTCGCAGAGCGTTGTTACATCGAGACGAACAGATCGCACTTCGGCGTCCTTCGTCAAACTAAATCCGACTTCGACAAACTCGGTGATAGGTCCCGCGACACTCACCGAGCCGTCGAACATGTGAACGGGTACGCTCACCTGATATTGTCTCCTTTCTGCGCCTATCTTCGTCGCCGCTCTAGGACTTATATATGAACAAGTAGCCCCGGTGTCCCAGAGCGTAGTTAGCTTCATTCCATTAATGAAAATGTCCGATTTAGGTTGATCTCTGGAAACGGAAGGGATGAGGAGATGATTATCGACATTGCATGAACAAGGGGTACTGAGTGGTGTATTTTTGTATTCACAATCCTCTGGCTCCATCAGCTGTGTTTCTTTTATGGGTTTGGGAATGGTGGCCGAGAGAATATGGCGGACCCGCCGAGCCTCGCCTACTGCGACAGGTCCTCTTCTTTTCCCTGGTCCTCTTCCAAATCTACTTCTCCTCCAACCGCATTCAAGTTCCTCCTCTGTCCGAGAGGTACTGCGTTCCCTCCCGATCCTCCACCACGTTCTCCGAACTTCTCCCCCCATGGAGGCAACAGTCCAACCTTAACCTTAGCCTCCCTTACAGGGCATTCCTTCAGCCAATGTCCTGCTTCACCACACTCGGTACACTTCCCCTCCTTCCTCCTTGTCTCCCTCAGATCGGAGCTCGGCCTAGGCCATCTTCGGCGAACTTCGTCGATGTTTGGCGGTGTACTCTTTACCACCGTCGACATCATAGCCGCCTGGGCACCACCCTGCGCCGAAGGTTGCCCCTTTTCCCATTTCTTCTCTTCTTTCTTCTCCGTCCTCTGACTTTCCACCACTGTCGTTGTCCTTATCCCTCCTTCCCTTTTCCTCTCTGCCTCCTTCTCCACTTGTCTCCTCCACAGGCGGTTGTCCAAGGGAATCACAAACTCCAATAGCTCTTTTACAGTCCCAAACGATCTACCGTGTCTTGCGATTTCATCTAGAAGGTGCGATTTTAGTCCTTTCTTGGCTCGGTCAACTAGGTTTCCATCATCAGACCACTTGAGAATCGCAACATGTCGCTGAAAGGCGGAGAAGTAGTCCGAAGCAGACCCGGTTTGCTTGAGGTCGTTAAGTTGTCGGGCCGCAGTTCCTTCTTCGTCTGGATCACCAAAGTTAGTCTTGAGGTACTTAACGAACTGATCGTGTGTCGTGAGGTACTCAGGAAGAGGTCTTTTGGATAGATCGGGCTGCACTGCAAGAAGAGGTGTTTCGCGTAGATGAGAGATCATGAAAAAGACTTTCTTAGTGTCGTCGGGGAAAAGATGAGAGTTCAATTCGAAGTGTACGTCGCACTCAGACAGAAAGGCGGTTAACTTGTTCCGATCTCCTCTCCATAGGTCTGGGTTAGGTAGCTTTATCCCTTTCCGTTGTTCGCCCACTACGCTTGGGGTCGCCGAAGTTTGCCGTCCCATGGCGTACCTCACCCCTTCTGATATCCCTTCTGCAATCCCGCCCACTGTATCCCTTTCTCTTCTCTGTTCCCATTCCTCCCTACGTCTTCTCTCCTCCATCATGTCTTTGTTCATATTCGCCACCATCTGCATCAAGGCCAACACCACCCCTTGTGTTCCTTCTTCTCCCAAGTTCGCCGTACTTCCAGTGTTTTCTCTTGGGCGTGGGGTTTGGTCTGATCCAAGTGGGGATCCCACAGGTGGGAGAGCATTAGACGGAGGAGAAGGAGGGTTAGAAAGCACCGGTGGAACGAACTCATCTCCTTGAATTGACCCCCCCACACTATCCTCAACTCCAAGGTCCTGCCCCATTGCTCTGCTAAGCTCCTCCAATGCTCTCCTCTCGTTCTCCTCCATCCTGTCTCCATCCCTACTCATGCCTCGTGTAATTCTTCTTTCTGGTTCCATATTATCTTCGTACTTCTCCGAGGTTCGCACGGGTCGTCGGTAGGAGCGATCCTTGATACTGTCACGGCCGTCGAACAACTACTTCTTAATAGACCGACGGTCGACGAACCTCGGCTAACTTCACGCTCTGAGTCGATGTCTCACCCAACCAGGAGGGCGCAGACGTCGAAAGGGGTGTAACTACGGCGTACTTCGGCGTAGTTACTCTAACTAGGGTTTTGATCTACTGATGGCGATGTATCTTGATTTATAGCTATCTCTATCTGTCTTTTACTACTGACAACAATCAAGGATCGCTGAAGAACTTCAGCGATCTTCTCAGCTAATATTATCTACTCCTCCTAGACGTTCATCCAACCCTCTCGCGCTTTGACGTACTTCAACGCACTTCGTCCAACTTCCCCGAGCCCTCGGCCATCCTCTTCCTCCTTCGACTAACTCCGCCTAACATCGCCGCACTTCTGCTCCCATTGTCCCTACTTAGCCTAACTCCGCCTAACATCGCCGTACTTCTGCTCCCATTGTCCCTACTTAGCCTAACCCCGTCTAACTTCGCCGTACTTGGTGTCAGAAGTCCTGAGTTACGTGTAGAGTAAAGAGGTTAAGGCGTGATGGGGTTTTGATGGCCAAAGGAGGGTCATTGTTGGTGGAGTAATCGAGGTGTCACGACGTAGTTCGTGACAACGAGAACTACTACGGCGACCTAACCAGTCAAGGGACGGTGGTGGCTCATACGCCATAGGAGTGACTAGGAAGGGGGTGTCGAACAGTCTTCGGCGAACATCGGCTATCTCAGTAAGGCTTCGGCGAGAGACGTCCGCTAACCTCGTCCTTGCTCCGTCGTCCAGAGCCCCAGTGTTGACTACATCTACTAACGCCGCAGTGAGATTGTTTAAAGCGTTAGCTTGACGAGAAGAGAAGTCAAGCAGGAGAGATGTATCATTTCGGGCGGCCTCGAGCTGAGTAGTGAGACCGAGGACGAGAGAACGATAAGTGGCGAATTCCTTTTCGTCCTCAGGAATACGGACGTCCAGGGAGATACGAGGGTGGACGAGGGACAACCGGGGAGCAGAGGGACCAGCACGCTGAGTATCTTCACCTTCCACATCACCATCATTGAAGGCAACCTCCTTCTCTTTAGATTTCCCTTTTGATTTCTTTAAAGAAGACTTCGGTGTCTTCTGGGAAGCAGAGGGAGGGGTGACGGGAGGGGCCGCCGAAGTGGCCGGAGGAACAGAAGGACGCCGACTTCGGGTGCTGTGAGCCGGAGGAGAAGCTACCACTGGAGAGGACGGACGTGGCGCCGAAGGACGAGAGGCCGAAGGACGGCGAGAAGACGAAGGAGGAACAGCCGGGAGACGTGATGGGCCGGCCACAGGAGCGAAGGGCGACGGCGACGGAGGCGACGGGCGGAGGTCCGGCGAAGTACGACGAACCGACCGGAGAGACGAAGGAGGTACCCGCGACCGGGGGACAGACGCTGGAGTCTGAGGAGGGGGGAAAGGCGAAGAGTCGGAGGGACGGGGGGGGATGTCCCGAGCAGAGGAGACGGGACAGAAGGAGCAGGGACCAGATGTGCATGAAGCACAACGGAGGGCCTTGTTGTGTGGCCGGACTGCCTTGAGGCAGGGCCAGTTCGGACGATTATACGTGATGATCTCACGTCTACCTATTAGCAAGGAGAACTTAGGCGAAGTACGAATAGGGGAACTCACCTGCAACGATCGCACGCCTCATCGACACCAACCGCAACCCAACGACCAGGCTCAGACTCCAACTTCTTCCACAAATACTCTTCTTCATGCAATGACCTCTTCGCCCGTTTGGGCGAAGGCTCCCCTCGGGGAGAAGAGGGGGGAGCAGCAGCGGCGGCGGCGGCGGCGACAGCGGGACGGGGAACGACGGCGGGACGAGCAGCGGCAACAGGGCGGCGAGCAGCAGCAGAGGCAGCGGCGGCGATGGCGTTGGCGGGGGGGAGAACCCCGGAAGAAGAAGAAGAAGAAGAAGAAGAGGAAGAGGAGGAGAGGGCACGAGGTCGTTTCTGGCCCACGATTTGGGCAGGGGGGGAAACGCGAACGACTATGAGTCAGCAGTGCCTTAGGAAGCTGAAGAACAGATAAACGAGGCCAAGTTCGGCGAAGGTGTAGGAGGATGTGCGAAGAACTCACACTCGGGACTATCACCATCGTTGTCCTCTACACTAACCGCCACCATATCATCATCCGAGTGTTCCTCTAACTCGGTCTCACCCTCCGACACGATTCTATCATCCTCATCATCATCATCACCCCCATTTCCTTCGGAGTCTGACTGATCGTCCGACTCTGAACCACTGAGCGGCTCCTGGTCGGAGGAGGACGGGGATTCTCCACGACGAAAGGCGGGCGTCATGCGGCGAGGGGTGGCGGCAGGAGGAGAAGCCGAGCGGGAACCAGCAGGAGGAGAAGCGGAGCGAGAACCGGCAGGAGGGGAAGCAGAGCGAGAACCGGCAGGAGGGGAAGCAGAGCGAGAACCAGGAGGAGGAGAAGCAGAGGGAGAACCAGCGGGAGGACCGGCGGGAGGAGAAGCGGAGCGAGGAGGCGGGACATCGCCAGACGGCTCCCCCAAAGAGAGGGTGCCGAGGCCGAGGGAGGAGACTTGGCGAGATCTGTCGCCGAAGGAAACTGAACATCAGCCAAGCCCGGCGAAGTAAGGTAAGTGTCGAGGAATAACTCACGAGCAGACGACACCATACCACCAAAGTTCCTCATGGCGGCGAAAGGGTTAGAGGTGGGAGTAGGAGGGGCCATGACGTTAAAAATACTTAAAGAAATAAAAGATGATACGTCGAGGTAACAAATCCGTTTTCTAAGTGCGAGAGATAGAAAGTTTTGAAAACAGATGGGGAAGAGAGAGAAGGACGATGAACTGCTCAGTATTTAGTATAACTCGAGTTACCCCTCCGTCGTCAACATGCGGCATCCTTCGCGTTTCATCAACAAAAGGCAACACAGGGACGATCAAAATTCCCACGCTATAGTGTCTCATCTCAATATAAACAAGGGTTACTTCGACAAACAACGGTGTTGTTCGGCTACCGTCTGGGAAACGTGTCTCACCTACAAAAGACACAGGGGCTCTTACGGCAGACCTCGACGAAGTTAGGGGAGTCTCACTCTCGGGTTTCAAAGTGGAAGGAGGCTCAACTACGAAGTACGGCGCGGGGAGCAGAAGGACGAGGGATAGAATTGGAGGAAGATAGGATGGAGGTACTGCGCTGCTAAGTTTTCTTCCCACAGTACGGGTGTAATCGCTCACGAGGACGTTCGCGGCTAAAGAAGGGGGCGACTGTCACGAACTACGTCGTGACACCTCGATTATTCCACCAACAACGACCCTCCTTTGACCATCAAAACCCCATCACGACTCAAACCTCTTTACTCTACACGTAACTCAGGACCTCTGAGACCAAGGACGGCGAAGTTAGATGAAGTTAGGGTAAATAGGGACAATGGGAGCAGAAGTGCGGCGAAGTTAGGCGGAGTTAGGCTAGGTAGGGACAATGGGAGCAGAAGTGCGGCGATATTAGGCGGAGTTAGTCGAAGGAGGAGGAGGATGGCCGGGGTTCGGGGAAGTTGGACGAAGTGCGCTGAAGTACGTCAAAGCGCGGGAGGGTTGGATGAACGTCTAGGAGGGATAGGTCATATTAGTTGAGAAGATCGCTGAAGTTCTTCAGCGATCCTTGATTGTTGTCAGTAGTAAAAGACAAATAGAGATTGCTATACATCGAGATACATCGCCATCAATAGAACAAAGCCTTAGTTAGAGTAACTACGCCGAAGTACGCCGTAGTTACACTCCTTTCGACGTCTGCGCCCTCCTGGTTGGGTGAGACATCGACTCAGAAGCGTGAAGTTAGCCGAGGTTCGTCGACCGTCGGTCTATAAGGAAGAAGTTGCTCGACGGCCGTGACAACGTCACCCTTTAGGCGTATGCATTACAGAATGCTCAGCTCCACCATGACCAGGGTTCAACTCCCTGTGTGCGCACATTCTCGAACCCACTTCTTTGTGGCACACAGAGGCTTGTGGCAGTGCCACATTCTGGGATCTAATTTGTCATGGGAAAATCCGTAGGAGGATTTTCGGTTCAGAAATTGCTGGCTGCTGGGACATCAGCCCTTGAGGGGGGGCTCCTGTCATAAATCTCGAATCTCGGTCGCAGCACAAGCAGTTTATAAAGGGTCTCAGCTCATACTATGAGCTGAGCATTGGATCTTTTAGCACAAGAGCTTAGTGCACGTCACCCTTTAGGCGTATGCATTACATGTACCACCCACAAACTTCCCATACGCTTCATTTTAAACACCTGTCCATGGCCCTTGATTTCTCCTCCAGAAGGCATAAAACTAACAGTCCATCCTTTATTCATAATGACATTTGGTGATAAGAGATTGATCTTTCCACCTGGAACATAATGGACGTCACTAATTTTGAAGACCTTGCCGGAAGGGGTTATACTGAGGACAGTGCCGGAATGTTTAGCGGTGAGAGTTCCATTTTCAGATACTCCGTTTAGGATCATGGGTATTTTGAGAGGAAGGAGATCAGAGAGGAGGGATTTGTCGTAAGTGAGATGATGAGTGGCGCCGGTGTCAACCACCCAGGTTGACTCGTTGTGTTTTTCATCGTACTGCTGGAGCAGTTGCCACCCTTCATACGTAGCCATTGCCATTGGTACTCCCTTCTCTCCCTTCTTCTCACGGGCTGCTGTTGCTGCAGTACCCTTTTCTTTCTTTGGCGGTTCCATACAATCAATCCGCCAGTGGCCAGCTTTGCCACAATTCCAACAATTTCCCGGAGGTGTACCTTTTCCTCCATGTTGTTTTTCTTCTTTTGGTGCGCCGTTGTTACGACCACCCCTCCCTCTAAATCCACCTCTTCCTCTTCCACCACCTCGTCCACGCTGAGCTTTTCCTGCATAGAGAATATTTCCATTACTGGCTGCGTCCTTTTCTCTTGCTTCTGAGACTTCTCTTGCACGCATTTCTTCTAGGTACATAGCATGTAGAGCGCGGAAGGTTTGTTTGTTGGATGGAAGATTGTGAAAATCACGACGGATATCTTTGAGTGAATAAGGGAGTGAACCCACAAGTATGTCACAGCGGGCTGTGTCGGTTGCAAACTCTGGGAGACCTGACTTGATCCCACGTTCTACTAGAGTTCCAAAACGACGTAGATGTTCTTGCATGTCACCACCATCTGACAGATAGAACTTGGATAATTCAGTTCGTAGGTCGGTAATGACTGATGCTTGTTTAAACTGGTGTGCGTCACAAATGAGTGACCACGCTTCGGAAGCAAGTTCCATGCCGTTGATTTGCCAATGGAATGCTTCATCGACTGATCGTAGAAGGAGCGAGAGAGCTTCTTGATTACGCTTTTCCCAAAGCAAGAATTCCCTCCTCCTCTGATCCATACTAATTACTTTGCCCTTCTCATCTACCTCTATCACGTCCTCTTCATCATCTGCCTTCTTGTCCTCTGCTTTCTTATCCTCACCACTTTTGCCACCGTCACCTTCCTGTCCCTTATCTTCTGCCTCACTTGGCAGAGGGACTTGAGCGGGCTCGACTGCCGGCTCTTTCTTGATGGTGATCTCGGTGCGCCTGATGGATGGATCGACGGGTTTCTTGGACTTGCTAAGGAGGATATCGACATAACCTCCTGCATAGGCAGCGTCAAGGACGGCTTGATGCCAACCAAAGAAATTCTTGCCGTTGAGTACTGGTTTGACAGCACCATTGACGAATTCGAAAGTCTCTTGCTTGGGAGGCATATTGTACTACTTGTAGATGTGTTACTGGTGTAGATGGGGCGGTATACAGTGATTCAGATATTCTGATTCCAAATCTGTTGAAATTCACGATCTAGTATGGATTCATAAGATCTTAGAGAACTATCTAGAAGAACTATCTAGATATATATCGTCCAGGGGATACGTAGTCCTTAGTCATCTTTCCCACGCTCTAACTCCTTATAACTCCGCAGTGTGGCGGGTCACCATTCAACAATTTCTCTAGGCGGTTTGGTGATACAACTGCTTCCGTCTCGACCCCTCCTCAATCACCTGCATCTCTCTTCCCTGGGCATCTTCCTACGTACATCTCTGTCATCCACCGCTTGCTGCTTCCGCTGGGCTATCACGACCTCATCCATCTTACCCAACAACTTACTCTCGGCCCCTCTGCATCACCTTCTTCAAGCTTACCCCCTGCCATCACCTCTAGAGGCCTCGAGAGGTGTATTCCACCCCCCTCACATTCCAATCGCTGACACCTTTCACAGCCCTCGCGCACCGCCAGCCGCACCCATTCAAGCCTGCCAGGTCACCCTCGGTTCCAGTCTGTATCTGCAACCGATCTTGTTTCCTTTTCAGAACACCATGTCGGACCACAGCAACCCTCAGTGGTCTCCCACCTCAACTTCTAGCAGACGTCACGGTGCAATCTACACTGCCCCTCCTGCACTTCCTCCTGGCGCCATGAACCCATCTTACCCAGGTGCCCAACCTCCACCTCCACCTCTTCCCGCTCGCCCTCCTTCAGAAATGTATCCGGACATCCTCGAAGACTACACGAAACGGCCACAGCGCATGCCGACGGGGGAGAGAGAATTTGGGTACATCGGAGGCGCCAACAATGCATCTTCTTCTACCTCGAGACGTCCGTTACCCACTCAACCGGCCACACCTTTATCCCCAAACTCTTACTCATCCTTGTCTAGCTCTGGAAGCTTAGGACGTCGAGCTCTACCCACTCCTCCCGTTGACCACTCTTCAGCAGCTCAAGCGATACCACCACCACCTCCTAGGCCAGCCGGGGGTCGGGCTCTTCCTACCATTCCATTGGCAAACTTGCAACCTCGGTCCTCTCTCCGCTCAGATCAGCCACAGTATGCTCAATCATATTCGACTCTCAATCGACTACCATCTGACAGGGTGAGTGCTTTGCGAGGGGATGCACTCTATGAGTATCCTGAATCCCTCACCACATCCGGGACATCTGAACAAGGTCCCTCACGACAAGCTTCTCAGTCGTTCTCATTGTCTTCTCACATGTCCAGTATGACCAGCGACTTTCATGGAATGTCATTGGAAACGTTACCCACGACCTACGAACCAAGTGAAGGAGAATGGTCGAAGGAAGTCGAGGAAGCGTTATCCCCCGGGGCACTCAGACTTCCAACTCTGGTCACCCCATTGCACACCGGCAGCGATGTCGGTGTTGATGGGCGAACAACACCCACGCCTTTAGACATGCAAAACCACGGGAATAATCTGTACCTCGACACTCCTCGTAGACGACTGCCTAGCTCGTCTAGCGTCATAGATGCCGACCTACCACCGACCCCACGATTCGCTCCCAATCAGAACTTACGGGAGCCCCGGTTTCAGGATCTATCAATCCCCCGTTTGAATCTCGACTCGGGCTCTTCACGGCCCAGTTCTTCCAGCTCCAGCACTGTACCTTTTGCAACATACAACGAGGCAGGAGGGTCCATACCCTTCCCCGACTCACACCAACGTCGGCCTTCTGAGAACTCCTCTCTCCACCCCTTGTCAATCATATCGGCATCCTCCGACCAGCGCCGCTCGAATGACCTCTCACCCTCGTGGGCGCAACAGTCGCAAGAGCCCGCGCATTGGGTCCAGCAGAAATTGCGGATCCATCATAGCCATCTTGAACACGATGATGAGTCTTCAATCCAGCAAGATGATGAGGCCGAAGAATGGGAGGAAGATGAAGAGGAAGTCGAAGTGAACGAGAGTCAGTTCTTCAACCCGGCATTCATAAGTGAGATGGCATTGCAGGTCAAGGATAAAGTGTCCAGAGGTCGGCATGTCAAGGCGGGCATAACTTGGGTCGGCTCTTTCACCGGTAGAGATGTTGTCGTGAGTCAGCTTAGGCAACATTCCTGGGTGCGCTGACAGCAGACCGCAATACAAAACCTCCTTCCTTGGTGGACTCGCGAGTCGCCCCCCGACCGTCGTTTCGCCCTCATTGTGGCTCACTCTTTGCAGAATCAACTTTGGTTCGTGGAAGTAGATTGGGACATCAAGCCACTGTATGACTCATCTGAGGACGTATATCGTTTCATGGGCGAGCTGGATGGCATGGGGGGTGGTGATGTTTTGACAGACGAACTCCCCAAAGGCGTCATGACCATGGCCACTCGATGTTATTCCCCCAGTTGTACTGGTGACTCGAGGTGTTATGCTCCGCGATGCCCCTACCGAACTCCCAATACCACCTTCCTTGTTCGTCGTACGACAACACCCGCTCAACCCACCCCGAAGCCACGACAAGGGGAATGGAAGGACGAGGTGGATCCAGTACTCTTGCAAGAGTTGTCCCCGCAACAGTTGAACCGTCAAAATATCATACGCCAGGCTATCGCATCCGAGGTCCAGTACGAAGCCGATCTGACTGCTCTGGTCAGTACCTACATTGATAGCCTACGTCAACCCCAAACACCTGAGCTTATACCCCCGGAGCGATGCGAACAATTCATCTCGGATGTCTTTTCCAATATCTTCGAGGTGCTTGAATCCTGTAGACGACTCATCGATCACTTCTCGATTCGTCAACGCGAACAACCCATCATACTGTCTGTCGGGGATATCTTTCTTCAAGCAGCGGCTGAGTTCCGAGACATTTACCCAGAATATACGGGCAATTTGCCTAATGCTGAAACGGTACTCAAGAGAGAGTTGGACGAGAACGCGGAGTTCAGACTATTCTGCGAGCGTTCAGCAAGGGATGATCGTCGCAGAGAGATCAAGCATCTCATCGCCCGGCCAAGCATGCAATTGCAAAGATACCCAGCGGTTATCGAGGCAATGCTCACCGCCACCGAGCCCACTGATCCAGATTGGGATTTCTTGAGCGAATCTTTGGCGAGCATACGAAACCTGTCGAGCATATCTCAATTGAAGCTTTTCCACGCATCCAAGGGGAGAGGACCGGCTGGCAAACTGCAGTGGTATGACTTGGTGCCTGAAGGGGAGCGCGAGCTCATGGAGAAGAAAGAGCAAAGACGCCAAATGTGAGTTTGGCCACTGTTCCACTTGTGATTTCTGGCTGATAGTACCAGGCAGATATGGGAGCTCATTCAAGGTGAGATGGAATACGTGGCCGACCTGGAGACACTCGATACTCTATTTGTCAACGGCCTTCGAGAATCTGACCATCCAATCATCGAGAGAGGTAGTTTAGATAACTTCCTCGACGACGTGTTTCACAACTACCGGTCATTACTCGAAGTTCACTCTCATCTGCTGGAAAACTTTCAACAACGTCAGCTGGAGCAACACCCTCATTATGGTATGATTAGCGACCTCATACTAGACGCGACGCTCAACTGGCAAGACGCTTACATGGAATACGTCACCCATTATCCCATTGCTAAAGCCAAAGTTCGACAAGAGATAGCTACGAATCCGAAATTCGCCCAGTTCCTCGATGCGTGTCTCAAGGATCCTAGATCAAACCGACAGGATATATATCACTTCATCTACCGACCCATTCCCCGATTATTGCGATATAATCTGCTATTGGCGGATATCCTCAAGAGTCTCAAGGAAGTTGCGCCGCCTAATGATCCCGACATCGAGACCATTCCACAGGTCATGGAGCTTATTGACAATCTTGGGAAAGCTACTCAGACAGGTGTAGCGATCAACGAACTCAAAGTCGAATTATTGGAGTTCTCTCGTTCTCTCGATGGTAGCAAGTTCGGACCTCGTACAGTGAAAGATCTCGATCTGCTCGATCCCACTCGCGAACTCATTCATAGAGGTAAACTCTACCGTCAGCCTGAAGGACCTATATCATCTAGTTGGATAGAACTCTTCGGGTTACTGTTCGATAATTACTTTGTCATCGTCAAGCAGGAGAAAACGTCGAAGGCATCTCGTAAAGATTCTACTGAGCGTCCCGCACGGTATACCATCAACCGTCGACCGATACCTCTCGAGCTTCTGTCTCTAGGCAACTTTACCGACGGTCCACGTGCAAGAGCAGGGAAAACCATCTTCTCGGTCGGCGGCGGAGGTTCACATGAGACGGAAGGTCAAAACGAACAAGCGAGCGACAAGAATGCTTGGCCATTCACCATCTCTTTCATTGGTCAAGGGCAATTGGGCGGACAGTACATTTTGTGGACGGAGAGTGCTGCAGCGAGGACAGAATGGCAGGAGAAACTAAAGCATGCCAAGGTGTTGAGGAATGAGGTCGACGATGCTGGAAAGGTGTTTGAGATGACACCTTTGAGTACGAATACATTCTACATCCCTCCGAATTATGCGGCGCCAAAAGGAGAGGCTCAAGCTGCTTACACGGGAAGAGTGACATGCAGTTGTCCATTCGGTGAGTCACATCTTCCCTTCTTTTGCTTTCGAACTTCTCTTTCTCCGTCAATTAGTGGAGAACACATTGAACGTGTGTCCCACAGAGCTCATCAGTGTGGTTCAAAATGCAATATAATGGAGTAGAAATCAACACTGACTTATAGTCACGCCGGATGGACGTTCGCTCGTTGCTGTAGGCTGCGAGGAAGGTGTATGGATCGGTCTCCGAAGCGACCCCACTTCTTTACGCAGAGTACTACATGTCAGATCAGTCACCAACGTCGCCGTCCTAGAAGATTTCGGCATCTTCCTAGTTTTACACGAGAGAAGCTTGTTGGCGTATACATTGGAAGCTCTCGTACCTTCTGCAGCCAACAATTCGGCTCGTGCGACCCCTCAAAGGTTGAGTTCGGGGAAGGATATCATTTTCTTCACCGTGGGACAGTTCAAGGGCTTGACTTTGGTTTTGTATATGAAGAAGAAGGGTGTAAGTTCTTTTGTGATCCCCAGGTCGTTTTCTTTGATTCTTGTCGACCCACATTATCTCTCCCACCGAACATATGACATATTGCTTCTGCCACGCGACACCGTATCCTTAATCAAGGATCGATCGCCGGTGAGATGTAACCGTCTACCAGTACTGCCTTGCTGAGTCACACGACTTGTGCTCATGACCAGATAGATTCCCTCTTCCGAGTACTTGAACCTATCCACGGTCGAAATGCAGAAGACTCTGGCCGTCGAAATCGTCCCTTCGGAGGTTTGCTCGGTCAAAGAACAGACTGGTTCCGAGTTTATAAAGACTTTTTCATTCCCACCGACGCCATCAACGTCCATTTCCTGAAACACAAGCTCGCCGTGGTCTGTGCAAAGGGCTTTGAAATCATGGATCTTACAGATCTGAAAGGTGGTAGTATACCTATTTTTGACCCTGCCAAGCTTCGGGAGCGACCGGCATTGGCAGACATCCAACGACGATGCGAAACTGCTAGACCATTGGGTATGTTCCGAAGCACCCAAACGGAATTCCTGTTGGTTTACGACTCGTTTGGGGTGTACGTTGATCGAGGTGGAGAACCCAACCGGGATTATCAAGTCATAGAATGGGAAGGTCGACCCGATAGTGTCGCTTTCCATCCTCCTTATCTCCTACTCATCTCCGCACCATTTATCGAGATAAGACATATAGATACCGCCAAACTCATCCAGATATACACTGGGAGCGATATCCGGTTGACGTGGGATGGGACAGGTGGACAATCAAGACCATTCGTGGATAATCCAGGTGTGAAAGGGTATGGTGCAGAGATTTCTTCACAAGAACCCAGAATACATATCTGTCAAAGAGCCCCAAGACGTAAATTCGACGATCCGATAGAACAACATGTTTTCGAACTCACCCCGACGTTATTGTTGAACAACCCATTACTGAATCCTATACATACACACGATTCGAATTACTTCCCACCTGCTCCAATGATCCATCGGCCGAGTAGCGTCATGACTTCGAATTCGGGATTGATCAATGCCATGGCAGGTTATCAAATGACCAATGGTGGTGTGAATGGGAATCAAAATGGGATACCGATGTTGGGACATAGACATTCTGGGAATTCGGGAAGTGGGAGTGGTTATGGTCAACTTTATGGGACATCACCTGGTGTGGGCGGTAGTGGTGGGTATTCCCCAAATTCGGGGTATGTGGGTCAAGGAGGTTATGAGCAAGGAGGATATGGAGGCCAGAATGGGTCAGGAGGGGGTTATGTTTCGGGTTATGGACCGCAGAGGTGAGAAGCATCGGAGGTATATCTATCGGAGTTGGACATCGAGGTTGGAGTGGAAAAGGAGGGATAGATCTTTTACTTGGGCACATCCTGCAATGTTGGGTTGAATGTAGCATAATCTTGTATGCACATGGGGTCATCTTGGCAGCATGAATGGGCTCTGTATGATTGTAGGGGCAGATTGCATTATAGCATTGATGCATTACCTCTACCAAGGCTGCCACCTCCTGTAGACATCAGGTTTTCCGCATGAAATTGATCCCGTTCCCGCAATGGAGGAACGTAGTTCAGTAGGCAACTTTCCACACGTTCAACTTTGGGTCTGAATGACCTCTGTACCCAGCTTCACCTCCTTCCCAGAGCTCAACCTTCCTCGGAAGCCGGGAAGGGCCGGTAGGGACAGGGATGGTATAGAAGCCGGTCCTTCGAGACACTCGTCCAGTCGTCGTCGTGCCAAGGACAGCGGTAAAAGGCGTCGGAGGGGTAGCTTGGAAGATGGTCAAGAAGTCGAGGATGGGCAGGAAAGTCGTCATCAGAGTGAGTACAGGAGAAGGGATAAAAAACGTCAGCGGGAAGATGAAAATGGTCTACAATATGAGCCAGCGACCGAACGGTCAAAGCAGCAGGACGAGAATCGGCGAAAAAGTCACAGAGATGATATCGAACGAGATAGAAATCATAAGAGCGACAAGCATCAATTTCGGGAAGAGAGAGATGGACATGAGACACGTCATAGAGAAGCGAAGAAAGATAGGGGATACAGAGATGAGATCAAGGAGAAAGAAGAGAAAGAACGTAAAAGGGAGAAAGAACGAGCCGAAGCTTTAGATTTGATAAGAGGTGATGTCAAGGTTAAGGTGGTCAAACGGGAAGAAGATGGGGTACCATGGTATGAATCCGCTAGTGGTCATGCGCGGCTTGAGCGAGTCCATACTCAACACTCTTCTGAATATCATGTGAGTTTACCCAGCTTTGAAGACAATGAGGGTTTTGTTGATGAACAGTCGAACGGGACGACTTCTTATGTGGATACCACAGGAGATCGAGATGCTTTACGATACAATTTATCTTCTTCTCATAATCCACCAAGATACAAGAGAGATGGTGGTGAGTGTCCCTCATTCTCCGTGGCACCCACACGATAGCCAAGAGCATCTTGAAAGTACGAGCGCTTATGGACAGGTGGAAAGGTATTAGGATTGAACGAAGGTATTCGGATTGTCTTTTCCAAAGATCGGTCCGAGAAGGGTGTTGAGATATCTCCACTTGGTAGACCTTACGTACGTGTCTTCTGGCATATGCTCAGACCTTAGATTGTGGGCATGCTGATGGATAGATACCTCGATATACAAAGCATTCCGTCGAAGAGAATCAAGGAAGATTCTTCTTACTCCCTTCCACGGAAAACTCTTTTGATCATACTGCAAACTTCATACTCGTTTCTGCACCTCGACAAAGTGATGACTCTGATATACCCGCTTACCGGGCTATCACCCGACAACCTAACGAGGGAGACGATACGGAGCTTATCGACAAAGAGCTTGAGGGACTATCGACAAAAGAAGATCAGATTCGACAACGTATCATCGAAACAGAACGTCATCTTGCCGATCATCCAGAAGATATCAAAGCTTGGATAAGATATTCCACACTTCGACATGGTACAACACAAAACAAACATTCCAATTCTGATCCAGTGGATATTTCTCAATTACCCATCACTCGAGCTAATGCGGAAATCACACTTTCCATCTTGGACAAAGCTCTCGATGCTCATCCCAATAACATGCGTTCGACTGAACTTCATATCGCGTATCTTCGCGCGGCAGAAGTATTCTGGTCACCTGCTCAAATTACTGAGCGATGGAAGAATGTCATTCGAGCTTTAGGAGAGGCGAACGAGCAAATGGAAGAAGGGTCAGATGTGGATATGATGATGTTATGGTTAGGGTATATCGATTGGAGAGAAGGTCAGGGATTCTCGAAAGATGATTCTGGGGAAAGAGGAGGGGTGGATGAGGTGATTGAGGTTTTTATCGAATGTCTTGAGTATCTTAGATTTGAGTGGTGGAGTGAGTTGAACTTCTCTTCCAGCACAACGAGGTTATTGATGTAGAACAGAAACGAAGAAACTCGGTACGGAAGAAAATCAGATTTATCTACTCTTACGAGCTTGTCTTTTTCTCAAGCTATCAGGGTATACAGAAAGGGCAACTGCTATATTCCAGGCAATGATGGAAATGTAAGTCAAATGTGTGAAGTGCTTACAATTGACTGACATGACAGCACCTTCTTCAAGCCGGATTATCTCCGACCTTCTTTCGACGCTGATCTGACCTGGTTCCGACGCTTGTCCTCGGAATTCGAGACTTTTTGGGATACCGAAGCTCCTCGGATTGGCGAACCCGGTGCCGTCGGTTGGCGCAACACTTCAAGTGGAATAGCACCACCAAGCACCAACACATTTCCTTCGCAGTCGCAATCGTCAGACTCTCTGGAAAGATGGCTAGAAGCTGAACGACAAGCTGAATCGGTCTTTTCACTCCCTGGTCGCGCTTCTAACCTCGACGACGAAGAAGATCCCTTCCGAGTTGTATTGTTCTCTGACATTCAACCTTTCCTCACATTCATCCGGACGCCTTCTGCTCGTTTACAACTCATTTACGCTTATCTCTCTTTTCTAGGTCTACCTTTCACCCCTTCTGATGTCCCATCAAGTGCACCGTCAAACCTCGATCCTAAACTCAACTGGAGCATTCTGCACAATGACGCCCTTCGGACTTCTTTTTGGCCACCACGTCAAACCAACATTCGTCGATTACCATGGCAAACTGTGGGAGGAGAACCTATGGAACCTGAAACCCGATCTCCTCTCGAAATTCCCTTTCCGTGTCCTGTGAGATGTTGGACACAAGGTAGAGAAACAATGTTCGCTCCTACACACGACTGGTTCCGTATCCTCGACAACTCTGGCGTACAACATATCAACTTTGAAGTTGCCAAAAGAACAATGGAACTGTTGCGTCCTCAGATTCCTGACCCTTCTTTCACACAAGCCATGTTTGCTTTGGAAGCTGCTATCTCACCGAAGAGTGCTGTCAAAACCGCCAAGAATGTTTTATCCCAAGATAGAGACAATCTCATGTTATGGGACGGTTATGCTCGATTGGAATATCAACGTGGTAATCTTCCTTCTGCTCGATCAGTCTACATCACAGCATTGCGAGCGGCTTTACAGAGAACGGGCGAGGTCGATCAAGATGACGTGCTTGATCTATGGGCAAGCTGGGCAGAGTTGGAATTCGATTCTAATTGCAAGGAGAGATGCCTACATGTGATTTGTATGTCGGTAAATCCCAACGATGAAGTCTTGGCCAGTTATGCCCGATCTTCCGATACATCAATATCTGCACCATCATCTATCAATATGCTCAAAACTCGTCAGGTGAGCTGTCAAGCTCCCTTCTTTCGCATCAGCTTACCAAGTAGTATCTTTCGTCTTACAGTCCATCCTCTCAATCTCATCTGATCCTTTCAACTCTGTTCGCTTATCACACCGACGGAATCGACAATGTCATCAAGATTGTTATGCAATACATGGAAACGCTCCCTCAAGGCGGAGCGGAAGTCGAAAGCGCTGTACAATTTTTATGTAAAATTCTTCACGTCCATCGTTCTCGTTTACCAACCCCAGCATCTGTGCTTAGGGATATATTGGAAAACGCCATCGTGATGTTTCCCAACAACACACAGTTTCTCTCGCTTTATCTGTATGGTGAGATGGGAGGAAGAGTCTATGGGAGGGTTCAAAACCTGATAGGACAAATGCTCACTTCGAACGAAAGTGTGATTGGATATTTGTGGGCAGTTTGGGCGGAAGGAATATTAGGCAGCAGAACTCTCTGGGATAAAGGAGGTGGTGAGAGAGTTAGGTTGGTACTTGACAAGGCTGTCAATTCGCAAGTGTAAGTCAATCTCTTCTTCACAGACATTAACGAGTGCTATATTCATGGGAGATGCCCTTGTGTTTCTTCATGGAAGAGGACAGACTATGTTTGCTTGTCACACGCCGATACAACGGAGTGCAGGATAACAGGTGTGGCGGACGACGGAGAATCGTACTGATGGACAGGGGAAGACATTGCGTAGCTTTGTGGAGGTTATACATTGACTTCGAGGCTTTAAAAGGTCGCGGTAGCAACGCAAAGTCATTGTGTACCCGAGCGGTAGCTATCAATGGGGGCTGCAAAGGTAAGTCGGATTGTCATTATTCTCAAAGTCCTCTTCACGTCATTATCATGGGCTCAAGTTGCCGGTAGAGGATTATGGGTTGTTACTGACGAAGAAGAACTCTACCTCTTACCCTTCTCCCCACTCCTACGTCCTCTATTCACCACCCGTGAGCTGAAACAATGGGCGGAACTCATGGTCGAGCGAGGGATCAGAGTACGTATCCCCCCCGAGGAGTATTGGGAACAAGATGAATCGGAAATGGATATGTTACCGGAGGATGAGGAATTGCAAGATGATGAGTTGGGTTTTTTGAGGGAAAGACAAGAGTTGAAACCTTATTGAGATGTTGTATGCATGATGATGCTTATTTTGTCTTTCCTTGTATCATGTAGCATGTAGCCGTTTGGGGATGTCCTTATAACTCCCTCAAGTAAGTGAAGTACTCACCGTCCATCACCGCGTGCCGGGGGCCGGGGGAGGGACGATTGTCAGTTTCCGACGGAATGTCACCAAGGGGCGTCATAAAGCTGCTTGAAACCACTCAACTTTGGTTGCAACACGACACATCAGACTTGTTCAACATTATCATGTCCGCCAACGCTCCATTACTCTCTGCTACTATAGAACCAGATGAAGAAGCTCCTATAAGGTCTCAAATACCCACAGGGAAAATTGGAGATAATACTAATTCTAATCCCAGTAGAAGAGAACCGGTGTTGCTAGTCCCTGGTGCTCCGGCCAGAGGTAGACCCGATGGTGGTGTAGCGGAAGAAGGTGGTATTGTGAGTTATTTATTGTGTTGTTTTCAACCCGTCACCTTCTATCTTGGTCTATCCTACTTTATCTTCGTCCATCACACACACACTTTCTATCATGTGGCAGAAAACTATGGTCAGATACTTGACATGATGAAGAAAAAGAAAAAGAAAGAGAGAGCTAAGATCAGACGGGGATATTGAAACAATCTTCACATCCTCTCTCTTTAATCTTTCTGTATTTCTTCCGATCAGCAGCTATAGCCGTTTATGTATTGTGTGGTTTCTGTGAGTCTCCTTCACCCCCTCTATCCTTTATTCGCCCCCCCAGACTTGACACAGGCTGATTAAAAAGTTACTGATAATTACGTCCTGAGCGTATGTTCCTTTCATCTATCCATCTATCAGCCACTGACAAAATCCTCCATGATGTCGAGGAGGACACGGGGGAATGTTGAAAAGAGATTGATTTGAGCTGACGGAAAGATCGTCGTGGTGGTCGTTTTACTCTCGTTGGATTTCTGGAACACGAGGAATGTTGCCGGAAGGACTTTGGTTGGTTTGAGATATTGGAATGAAGTGGATGAAGAGGGGGAGAGTTCTTGGGTTTTTGAAAGTCGGGATGTGAGTTGTTTCTCAATTCGTGTGTGTGCGCCTAATCTTGGGGTACTTTATGCCAAATTTCCCCTCGATCTTACCAGACAGATGCCCCGTCACTATCCCGATTGGAATGCTGAGGGTCGTGCTCATAATTTCAATTGGGATAGTAATGGATATCTATCATACCATGACTGTTCCTCACCTGACCAGGAACTATAAATGAGTGTTCCCGCTGACAAGCAGCCATCGAGACCTGCAAATCCTATCGATGCCAAGTGAGTTGGAATTACTCCCAGTCGCCTGACTGACTTTAGGATGTTTTGGATAGCTCTCTACGCTTATCCTCTCGGTTGGCTGGTTTTATTCGTCGTATCTCTCTTCGACTTTAGTCTTTCGTCAGTGTCTCTCATGGTCCACTCACTCTTCGTCTCAAACTCAACCCGTCATATTACCCGGGACTATTGGGAATGCTGACCGACAGATTCATCCCCATCGTCCTCCTCGCTCTAGTCTTCAACCTGTCCAATCTCGTCGGTTTCATGTGAGTCATCCTTCTCGCGATTCATTCTCGGTTGACGAATTAGATATGCCGACCGGGATGCTCAAAAACGCTGGGCGTCCAATATGGCCTCTAGCAATTTGATGAATTTCAGTCTTGGTGGACTAGGTGGTCAGATGATGGGTAGGGTAGTGACGACTGGACTTGGTCGTTTGTTAGGATAGGCAAATCATTGCATGCATATTCATTCATTCGGATCCATTCTTCTTATCGATTTTTGCCTTTCCAATGCCTTGAACAGGGCAATATCATCTTCTGAGATTCTGTTCTGGCATCACACCGAATTGTCTACGAGTGGTGAAAACATTTGATGCTTTTTCCCCGCTCACTGGAGGAGCAGGAATGTTATTCTGTTTCGTTTTAGCCACTCCCATCCAATATCCAGCCCAATACTGAGCGGCTAAAGCGTAACCCATAGCGTCTTCAACTGATATACCTTCTGTGGATTCAACTCCATAAGTAGGTATTTGTGGGGGTATGTGATCCCATTCAACGTCTGGTCGTATTTGAGGTTCTTGATACAAATCTCGTTCTTCTTCGTCTTCCACAAGAAGGCCGGGGTTTGGTGGGGGTGATTGGGGCATGTAAGTAGGAGAAGATCTTCGTTGACGAGGGATGTTATTTGAGGTGATTGGTTGGATATTTGATTCGGGGGCGGGGGCGTAGGGATTGGTAGTAGGTTGTATGAGACCATTGGGCTTTGTTTTGGGTTTGGAGGTTTTTTGTCTTTTGGCAGAAGGTAGAGAGTTCTTTTCGACTGCTTGAACTTTAGATTGAGAAGTAGGAGTATACCATCTATCCTATCAGTTTTGTTGTTATTAAAATGGAAAAGATGTGAATCACTCGAGATGATCTTCTTTCACACCGGGTAAAGGCTTGCCTAAAGCTAATGCGGCGGTAGCTTTGTCCAACCAACTTCCAGGTCCGGGATGATGCAACTGTCCATTAGCGTCATCCCACAGCGATGGAGTATTTGTAAGGATAGCAGGAAAGAGAGATGAAAGAGAGGATACATGGATGATAGTGGAGAGCAGACGGATGAGAGAGGAGATTTAAGAGAAGCTGGGACATACGTGGAACTCTTCCATGGCAGCATCGTACATTCTCACCAACTCTCTATCATCCCACGCTCCCGATCCAGATAACGATACTTGAACAGTGTCATTTTCATGTTCTTCTTCGCTTTCGAAGGAAGAAGAAGAGGCTGAAGAGGAGGAAGAATCTAATGACATGTCGGAGGCAGAGTCTGGTTGTGGAGGATTGACAGGCATGGTGTAAAGTGCCTACAGTAGTAGTATCAGAGTAACAGGAGCATGGAGGTCAAGTGAATCTTTTTCTTGTTGGTAGAGGGGTGTTGCAAAGGCGAAACGTGGTTCCCACGTGGACAGATAGGAATCGCCACCCATCCTGTACTTACTCTGCTCCTCTCAACGTCATACCCCGTTCAACATCCACCACCTTTCCCTTTCACCATCTAACATCCCCTTCAAGTCCTCTAACACACATCTTCAACATCTTATCACCATGTCCAGTCTACCACAATACTACAACATTTTGGTGAGCTCCCTATTCCTCGCTGTATCATCAAGCTCACAGTCGCAGAACGTACCTCAGACGGCAACAGCGTTGGTTTCCTTCCACGAGTCACGACCCACCATCATATCTGACGACCAGTGATGAAGTCCGAGCTGCATACAAAAGAGAATCATTGAGAACTCATCCGGATAGATTACCAGGGAATGCTACTCCTGTCGAACGTCGAAGAGCCACCGAGAGATTTGTACGTCTCATCAGCCCCATCCACATTTTGAAACTATCATTGATATTCAGCAAGCGGTATCAGACGCGTATTACATTCTTTCTGACCCCGTTAGAAGAGCCGAATATGACGCATTGTTCAGATCACAACCCGCTTCAGCTTTCACAGACGATACAGCCAGCGAAGCGGAACAAGAAAAAGCAAGTAGTTCGTTCTTTCAAAACTTCTCGCAATTCTTCAACAATGCCACTGGGACTCCTGGGGCGGCTGGTACAGGAACGGGAGGAGGACCAGGTCAGAGACCCGATGCTCATAATGTTTTTGGGGACGTGTTCGAGGAAATGTTGGCTCCTGAAGTGGCGCATGTGAGACCTTGGTGGTCTTGGGCTGGAGGAGCTGCGGGCAGTGTTATGGGATATATCGTGGCGAATGTTCCTGGGGCCATTGCTGGAGGTGGGTCATATCTGATCGTTTCTTCTATCCTCGGATCTTAACTTTGTCCCAACTTGTCGCTCTTCTTTTCATCCCAGTTCGTGGGGCTCATCCAAGAGGGATGATATTCATTCGTCGTTGCCTGAATCATGCAACGCTTGCTTACCTTTCCGACATCTCCTCAACGAAGCTTACTCTGGTCGCGGATCACTGACGCTCAGGTTTTGCGGGAAACAGATTGGGCGCCATCAGAGATGCAAAAGGCAAGAGTGTCGCTCAGGTTTTTGGTAGTTTACAGGGAAATCAAAAAGCCGAGGTGAGCTCTTGATTTTGTAGCTGGGAGATGGTGTCTGAGGAGCCGTGTCGAGGAAGAGAAGAGTCGTCCGGGACAAGCAGACATGCTGACCTACAGATCTTACGTGCACTGGCCTTCAAAGTGTTGGGAAGTATGGGGTGAAACTGGATATGACTTGCGACTGAACAAGATATATAAATCGTCCATGCTATGTCTGACATTGTCCATTATCTATGACCATGTATTTGAGTAAAACGTTGTGCAACTTTGGCTCTTCGGAAACTCTCAAAATACACTATGACTGATCGATGTCGAGATGAACGATCCCATCTTGCAGAGTCGCCTTCACCCTAGTCATCAGCTTCTAGCTACGGAGATATAAAATGTTAATGAACTCACTTTGATAGATCTTGCACCACCCAATTCGCTCCCGCATGTTCCATCTGTGTTCGTGTGTGCGAAGTACACAGACCGAGGACTTTGCAACCTGCCGCCACGCCGGCCTTGACTCCTGAAGGAGCGTCTTCAACTACGAGGCCTGTAGTCAATTTACACGTTTCTTTTTCCCATTTCAACACACTCGATGTCCCTATAGCCTAACAATTACAAGATTCAGAGACATTCCTTATACAAGGATGCCACTATCGAAGGCAACGGAGAAATACGAGCGTAAGATAATGGATAAAACGACAAGACACAATTGTGAAGAAACACCCACAATCAGTCGGATCCAATCCTAACATTTCAGCACCTTTGAGATAAGGTTCCGGATGAGGTTTCCCTTTGGTCACATCGTTGGCCGTGACGAAAGTCGGAGGGATAGGTATACCGGCTGTTGGTAATGCGGCAGAAGCGTATGTGTTCGTAGCTTTTCTATCAGCCTTTCCTCCTCTATATCTCTCCAAGGTTTGTTAAAAACGCACCAGAGGTAACGACGGCATATAGGGGATTTGAACTTTGCTGTAACTGATATTATCAGTCTCCATGCATGACAAGTTTCACTAGGCCTAACAAAAATGCATCGTCTGAAAAGATATGTAAACGAGAAACGAGCAGAGTAAGAGAGGAGGAAAGGGAGAAGAGAACTTACAACAGACAAAAACTCGTTGACACCTGGTAAAACAACCAATCCAGTCTTTCCTTCCGATTGTAACCTTTTGGCCTCAGTGACGATCATTCCTTCGAAGAAATCGGTGGCTTCTTCTAATCCTTGTTGATCTGTCAAACCACACCATTTCCGAAGATTATCTATTGTTCTTACACCATGAGATGCTGATAGGTCAATTCTTATTTTTCCTCCGTTTGAGGGTCATCAAGCCCACGTGGATAGTACGTACGGGAAGCGGAGAGATAGAAGATAAGGAAGAGATGGATGAATGTTGGGAAAGCTAGATGGTGTGTTCATTGGAGGTTGGAGGTATCACTCACTCTTCAAAACCTCGTGAAGATCAAGGTTGTATTCTTGTGCAAAGTACTCCCATGTAGCCAATACTGCTGGCGTGGACTCTACGGATCAGTCCAGACACTCGTATGCAGTTCATTTGAGACTGAATGGTGGATATGACCCACCTATCAACGTCCCATCCATATCGAACAATACCCCTCTGATGGTGGTCTCTGCTGTGCTTGACATGTTTCTGGCCTGAGATTCGGTCTGCTCACTTCAAGTCAAGGTAGTTTAAAAATGTCCAAGGGAAAAAGAGAAGACGAAAGATTGGCCCGGACGGGAAGGGAAGGTTCGGTGATCGGACCGACGGAACCAATCGCGGTTCAACCATGCGGATGTGCTCCAGTTGTAACTCGATGCAACATGATTCGTGCCATCTTATCGCTCGAGTACATGCCTCTACCTCTTGTATGCACACTCTACTCTCCACCGGCTGCATCGACACTAGATATTCCAGAATTGGACGGATGGACTACCAGGTTCACTGACCTCACATCGCTCTTTACTCCACCCTTCCTTCTCCCCTTCTGCCAGCACAGCCTCTGCTTCTTTCTGTGAGACCACGTAACACTCCTCCAGCCTGAGTGACCGTTTGAGGTAAGGCACCAGAGCTGACAATGCGTCCAGTTCGGAGAAGGCCAGAGATCGTCCGAAGGCTGCTTTGCCCGTAGCGAGTACTTTTTTCTGGACATCATCAGCTTGATCCCTTTTACTAGCAATGATGATTGACTGATCAGAGTGAGGTGAATCTCAATGCGGTACAAGTCTCAAGATTGAATGATGCAACGGATGAATTTCAGACCAAGACCTACCTTGAAATTTTGACAGAAAGGCATGGCTTTCTTGTCCTTTATCAGGCCCTCCTTTTCCAACTCGCTTCTCATCTTAGCCTCATCCACCGTGTTGTCCGCTTCATTCCAGCATCTTTTCACCAGCTCTACACACCGGTTCTGCCACTCTGGAAACTCCGTGGCCACGTATACTCTCGCACATTTCGGTTTACTTGGGTCAAAGGTCACACCAGCCGTTTTACCCTTGCCTTTCTTCTTCGCCATGGCTGCTTCCGCAGACCGCATGTTGTCCACGATCCCCCTCTGATACTCTGCTTTCTGCAGTGTTGTCGGATCGACAGGTGCCGAAGGCTGGGGGAACTTGGCAAGCTGGACAGTGGTGGTCTCACCGAGGATCTTACGCCAAACGTATTCCGAGAAGTGGGGGGTAAAGGGGGCGATGAGAAGGGCATTGATCCGGACGTAATCGAGTACGAGGTCACGATGCATGCCCGGACCACCATTATCGGGATCAGAAGCCAGGCGGTACCAGTTGCGAGAGTTTTCAAAGTCGTACAGTCCGCTCTTGAGGGCATTTTTGAACTCCATACTGAAGAGTTAGCACTGGGAGCGGGATTTTGACAGAGACAACACACCGATCGTAGGCGGCGTAGCAAGTCTCGATATGTGAGTCCATTTCAGTTCGGAAAGTCTTGTCAAAGTCGTTGTATGGACCAGCACGCAGAGTCCCTTCCGACTTCTTCATGTCCTGTTGAGATCAGCGCAGCTCACACCTGATAGGTTTAATGGACTCACCTCGGCCCACAAGCATGCCGTATGTAGACGCAGGATGGCAGCATTGGCGACAGTCTCCTCGAAGCTGGGCGTCAGCTTGTGCAGGATATGAGATAGAAGACCCACTTGGCATCGGTGATGTCATCACCTGCATCGGCTAATGTCAGACGCATGGCGTCCGCGCCATATTTTTTGGTAGCCTCGTGCATGGTCAAGAAATTGCCCGTACTCTTGCTCATCTTTTTCCCGTTCAGCATCAGGTGTCCGTTTGTCCGCACAGCCTTGGGCCACAGATTCTCGGGGAAAAGAGCTACATGATTGTAGATGAAGAATGTCAAGTGATTAGGGATTAGATCTTTGCCGGAAGAGCGGATGTCAAGAGGGTAGTAGTAGTTGAAGTGGTATTTGAGTTGAGCAAGTTTCTCCGCAGGGATATCAGAAGCGGGCAAGTCCGTCTGTCCAAGGACGTAGTCCCAAACTTCATCGGTCATCTGTTCAGGTGTGATACCCAGCAATCCAGGCTCCTTGCCGAACATGTCTTTGTGTAGTAAATTCGCTACGGTGTAGTAGGCCATGTAGATTGTCGAATCTGATAACGATTCGACGAGGACTGAAGGATCCCACGGTAACTTGGAGCCAAGACCGTACGACCTGGCGCACGCCCATTGCACCAACCAGTTCAAAACCGCCTCGAAAGCGTTACGCGTTTCAGGAATATAGGTCTCCATACGGGAGAGCAATCTAGAGTCAGCACTGTTCAAAGTCCATTCACTCACTTTTCTGCCTGAGCCTTCCAGCTTGGCTCCCCATAGTCCATATACCACTGATCTACCAAGGCCACCACACAGACATCATTACTGCGTGATATGACCTCACTCTCCGGCTCCGCGTACGCCACAGCAAGACCTTGCTCTATCATTTGCTGTCGGACTTTGGGTTTGGCATCGACCACGGGTAGACCCTTGAAATCGCCCACGAGCATGGTGCCACTGTAGAAGCCCTCCTTGTAAGCAAGGTCTTTGGCCTCAGCGAGCTGTTTGATATCTCTTTGTGATTGAATTTTCAGTTCCTTGCAGAGGACTTCGGCTGCCATATCACCGTACTTGGGAGTCGACAGTACAGGAATAGGATCCACCGCCGCCCATTCAGGCTTGATCTTGTACATTTCAGGCTTCTTTCGCAGATCCATCAAAGTGCGGTAGTCATCAGGCGAGTCGGACGGTACAGAAGTGACAACGCCGGTACCCTACTCAGGTCAGCTTATCGTTTTCGACAAAATGAAGCTGACCTTGGTTGCCAGAACACCTTCCATCGGCAGAACATACACCTCCTTCACGATCCCGAACGGAGGTGCAACCTTCGTCCCCACCAGCTCGGCCCCTGTAACATCGACGACCTTGTTGAAAACCCCCTTCGGTCGGTCAAATGTTCCCTGGAAGGCCATATTGCGGGCAGCCCGCTCAGTGACGAGGAATAGTTCAGATTCCGACGCCTCATACAGTCCATACTTGAGTCCAGTGCCTACGAAGCAGTTTGTCTGACCATACCTGTGGATCAGCCTCCGGGTTTCGTCACTAAAGGGGATTACTTTGCTCACATGGTTTCAGGTCGCAGAGTGGCGGCAACCAAGTAGACCGACTTGCCTCCGGCAGCTTGTTTGACATCACTGGAGACATCGGGCCCCCACTCAAGCATTTCCATCTTGACTGCAGTATACTCCTGGGGGTTGACGGCTTCACCGCTGGCTCGGTCGTGATCCATGCATGGTTGACCATCCTTGGGTGAATAAACCGTATAGCGTTCGCCGAATTTGATCTTGTTCATATCGTGAAGACGATTCATTTGCCATCGGATAAAGCTGTCGTAGTATGGATTGAGGTCGGCTAAAGGTCAGCATTGATCTGGCTACTGACGGGCGAGACGTACTCGTTAAAAATTGTCTTCGCCAGTCTATCCTTGCCCCCAGCTCGATCAGATCGGACTTGGCGATGGGTGGAAAGTAATGCAACCAGTACACCGGGTCTGCAAACTTTTTGATCTCATCTCTAGGAACTCCGACGAGGTCCAGGATTTGGAATTGATAAGTGAGGCCGGTGGATTTGGCATTCAATTTGCCCTTCTTGGCCTTTGATGGATCGATGGATTCCAGGGCTCTGGCAGGGGCGGGAGTGGGGAGTTTCGGCTGGGCGATGGCAGCATCTGGGTCATCCTCTGAATAGCCAGAGAAGTCTTCTCCAAACATCTCCATCTCCCTTATGAGCTTATCCGCCGAGGCCTGAAAGTCAGCTCGAGGTCACATTCCTGGTCATGAGGCATATGTATGACTTACTCTTATGGGCATGCCAGTAGCGTGGTAACCAAGAGGAAAGAGTACGTTCTTCCCTCGCATACGTTCGAAACCAGCGGCAAACTCCATCTTACTTATTGTGAAAGCGTGCCCTAGATGTAGAGTGCCGTTCATATATGGGTATGCAAATGTTCCGAACCATTTTGGATATTTGGCACGGACCTGGTCCATGGACTGACCGGATGTGAAGAAGTCTACGTATGACTTGACGCCTTCAGGAAGAGGAGGGGGATCAGAGTTGAATATGCCGGAGGACTGCCATGTTTCTTGAGCAGATTTTTCGAGCTCAATGAGATAATCTCGTTTGTCGGTCTGATCTCGTCAGCGAGAGGCCATGAGTTAAACAGGTAAAGCCTGACCTTCTCCATGACGACGACCTGACCGGCCATAGCAGCATGGTTGATGGCGGCCGCCATGTTGTTTGAAGTGTGGGAAGAGGTGTGGTGGGGTCTTGCAAGGTGGTGGTTGAACGCTCGAAATGGAGCGGAGGGCCAGAAGGATGATGACCTAACAGGTAACAAGACTGGCGCGGAACGCAACACAAATGGTGGAATGGTGAGGAAAGATAAATGTTCAAGTTCTCTGGCTAAACCTGGCAGATATATATGACGAATGCGAGGTTCAATACGCAATAGACATGTCGAGTCGAAGATGGAGGCAAGAGAAGAAAGGGGGATAAGAAAGGAAACGCAGCGGGAAATCTGTTCTGATAAGGAATTCATACGAAATTACACGTGGAAAAGCCTATCACGCTCTCATCACTTGGGTTTGTCGCAGCATGCAGCATACGCACCCCACTAGTCTGGAAGGACCAGAATCCTCGGGACGTTCCGTCTCTGGCTCTCTGGTAGATGACGAGCTCCTCGCCCGCTCGCCCGAGTCGATGATCGATGAGCACAAGATGAGACGAAGCTCCGAGGAACCACAGCTGGCGGGGTGTGTAAGAAGCGTGGGGCCCCTTCGGCATCCCGGTGCGTGGGCCCCCACAGCGCACCAAACAACATGCATAACTCAACCCTTTGCAAACCATACAAGTAACTAAGTATCCCTTCTTTCCTATTGCATCATCGACTTGCACAGCATGGAAGGTCTCAACGTACACCATGGCCGTATCTCAGAATCCGAAAGATCCAATCTTCACGCAAAACACCCAGTTCCCTTGGCTCGTCCCCCAGGACAGGTTAGTACACTCAACACGACCCCTCTTCTTTGGCTGATGCTGTAGAATAACCAGGCGGCTGAAAGACGGCGTATAGCTATACTCAGCAGTGAAAACTTTGTTGACCTCTCTGGTCCATCCCCACCAGGTGATAAGGTCTCCAACGTAGCGAAAACGCAAAAGAATACATACCCCGGATCATACAACCCTCCAACTATAGTACGTTCCGAAGGACAGGGCAGACCGTTGATGTCGTCGAACATGCAGAATGTGGCTGCATCATCCTCAAATCCCGTCGACACAGCTTTCGGCTCGAGTATAGTCAAAGAGCGTAACGGTCAGCACAAGGCAGCCCTTACACCCACCGGCAAATACTCCTCTTTTATCAAGCCGGCCACTCCAGGAGCTTTCAAGCAGTCCGCCGATCCCAAAAGCTCAAAGTTTCATCCGCAATCAGATCCATTCAGGTCACAAGGAACTCACAAACAGTATGTCAATGGCTGGCCCGCTTGGGCTGCCAATGCCCCACCCAAAGGTCGAGCTTCTCCGCAGATGACAGAAGGGGAGGGTGAAGTGTTCGATCTCAACTCTGCCAAGATCACGGCAGATGACTATGTACGTGTGGAAGGAGAGGCGGATGCTCATATGCGTGAACTGTTATCTTCCGCCGTAGGAGCTGGTGAGGGCGATGTGGGCGACGACGCAGTCAAAGAGGGAGAAGACATAATAGATGGATTTGCTCAAAACGTGAGGCTCATGCCACACCAGGTTAGAGGCGTACGATGGATGCGAGGGAGAGAAACAGGTACAAAGACGGGAGGCATCCTTGCAGATGTAAGTACTCGGAGCTTCCGTCACACTCGCAAAAAACTCACGGACAGGACATGGGTCTCGGAAAGACAGTGCAGACCTTGGCGAGGATCGTTGAAGGAAGGCACACTCCGATTGAGAAGAAGACGTGGAAAGCAGGAACCCTGTTAGTTTTAATCTCGCATTGTACCTCTGTGATTGACGGTTGAGGATTATCGCGCCTTTGGCCGTCAATGAGCAATGGGCCGCCGAAATCCGGACCAAAACATCCCCTGGACTCCTCAAGGTCCGCATTCACCATGGCCCTTCTCGAGCAAAAAGTTAGTATCCTGTGCAAACCAATTCTCTTTCACTTACTGGCTTAGCCGGCAAGATTCTGGAATCTTTTGATGTTGTCATCACCACTTTTCAGACTCTAGCCGCGGAGCATGGAAACTTCCTGAGAACATCCCAGCCCTCAGTAGTCGACTCGGATTCGGACTCTGATAGATCCATCGGACCAGGACGAAGAACTGCGAAGAAAAGCTCGAAGAAATCAGCCACAAGTCCATTGTTCGAAACAAAGTGGTTGAGGGTTGTGATTGGTGAGAACCTCCTCCTGTACGCATGATCGACGTGCTGACCATGAAGATGAAGCACAAAATATCAAGAATCACAACACCAATGCTGCCAAAGCCGCCGTTGCTTTACAGGCTAAATATCGGTGGTGTCTGACAGGCACACCGATCCAGGTGAGTTATCACATGCAGACCGCGATTAAAAAAAACATACTGATGGGCAGAACAATGTTCAAGAGCTATACTCCCTGTTCAAATTTCTTCGCGCTAAACCTCTCGATGACTGGGACACTTTCAAGCGGATCGTCGCACTTGTTAAAGACGGAAGGACGAAAGTGGCCATGAAGAAACTGCACGTTGTACTGAAAGCCGTGATGCTGCGTCGAGCCAAAGATGCCACCATTGGTACGTCTCTCATCATCCCGTAATCGCAGCTGATTCACTACAGATGGCAAACCCATTCTCAATTTGCCAGGACGAACAGTCGAGGTCGTCGCTTGCCCTTTTGATAGCGAAGAACGCGCTTTTTACGAGGCCTTGGAGAAGCAAACAGCTCTGTCGTTCAACAAGGTACGTCACGAGGTACTGAAGGGATGCTATTCTGATGGTGCAGTTCCTTCGGAGCGGCACGGTAATGGCTAACTTCACCTCTGTTTTGACCATGTTATTACGTCTGCGGCAAGGTAGGTCCTTCTCATACCTCGCTTGATCTCGTACGGTGCTGACGAAACAGCATGTAATCATCCTGCACTAGTCACCAAATCCCTATCGGTCGATGTGGATGCATTGAAAGACTCGGACTCCCCGCCCAATTCTCAAAAGCCTGTGCAAGTTGTAAAAGATGAAGCGGATGAATTGGCCGATTTACTGGGAGGAGTAAGTGTGGCTTCCGGAAAGACCTGCGCAGTGTGTTTCGTCAAGTACGTCAACTTTTACTTTTTACCTCCATACTTTGCTCAGATATTCCTGCGTGGATTCTCTGACAAACAGACTACCAAATAAAGACATGACCCACTGTGAAGAATGCAACGAGATTGCTCGCAAATCTCGTGCGCAATCGGCAGAAATAGACGATGGTCTCCCTCCTTCGAGTGCCAAGATACGTATGATGCTAAAGCTCCTACGGCAGGTCGAGGCGCGTGGTGAGGGAAAAGAGAAGACTATCGTGTTCTCGCAGTTCACCAGCTTCTTCGATCTAGCCGAGCCTTTCCTCAAGGACGCGGGGATAAATTATGTGCGATGTGAGTGGGACACATGTGGTATTTGGTCAAGATGACTGATCGGGTAGACGACGGATCTATGAGGGATGACAAGCGACAAGCATCGTTGGAGACTATACGGAGCTCCAGTACGGTCAGAGTGATCTTGATCTCTTTCAAAGCGGGTAGCACAGGTGAGCAACTTGTCCATCACCCATTACGTTCTTCTTTGACTCCCTTTTTCTCCTCAGCACTACTTACTTGGCCAGTACACGTCTTCGTCGTCTTCAAGAGTAGAGTGCAAAAATGATGAGGATCGGCTAACGTGACAGGTCTGAACTTGACATGCTGCAACAATGTTCTGTTGATGGACCTGTGGTGGAACCCAGCGTAAGATTTCACAGAATAACACCGGAACCTGAAGGCTAATTGTCACAGTCTCGAGGATCAAGCGTTCGATAGAGCGCACAGGTGAGTTTTATCACTGCGTAAATCTTGATCATGCGCTAATGAGAAAGACTTGGTCAGACCAAAGATGTCAATATATACAAACTCACCATCGAGGAGACGGTGGAGAAACGTATACTTGAGTTGCAGGACAGCAAGAGGGAATTGGCCAAGGCTGCGTTGTCGGGAGAGGGAGCCAAGAATCTCAAATTGACCCTAAACGACCTAATGAGTGAGTATCGACTTCGCAACCCTCACTTGTCATATCGTCCTGAGATCGCCAGATTATCTGGATTTGTCTTTGTCCTATATATTCCTGGCAGTGGAAATGGGGCGAATGTTGACGAGCAGAACTTTTCAAGAGGGACACTCCTGCTAACGATGACTCGAATGATTCGGACAATTCAGAGTCGGATTGAGAGATATCACAGACTTCTGTGCATCACTTGCATTGTCATACAATTTGTCTAGAAAGGCTCACGCATCTGAACGACTCTCACATACCTTGCATTACATGACCACGCCGTGTCATTCCACCTAATCAGTGATGGCGTCCAATATCACATCCAGACCTTTCAACACCGGTAAAGCATCACCAGTACATATACACTCCGCCATGACCGATGCCATATCACCCCAGTATTCCAATAACCAACTCCTACTCGTCCTCAAACTACCGGAAAAGTAGACCAACAGAGGTCCTACCGTCGAGGCTGGAGTGTGAAGGACAGCTTTACCAGCTTCTTTCCTTCCTTGATCTTTCCTAGCATGTTCCAATGCCATTCTCAATTCTCGAAGGATTTTAGCTGGTAAATCAGGTAAAAGACCCGATACGGCATGAGGTTGAAGGATCCCGAATGCTGTGGCCACTTCGAGAGTGAGCAACTTTTCTTCTGAAGGTCCTGTCTTGGCGACTATCTTTTGATTTGATCCCAAAGCTGACAAGAGTGTTTTGGTGACGAGCCAATTGATGTGAGTTTGGGATTCGGCAGTATATTTATCCCTAGCTTCTGAGATTTGAGATTGAAGGACTGATTCAGTGGTGTAAACTGATTCTTCTCTTTTGATGGCTGCACGCGAGTCCTACCAGTCAGCTATCAGCTATATCTTGTCCATGTGTCCCTCTCCCCTGATTGTGCCATAGACCCATCTGACCGTCACTGCATGGGGCGAAGCGCACAAGAAGGTGGAAGAACAGAAAGGGGATTACTCACTCTACTGATCACTGGCTAAGAAGTGTCAGCGATTTCGATGTTCCCGTGATTGTCAAAGACTCACATTTCGCTCCACCGTCCCTAAGTGCCCATATATACCAGCGGCAAGAGCTTTCAGCTCCGAGTCTAATTTCGCATGTCGACCTCCGAATGTGGCGTGAACCGCGACGAGGAGATTATACACATCGATACCCTCTTGTGGTACGCTGAGAAGACGAGAAATGGCATTGAGAGCTGCATGCTGTGAGTCTTTCGGAATTTCTTGGGACAATTCAAGGAGTTCGATGGCCAGATTGGATTGTTGGTCAGAAGCCCATCCTTCCACTTTCGCCAGATTGGCCAACCCTTGAAACGTGAGAGAGAGGACGTGACCTTCGTGTGGTCTGTGAAGACCGGAGAGAATAAGAGTCTTGACGGGTTCCACGTATTTCTGGTGAAGGCTTTGGGGGAGGGCGAGGCTGGTGGTCAGCAGCTAAACAGCCAGACTTCGTGAAAGCTCGAACATCGTAATCGGTCGGATACCGGAGGGGTGGGATGTTAGTGGAGTGGGCAGAGAGGGAAAAAAGTCATTGAACCCACAGTAAATTGCTGATGATACACGCCTCGATGATGGCTCTGGTCGGATCCACATCTGTCAAGAAATCCATCAGTCCCAAACTTTGACGGATATGACTCCACGCCAATGGCTGTACGATCGCTCGATGAGCAGTAGCGAGGTGAGTGAGCAGTTTGGCAGCCACAATTTGGATGCTCGGCTCTAGACTTTGATGTAACGCTAGAAGGATCATACTGCAGGATCTCTCGTCGAGCATGCTGGCTAAAGCGGGATTAGAAAGGACGTTTAGTGCGTAATGCACTATGCGGGCGTCTGAGGTTCAGCCTTTTTCTCCATCCGGGATCCTCTCATATGAGTGCGATGAGATGAGAAGGCTCTCACCATCGGCCAGCAACAACTGGGCTGTTTTGAATGTCAGAGTCCGCATCACACGTGGTTCAGCAATGTTGGGATCGGTTACGAGGGGCAGGGCGGCCATAACGACGTTGCTGTCCTTCTCTTCATCCAGACTCCAGATGACCAGATTTTGAGCTCGGCGTGCTAGTTGTGCATCTAGCATGAGTCAGTGGGAGAGTCTGCTGAGCTGCCAGAGACAAGCTCACCTCCAAGTGGAAAGACACTTAGTGCAGCCAAGACCGCCTCATGTGTGACTGCAAGTCAGCGCACAATAGCCCACACAAGGCAAGATGCAATAACGCGACTGACATGAGCACGGCTTGCCCGAGATGAGGTCGTCGATAATGTCCGTCATGATCTGGATGGTCTTCCGAGCCAAATTTGGCAGCAAGGTAGCAATTTGCTCCAACAAGGCCACATCGGCCAAGAGGATAGAAGGTTTGCAATGCAGATACTCGATCATCGTACTCAAGGCGATGGGGCCTAGAGCGGCCAACAGTCGATTCAGTAGTAGCTGAGCAGCACGTTGACTAGTCTCAGCATCTATGATCGTCAAATATGCAAAACTCACTCCTTCGGCCGCTTATGTTCGTTCAACACTCCTAGCGCCATGGGTCCGACGACATCAAGGAAAGGTTCGAATCTGAAGATTAGCTCTGCTCATTGATCCCTCGCTGCGCGACATACCTATCAAGGAGTGTCAGAGCAAGAAGTCCAAGTCCATGCATAGCCTCTGATCGACTGTTGGAAGGCAAACCAAGCATGAAATAGACGACCTTATCGACCTGAATGTCCGTGTCGAATCTGGTTGAATCCCAATTGATGAGGATAGGCAAGGCCCGGCAGAGAGCGACCTGAGCCTCGCTTGAAACGTATTCAAAAGTAGTCTGTAGGATATCGAAAATGATGATGGGGTCGCATGTGTCTGAGAAGCTCTTGCGCAGGTCGAGCCTCAGAGCCTGTTATGATCAGTGAAAACGCCAATGTTGAGATCACGGTGGCACACCACGACGGATGATGGGGGATAGACGCAATGGAAGCTTGAGAACTAACCATTGGCATGTTCTCGATGATGAAGCAAGCCCAGATGACACCTTCGTGCATCGCCATGGCGTCCGAACACAAACTAAGGCTATCTCGAAGTAGGCGGTGAGTTGCCTGGAGCACATACTGCGATGAAAGTCGTTCAGGGGAATATAGCTGCATTCCGCGTAAAAGTGCCGTACGAGAGACCAACTTGTCCTGAACATCAGCGGTATTGATAAGACGACAAGCGACAACGTACTCGACTGGCAAAAGCGAGTACTTGAACTTGCTCCAGGAGAATAGAGAGTTTGAGTTCGAATAAAAGGTGATTTGACCTGTCGACGCCAAGGAGTATAGCCAGAGCAAGACTAGATGAGCGGGGGTCGCCTCGTAGCAAGCTCCGCGTCAGCTATTCGGACATGATGGAGCGACAGAGCTTACAGATTTTCAATCGCCAAACCGATAGCCTCGGTGGTGAGAGGCGACATAGCCATCGCTTGACCTGATCTATGAGTGTCGTCAAAAACAGATACTTGTGGTGACCCACCGTAGATGTATGCGGCAGCTAGGAGATGATTCTCCCCGAATCGCTCATCGAACACCAAGCCTTCGAGCTTGTCGCAGACGTAGGCATGCACCTCTTGCAGTCCCTTGAGCACTGGGGCATAGAGTTCTAGAGTATCGACGATTTTAGCTATGGTCAGCTCTGGCGACTGAAGTTGAGGTAAACATACCAAAGACATTGAGGGCTTTGACGACGCTCGCTCCAGTATGTTGTTTGAGCAAGAGCTCGAGTTTTTCCTTCTGAGCGATCCATTCTGCGGAGACGGCCAGTTGAGCCCCGAGAGGCGCCTCTTCATTAGCGAAATTGAGGTAGAGAATGAATGCACGCACTTCGACGGCTTGACTGTCAAGGATTGCTGGGAGTCGAGCGAGACTACAAAAATCAGCCATGATACGATCCCTGCAAGCAGAGGAAAACGACACTCACTCATCTTCGCTCGATATGGGGGTGAGGATTTCCCGAAGGAAAGAACTCATGACGACCTGCGGGGTGTAGATGATCAGTAAAGGGTCAGTATATGCACTCGGCCAAGTCAGTAGGAGAACAAGAGAGACGTTGGAAGGCCTTGGGGTAGCTTGAAGGGGCCAGTATAGTAGAAATACACTCTTTTGATGTGAAAAGACAAAGGACGAATGGATGGCGGCGGAGAAAGAAAGAAAGAAAGATGGGAAACGATACTAAGTACTTTGGGGAACGAAGCGAAGGCCAATCCAACCTCTCTCCCTTCTCACACTACTACTACTTTCTCCTATCCTTCTATCTTGTCGTCATCCTATCACTACATCAGACTTGCATCGATGACCTCTCAAGATGACGGCGCTCTCGCTATCGCAAATACTCTCTATCCACCCCCTCCCGTCTACTTTGCCGATTTCACCGATTCCAACTTGGCCCGACTTTCCGAGCTTGGCGGGGAGGCCAGCGGTACAAACAAAGGCCGTGGTCTCGATCCCAAGGCGGAATCAGGAGATGACTCTCCCATGGTCCACACTGGCGAGCTGAACGCAGCTGAGCAGACCGAACTCGCTGAGCTAACACTTAAACTCACTTCCCCCAACGTGAAATGGATCGAGGAGGATGGGAGATGGATGTGTTTTGGGCAGATGTATACGGTGAGTTCATTCACCCTCACCGCCTTGCTTGCCCTTTCTACTTTTCCCGTGCAGTCATTCTGACAGCTTCCACTTTACCCTTTCACATACACGAGAAGAGACAATCTGATGCTCAGGTGGATCCGGTCATCCCCACAGCTGAATCCATCAATTTGAAAAACTATGTCGACCCAGTTGAACCACCTCAAATCTCCCTCCCTCCCATCCTGCACTCTTTCCTTCACACTCTGATGTGTCTGATCGACACCTTGACAGTCCCTGCCCGAATACCCGGTGAATTGGAAGCGAAGGGTTGGTCTCATGAGGGTGATCAGGTATGTCTGTCTAATCATACTTGCACCGAATAAAGCTGATGATCGGTATATCCAACATATGACCAACTTGGCCGCCAACATGATGGTTGCCGCTAATCAACTGAGAGGTGTCCAAGTCAGTGGTGTCTCTCTACCTTGTTCCACACGTGCTGATCATCTAGGCAGAGGCGACGCTAGTGTTACTCATGGAAAAGCAAGTCGCAGAGAGAAAGAAGCAGACCGAGACATTACGAGCGTGAGTCTTCTCAGTGTCATGTGTGACCTGGCCGCAATGGGACTGATGTCAAATAGTAAATGCTCTGCTATAGCGACGACGCTGAAAACACTCCGAGCTATCAATGTCACGACGACTGGGCTGGCCGCTGGGGAAGAGGGCATCGCGGTTGGGGCAGATCGATTGTAGTAACGACATGTGACATGTGGCATGAAAATCGCACCCTCTTCTGGCTTCTGGACATTGTATGCTGTCATACCAGTACTACTACTAGTATTTGCTGTCTTGCACGGAGTGGTATCCACCGCCTGAAGGAGCCTTCTAGCAACAATTTGGCTGCGAGCGGGATCAAAACCTGATACGCTATGACGTATCGCCACTCGTTGGCCATATCGCACATTGCCCCACCTGCAGCCACCTGCAACCCGTCTCGTCATTGCATTCCCATCATATCTTTCATTGCCCATCTTATCATTATCTGACTCTAACACATCCCGATCTAGCAACATGTCCGATCCTGTCGCTCCAGTCACCGCCCCGGCCCCGGCCGCAGGTTACACGATCCATGTCTCTGGTCTCGCCCCTGAGACGTCAGAGGAGAAATTGCACGACTTTTTTTCCTTCTGCGGTAAGCTCGTCAGTGTGAAGAAAACCGGGGAGACAGCAGAGATTACATTTGAAAAGCTGAGCGCTATGAGAACTTCTTTGTACGTCTCTTGTTCCCTTTTGTCGCCACTTTGTCAAATTTATCACTATGCAGATACCCAATGCTGATCAAGACAGAATGTTGAACGGTGGTACTGTGAGTTCACCCGCCGCTCCGGCCCTTGCACGTTACGTATGTACTGACATGAAGCTTGACGGTGCACACCTCGAGGTCACCTCTACCACTGAGGAACCCAAGTCTTCTGTGCTTCCCACCGGCACCACTGGCTCTACTCCCATTGGCGCTGGGGTCGTGCACGATCTCACCCAGGAGGACAAACCCAAAGTAGGTCGATTGACATGCGGGCCGACACCCCACGTACCCAAAATCTTGTAGGCTAGAGGTTAATCATACAGGCTGCCATTGTAGCTGAATACCTCGCACATGGTTACGTCCTTGGTGACCACATCGTTCAGCGGGCTATCGACTTTGATCGTGAGCGTTCTTATCCTTTCCCTATATCTTGATCTTGTTAAATCCTCCCTTACAGTCTCATCCCATCATCTGTCGATTGTCATCGTGTATCCCTCTGGCTGATATAATTTAGATCAACAGGGTATCTCTCACAAAGTGCTCGACTTCTTTGGCAAATTAGACAAGACCGTCGGTAATCGTGTCATTGGTCAGGACAAGACCGTATCTGCAAAGCTCAACGAGCACGCGGCGTTTGTCATGGCCAAGACCAAAGAGGTGGACCAACAACGTGGAGTGTCTTCAAGACTGCACGAATACTATCAGAAGACTGCTGGTACCTCCATCGGTTCAAAGTGAGTTCAAAGTACTCGGGTCCTACAGTCACTTTTCTGCTGCTTGATAAATCCCAAAAGGGAGGATTCTGATGGTTAGGTTCATCAAGTTTTACACCGATACTCAGAAACAAGTACTGGACGTCCATGAGGAGGCTCGTAGGATTGCCGTGAGTTTACATCCTCCCATCAGGAGCGCTCTTCACTCACAGGAGAAACAGGATGATAAGAAACGTCAGTCCGTCACGCCCCCAACCACCGGCACCGCAGAACCTGCCGCAGCTCCTGTCGACGCCAAACCGGCCGAAGCTACTCCCGTCATCGCCGAGCCAGGCGCGGCCCTTCTCTGAGCCTGAACTCGTCTGAAGTGCGGTAAGAAGTGGAATATAAATGTGTAGGGATCGTGTGTAATGCATGCTACATTGCTGCAAATATGGCCGCAGTTTATTGCAGAAAATGTCCAGTACACTTTCTAGTCGACGGCAGCATTCAGCGTTAAGTAGCAGTCATGCAGCAAGCGGGAACATACACACACATGATACGACATAAGATGCATGTTGAATGTCATGCGCAACTTGATATGAGAGTACAGAGAAATCTAGGCTACAGAGAGCCATGACCAGCAGTCCCAGAGTAGTCCTGATCGAGTTATCTTTCGGTCGTAAAAAAAAAAACCACCGTTCCCTCTTGGAAAGGAGGAAGAAAAGACGTCACCAAATTGCACTAAAGTCAATCGTGTGTGGATCTCGAGTCGGACCGCTGAATACGAAAAACACACTTGACGACCCCCACGCTCATGCCAAGTCCTGATCCCCCGACATGCCCTCCACGTTTTCACTCTCCTTCCTCAACGAGCAGGGGAGTGCAAGTTGAGGAAGGGGAAAAAAAGACGTTTCTACGGGTGCTGGATGAGCGTCAGGGGTAGACGCATTTCTGGTCGAGCGATACCCATCGTTAAATGGGAGACCTTTGGGTCTTGTACATTTGTTCAAACGAACAAAATGGGGGGTTGGAATTCCAGGACCTTCCCGCTCGTGAGTGTAGGGGTGTGCTATAGGTCAATATTTGATTTCACTGAGTCATTCGCTGGGCCATCTGAGCACCAGCAGATACGTTTGTCATCAACCACGGATGTTTTGGTGTATGGTTATGGAGCGAAAAGTATTTGGAGGTTGAAGGGTGATTGACGATGATGTGGTTTGGTGGATGGAGTATGAATGCGAATGGGGAGATCACGGGGTGTGAAGAGTTATGGAAAATCACTCACATACCCCAGTTTGTAACGAGCCATGTGACCTTGGGACTGTTTCAAGTCAGCTCTGCCTACCTACTGTACGAGTGGAGATCGAGTGGAGAGGATCAGAGGGAGCGACTTGCCTGCTGGTGATGGAGAAGAAAGAGGAGGTCATTTCGACTGAGCGTTAAATAGAGTAGCCTCGACTGTTTCCTCACGTGATCCCGGCATTTATCGGCGTTACGCATTCGTAAGTAGAGGCAGCCCAAGGTTGCACGCAGCTTGCAGCTGTCTTAGGCTTCTAGCCGTGCATCGTCAAGCATATGTTCATCATCATGCGGCATCATGTCCTTATCCGGTCCATGCTACATTTACATTATTTGTCCTCACTCTTAGCAGCGCTCGGCGCGTACTCTTCCTGTCCCGGAGGGTGTGGCATATTCTCGTGCTCTCGCACATTGTAGAATACTTTGAGAAACTGCTGGTCAGCTGCATCGTTCGAGGCAAGAGAAAAATGTGCTACCTTGGTCCTCGCACCCTGTGCGGCAACACCCTTGTCCTGAAGATCTTGATCAGTCATGATGACCATTTCCTGCCACGTAGACTTGTCAAAGTTGCTCGTGTATTTCTAAGTGCATCAGCACACGATCGAACCAATCTTCTTTGAACAATCTTTCCGAGGACGTCATTCTCATAGACAAGAGCAACTCACATGCAGCCTCAATACCCTCAACCAGCCAGGTATATCCTGTATCACCTTCACCTCCACATCATCGGGTCCTGCTACACCTCCACCACTCCCAGCACCACCTCCAGTGGTGGCCCCTCCTGGGGACGGGCTGTGACTCTTGCCCAACATCGGACTTCTCCTTCCTGACCCAGCTCCACCGAAGCCTCCCAATCTACCTATTCCGCGTCCATTGGGAGCCAATCCTCCAGGCTGCCCGTTGTAAGCCGCAGAGGCCATGGCGGCCGTATTGAGCTGCTGCTGAGCTTGAGCCAGAGCCAACATCTGTGCAGCGTTCGTCCCCGCCAGTGGGTTCAATCCGAGACTGGCAAAGTTCATCCCCATTGCACCCATGCTGGAATCAGATCCAAGACCGAGGCCGCCGAGCCCAAATTGATCCATCACCGGACTACGAGCCCATTGTTGATTGAGCAAGGGGGAGGAAAGAGCCTCTTCGAAGCCGGACACGTTTCGAGAAGTGGTTCCAGCACCAGGTCGTCGAAACTTGCGAGCGTCTTCCAGATTGACCCGTCCGCCCGGCTGGCCAGAAGCAGCCATTTGCAGAGACGCCATGTTGATGGCAGCTTGGAGATTGTCGACTTTGGGATCGGTGAACATCGGAACGAGAGGTGTGTTCGACATGCTGGCCCAGCTCCCGCTGTTGAAGAAAGGGCTGTTCATCGGAGAGTTACCACCGAGGTCGGGAGGAGCCCCAATACCTAAACCGATTGTACTACCGGCAGCCCCTCCAGCAACGCTGCTACCACCGGACAAGCGTGGGGATTTGATATCTCCATCTCTGGCCTTACCGGAGAAGTCGGCGCTTTTGGGTCGAGTGTCGGGTGCTGGGCTACCACTACGATTGCTAGCTGATTCAGCTCCAGGCGACGTGCCACGCTCGATGACTTGATCAAGCTGACCCTGCCACCTGTCACTAGGCTGCAAGGTACCCGGAGCAGATATCCTATTCCTACCCTTTTTCTGAGCGACGGCGTTGGGATCAAAGACGCTATCCGGAGCGAGGTACTGGTTGAGATTCGGAGAACCGGTAAACCCACTGCCACCTCCAGCGGACGGCGACTTAAGGTTCATGCTGGCGAGTTTGGATTCCATTTGAGCTTGCATGCTCATATTGGCGGCAGCTGGGTTCGGAGACAAGACAGCCGTCATGGGATCTTGTTGAGCCATGTGATGAAGCACGGAGAGGAAGAAGCGGATCTGTACGGGAGTGGAGTGCTGAAGAAGGGAATAGAGTGCGGCCGTACGTTCAGCTTCAGAGAGTACGCGGAACCCTGATGATGAGCCGGAGAGCCATATCTAAGGCAAAATCACTGACATTGTTCAATAGCTCCAAGCTCTTCCGTAAAGTTTTGATCAGTGGAAGCAGCCGCCATCTCTTCAAGAGTCTGTTCCCAACTGGCAAGATGCTTGAACCACAGGTCAATTTGTTCGGCTGAGCTCATCAGTCTCAATTGGTCAACGTCTATTCGACCCTGACGCACCTTCCGGAGTCCTAGCATCACGAGCCGCTCCACTTGGGAGAAACTCTGAACTGGGCCTTGGGCCCGCTGCTCCCGATACGGCTCTACCTGCCGCTCCCAAGCTTGGGCGCGGTCCCACCATGCTCTCCCTGTTGCCACCTGCGCCCAAAGCTACACTGGAGCTGACGTGCCGGGGATGAGGTCCACCGGTCGAAGGAAACGTCGGCGACGAGACACCGAGAGAACCAAAGCCACGCGGAGCACCGGAAGCGGCAGGAGGAGGCCCAAGGGATTGTCGAGTCAACTTGGCCGGATTGGAGTTGTTGACTGGAGCGGGAGAAGGTGAAGGTGAAGGCGAGCGATGAGGACGGAGGGTTTGAGAAGCCATGTTGAGAGACAGGGAGTTTAGATTATGGTTGAGTGATTGAAAGTGACCAGCCGTCCCTGTCGGACCTGCACCTGCGTGTCGTCAGTTGCCAACTGACAGTTGGGAGAGAAGGACGGAAACGATCTCTGATGGTTTGCAAGGAGAGCTCCAAGGGGTGAACTGGGGATGAGAGAAAGAGGATAAAAATGAAGATAGAGAGAAAGAGAGGGTCAATGGCCAAGGACGTGCGACGAGGATGGCAGATATGTAATGGCGATGAGGACCTCCCTTTGAAGACAACTCCACGCGACACGGCTACAGCTGTGCGGGAACACTCACCTAAAGATGGGGTAAAGAGCGACGTGTAACAGAGATAATCCGATGTTAAATTTGATAAGAGAGATCAAGATGTATGTAGCGAAGGGGACAAGAATGATGATAGATAGTGAGGAGAGGAAGGAAAGAAAGACAGAAAGAGTTGTTGAAGAGTGGCCAAAAGTGCTCGGGCCCACAGCAAGGCTTTCGTGTTTCAGGTTTGACAACAGCGGTCGCGCCTAACTTTTGACGCGCCTATTGCTGGGTGGTCGGTCTCAACCATGAACCACCAGATGCATGCGAGATTGAATTCTGATCCCATTATGTTCTATGCTCAAACGTAAATCCATGACTGATGTACACTCTATCAGCAGCCCTAGGTGAAAAGAAGCATCGCCTATTTGGCAGTACTGATACTATCACTTCAGCCGAGATCTGGCAGCTTTCACAAGAGGGACAACTCACGCAGCCTTGACGTAGTCCGCAAAACTAACCATGCAGATGGTCTGCCAAGCTCCTGGATTATGAGTATAACCCCCTCAATCCAAAATAGAAGAACTCACCGAGGCCGATACGAGGGGAGACACCTCGGTATAAGCCCTTGATACCGTTGTTTTTGTAAATATACGAGAGTGTATTCAATACGGTCTTCTTCGCAGGTCTCGTGGGATCATTGGATTTGATTGCAGATTGCATCTGCAAATCAGTCCCATCCCTGCCAGGTGCGGCCCCGAGCCGAGGGAGGTGAGACATGACACAGCTCAAATACTCACCTCTACCCGTACGACCTCAATCGGCTGATTCCATGTGGCTAGAGCGCCTCCAATCGTACTCGCCAAGATTTTGTCCATCGCCGCAAGCTTCTCCCCCTCCTTGATACCTTTTGCGTTGCGCAGCAAGTTCTCAGCCAGTCGCGCAAATCCAAATCTTGATCCCCAGTTGGTCGCTTGTCTCACGGCCACGGCGTTGACACCCTTATTGATACCCGCAATGCCCTCCCGTTTGTATATGTCGGCGAACACCTTGAAGGTAGATTCGACAGGGGCACCAACTTCCATCTGCTTGTGTCGTGTGATTTCGACAGTTTTCATGCAGGTGCAAAAGCCTGCAGATCAGTCCTACACCGTTGCGCGATGGTCGCTCGGCGGCGATGTCAATCATGAAGCAGTTAGGTAAAGTGAGAGCACAAGGAAGATGAGAAGAGAAGTCTGACGCACCCATGGTCGCATATGCCTGAGCAACACCTCCCGTGATGCCTCCCACCATCCCTGCGCCCGCTGTGGACATGCCAAACGACTGTATGGCATACTTTTCCACTTCAGATGAAGTAAAGATGAGCACGGCACCTTTGGTCGAGGCCTCTATCCAAGCCTTCCGGATCAGCACCTGATGATGACAATAGAAACCACTTACCCATGGTATCAGTCCCTGGTAAAAACCCAAGACGCCCCCTCGGGACCAGACCGTTCTGAACGCAGTAGCCATGGACTGCGTTCTGTTGGCAGCCATTTGGGTTTTCAGTACTTCTAAAGGCTGTCCCAGCGTCGTTACCTCGAACATGTTCATCGTAGCCCCTAGCTCTTGTCAGCATGCTGCATGTTAATCATGCCAGACGAAGCTGTAATGTAAAGGGGGTGATGGCCCGAGCGCAGAGAGGATGCCAGCTGATTGTGCTCACCGACAGCAATATTGGACCAAGAGAAGCCTTTTTCCATGGGAGCCATGGTGAAGGAGGGACGAACAGAGGTGACGAGATGAGAGGGGGGCGTCGAGGGATGAAGAGTAAACTTTATAAACGTATAGGAATGTACTCTGTGAGTGACCAGGGGTTTGGCAAATCCCCCCACGATCAGTGGTCCGACGCTTTGGGGGCGGAGCCCCACCGCCAAAGCTCCGAGCCGGAGGGATTCTTATCAGTCCCTCTACACGCAAAAGGCCACATCATCATTGGACAAATTGTCGCAGTTAGCCCAGCTAGGACATGGAGCACTACTGGCGCGGCGCACTGGGTTGAGTGGAAGTGACGACGACGACGATGCGTGAGATTTGGCGTGCATAACCAGTCATTGTACACATCCATGTTCGAGACGCTACAATCTCCTCTACTTGGCTTTGGCAGCCTCATCCGCAGCCTTGGCTTCTGCCCTCTTCTTCCTGGCGCCCTCGTGTCTCTGATCAGCACGGGCAAGGCGGAGAGTGCTGTACGCGTTGACTTCCTGCTCTTCATCCGTGATGGCGCGAGGCGCTTCCGGAGTGTAAGCGGAGGGAAGAGTGGGGAGAGCACGAGTGATGTGTGCGGTGAGGTCATCGCCCTGAGTGTCAGCAGAGGATTCCGACCACGAACAGAGAATGATACCTGGCCGTTGGGACAAATGGCAAAGGGGCACAGATAAAAATCAGAATGGCTCGAACAACACTCACGGTAGCATCTCCTTTCTTGGGCTTGCCGGCTTTGCGGGGGAACACCACAAGCCTTGACCTGTATTCCTTCAACCTGTCCACATTCACAGTCTGTCCCTCCTCCGATTTGCTTCGCCTGCGATGGTCGACAACGATACCCAGGCCCTTGGCTTCTTTCTTTCTGATGCCAGCGAGTTTGAGTTCGGAAAGGGTGAAACCGCGGCCTTCTGTGAGCAGTCAGCAGTATGCTCATTTATGCCTGCACCGATCTCTACCCATATTCTATGAGGTTGGATGATAATGTTATCGTTGGGGGAAAAACCAATAGCACCACAATAAGAGAGATCGCTCACCCCTGATACGAATGTTGTATCGTTGCGTGGGGCATCGGACGGCAGGACGGAGACGCTTGAGGGGTCCGGCGCCGAGGGCAAGAGCCTTTTTCGACCTAGCAGAACGACGCGACTTCTTCCTTCCAGGTTGGTCGAACTGACAGCGTCAGCTCTTTCTTCCAGTATACACCCAGAAGACTCACCCATGTCTTGACTCGCCGCTGCCAATCCTTGTGCTGGATGTATCAGCACCGCCTCGAACAGAACCGGACTGTAAAACGACATTGGAAAATTTCAAGGGGGTAGACGTACGAAGTGATTCTTGGGCAACTGATTGTTGTGCTTGACCTAGACGAGTCAGCTTGCATACTACGCAAAAGTTGAAGGAGTCACCATCTTGACGGATCACTCAAGTGCAAGGATACAAGACGTTGAAACGATTGGACGGTTGGAGGGGATGACGGCAGTCGGAAATTTCGTCACGAAACGCCGGTAAAAATATGCATGAACGTGGCACTTTGGAGTACCAGCACCCGTGGGAAAGCTACCGTTCACGAACGAAACTGTCCCCAGCCTCCGGGTCATTCTTCACGCTAAACACCTTCTCGAAAAGCACTGGGCTGTCCTTGATCCTCTACTCGAGTCGATCTGCCCCTTGGGCTGCTCAGCCGTCGATATCACCGGGAAGCATATCAACATCAACGAGTTATTGGGTGGGTCGCCCATCTTCTTCCGGCTGCGGCTGAGGAGTTTTGTGGTGGGGGACCCAAGACTTGTTTGACATTCCCTTGGCTTCTCTGCTCTGTGCTTTCTTTTATCTATTCTGACATCTATGCATCCTCGTGTCATATCTTTCAATGCTCCTTTCCATTTTCATGGATCTTCCCGTTGTCTCTTCCATCCTTTCACGATCGCTGATACTTGCCCAATCTCCTACTTACCCGAGGTCCTTTTTCTCCCCTGCGTCAGAGGTCCTATACTCCGTCAAACAGGAAATATACCATGAGCCGGCAGAGACGTGGACTGCGATCCATCCCCAAATGTTTCTTATATACCCCGACTTGTTATCACTCCCTGACCCGCCGTGCATCCTTTCTATCGCCTCACAGACACGTTTCAGTCAGCTGCACCAACAGTCAATTACAGGCTTTCGATACATCTCCCACTTTCGTCCTTCAGACTCGTCATGCGGCCCTTTCGAAAACTCAAGAGCAGCTTGCAGCTCGCACTTGATCCTGAGCTAGACGAATCAGACAAAGAGGATCACTCGATGGCCGATGATGAAGAATGTCAAACCCCGGAAGATTTCGCAAGGTCAATGTACCGTTGCCAAAATTCTCAAGCGTCGACAAGCGGATGGGCCAGCGTTGAATATCGCTCCTCCAAGTGCAAGCGAACTTCGACTCGTCGCTCACACGCGACTCCATTCGTTATATCCTCTCCTGATGAAGCATATAATGCCTTCAGTCATGCTCCTTCTGTTCCCTCGGTGACGAACTCCAAGTCCACAGCAAAAGCGGTGACGTACCGGTGAGTTGTTGATACCAGATGCTTTGTTGTCAAGAGCTTACCCATTCCAGGGCTGAGATATCGGTCCCTGAAATCCCTTTTGAAACCGATGTTTCGATTTCTGGCACACAATTCACAGTCTCGGCAGCCACGACCATTTATGGTCCATCCTCTGATCAGAGATCCAACGTAACTAGCACTCCCCTAGACTCGCATGATGGCAGTAATGACGAGTACAAGTGGGAACCTCAACCCGAGTAAGTCTTTTCGTGTCAATTGATCTCTTTCATGAGCTGACAAGCTATAGTCTACCGGTAATGCGAGCTCGTGAGAGGCGCATAGATCCAACAGCCGTAAAGCATGTCATGTCTTTGTCAGTCACATCAAGGTGGTTCAAAACCAGTAGCACAAGTACGTCACAACATTAGATTCCACGTCGTTCAATTTTTCATGCCTCATGCAGCTCATGTTTCTCTCAGGTGGAGTAAGGCCACACTGTTGGAGTTTCGCTGCTCGTCGTCGGATGGATTTTTAACATAACCTGGGTTCGAAATCGATGCGCACTATCCTTCCATACTGACATGTGAAACATCGGAGAACTGACACTTCACCTGATGAGGGATGCAACATGTCACTTCACAGATAGTCCTTTCACCTATCTCCCTGACATAGCCCATGTTTGGGCGCCTGATCAGGCGGATGCAGCGTTGAGATTCGATTTTAACGACACTCGGCTCAACACGGATATCCTCTCACATCACCAATACTCCTGTCATTGACATGCCATACCTCAGCGCCAAAGACATTGGCTCTAATGAAGCACATGAGACAAATGATGAAAGATCGAGCATATTTCAAGCTAAGGAATCTTCTCTGCAGTCCTCGAGGAGCTCTACAGCGCGGGCAGACTTGAATGGTCAAATCACACCCTCGAAAGATACCGAGAGCTTGCCCATGATCCGTATTGTTTCTGCGTCGGAGAGTATAGAAGGTTTCGAGGCAAGATGCGACGGAACCAACGACTTCACCAACCCTTCAGACTCGTTTGACCATTGGATTTCAGGGTACGTCAGCGATCCATCATGTCAGGACCTTCCTTACATATGACGGATATCAGTTCATCTCCCTCACTGGAGCTCTCACAAGACCGTGGTCGTGTTCCGAGCGAATTTGGTGTCACCACCACTAGGAGGTCAAGAGGTTATCTTGAAACCGCCATAGAGAGCCTTGTACCTCTTCTGTTCGTGGGTTTATTACTATATTCAGCCACTGCAGGATCGACGACAGATCACACATCCCTCCAGCCCAGAAATAGTGTAATAACCAGGTCAATACACGACTCCTTCTCCCCGGTGATGACTGCCCGAGATCACTCGAGAGACTGGACTACCCAACAAGAAGATGCCATTTGATAATTCGATGAATCTTCTCAAGTGATAATATGCTTAATCACTTCGGTGGTCTGTTGATATCTGCTTTCGATTCACGATACATAACAATATGCATCGCTGGTGTACTGCATCTGTATCTTATCCGACGCTGAGAAAGAGTGTAGTAGTGGTGAAGGCTACGAGTAGTACTGCTCACTCATTGTGTTGAATGACCGAGTCCATTTGATTTTTCACCACTTCCACCCTGGCCTCTCCCGCCCAATCAGACTCCCCATCATCATTGATTACCTTGACGAGATTATTAAGGTCTACAAAAACATCCTTCTCTTCTCCCTGGCATCGACAACGTAGTCCAAATTCCAAGTAATTGAGGTTGCAGAATCCTCTTGTAGTGAGATCCACCAACTTGTCCTTATAGAGCTCCACGATGCGTTGCGATACAAGCGTTGGAACCTTGTCAATCTTGGCTTTGATATCTGGATCAGGCTTCAGGAAAAAGGCTTCAAGATTAGGATGACCAGCAAGGTTAGATGGATCCGGATGACACAAGTCACGCACGATAGCCTCAAGGTATTGTTGAGCTGTGGATGACTGGTGAGGTACGCGAGCGAAACGGACACCTGGACGGACTCGAAGAGGTCGTTGGTTGATATTCTTGTCGGGTTCCATGTTACGTTGGCTACTGCGTGCAGTCTGCGAATGAGGGAGTTGATTTGGAAAGTCTTGATGTTGAACGTTTGATAGCCGCCGGAGGGTCAAGCGGAGGAGAAACGGGAGGCTACAACACGGGGCTTGATATGAAGGGATGTTTTCAGGAGACAGTGTGTCAGCAATGACAATGGTTCATAAGTCATGTGCACCCTGAAGCGCACGATTCGCCAGTGCTTCGCTATCAGAGGATGTTCCAAACGTACGATCCACGTCAGTCCTATGTCTCGATCAGCATCAGTCAAGCTGAGTTCCACAGAAGTCTGGTCACTCTCGGTAAGTATTCAAACTTCATACGACACACGCCATCCCAACTAAACACTGATCAGACCACCTGATGTCTTAACCGACGGGCACGCACACCTTAAGTAGACCATACGAGAAAAATCCCCCAAGGGTATCGAAGCGCAATCCGATGATCAACAACTGCCGATCCTGCCGAGACTTGTACTGTAGGAAGATAGACACTGTAGAAACCAGATTCTCTCTACACTAAATGGCGTTGGGACAAAAATCGAAGACCAGCGCATATAAACGTGCATATGACCAGGGTCACATCATGCGCCTACTGACCGAGCTGTTTGACATGATCGAACAAATGCAGGCAGCGGGCGTGGGTCACCGAGACCAGCCATCGTAATGTTGTCCGTCTTGTGTCCGGTCCCGTGGATGGTGCGGACGGGTAGGAGGAGGTCGGTATGTCGCGTAATCATGGTACCCTGTGCCGCTTTTCGGAGGAGGAAGGTAACGATCTTGCAGATCGAGAGGAATTTCACGAGATGAGAGTGGATTAGCTGGATGGACAGGAGGACCGTATTTACTGTAAGTCGGTGTGGTTGGACTGGCCGACACTGAGATCGGGCTAGACATACTGTTGAAACCGCCATTAGCCCGAGCGACCGTCCCCAAGGGAGGATGACTCGATCCGGCGACGTTTGGATGCGAGTGAACGGTGCCCGGGAGGCGAAAAGACGCTTGGTCGTCTCCGTCGTCGTCGGAGTCTGACAACGTGAGATCGATGACATGATGACTTTGGGACGAGGGAGTGCTTGAAGACTCTGCGGTAGATCGCCCATTGAACATTGAGCCTGATCGGAGGTCGTTGACGCTTCGGGATAGTGGAGGTGGCCCAGACGGATGAGCTTGACCTTTGACACCATTGACATCGCTGTTGCCATTGGCAAGCGGCTCCTCTTCGTCTTCCGACTCGGACAACAATTCCACGTATTTGCGTTTATTGGGGGCGATTTCCGAATCTTTTTCAGGGGTCGGCGGGGGGAGGGACTTCTGCCGTTCGATCGGCTGAGGTTTCGCAGGAATATCCGACTGTTGGTCCAACCACTCTTTACTCCCGTACTTTTTATCCGCGGTATGCCACTGCCCATCGGATTCGATGATGACTTCGTCCACTTCCTCCGGGACAGATGCAATGATTTCCAAGAAGGAGCCATCAACGATCATGTCATCGAAGTTCAGCTCCTTGTTGCACATCGGTAAAGGGCAGAGCCAAAGAGGGTGGACTGCGTTGTTTTCAATCCACCATTTTGCGTCGAAGCATTGTCGATGGGTGCATTTCTTTGAACGGATGGGTCGAGTGATGCGTAGCATGGAAAGCTGTCGTCAGCCAAGTCGACGTTGTCGCACTTACCGGATCTTTCAATGACATGGTTGCAGTGCCGACAATAATGTCGTCGTCCTCGTTCTGTCGTGATCGGACTGTCATCAGCCACCGTCGTATTGCGTGCACGTACATTCTGCTCGAACATCTTGTGCGCTCGTTGGAGCCAGTTGCAGTAGGTGATTCAACAGGTCGTCTTTCGTCATCATCTCAGTGTACACCACCTGATACCAAAATCGCTACATGATTAGCGGTACCAAGCATCTAGAGCTCACCTTTGAAAGGTCTTTCCGTTTCCCAGTCGTCGGTCCCGTATGGCCGAAGCTGACTGAGATCATCCGCCCTGGAGCTCTAGTCAAGTGCCTTGATTTTTCGACATCGAGTGGTGGCGCGCTACCAGCTTTGCCACGGAGTCCACGCTCCTTGAAAGGCACTCCAAGCTCGTCGATTGAGACGTCAGGGTTATTTGGGAATTCGATTGGCATGTGTCGGTTGTTCACATGGGCGTTGGAGCCCGTCAATGGCGTTCCCAGTGGTCGATAGTAGTCGGACGAAGTGCAGAAGATGCGTATCGAGGCATGAGGGTGAGAAGAAGGATGAGAACGGGAAAAGTCGAGTTTCTGTATAATCTCAGGAGTCAAGGTAAAGTGCGCTCGTTTTTCTCGACGAATGTGCGAGTTCTCCGTGGCGGCGATGTCTGAGGTGAGCCCACATGGGTGGTGAGGAGTATCACGACTTACCTGGCAGAGGTTCCATGTTGGTCAAAGCCTTGATCGGCTTCCACATTGGGCTCGCTTTCCAATCTTGTAGAACCGCTTGACCTCCTGCTACGAGTCAGCTGGCAAGTGAGATTTGACGCAAAAGACTGACGGTTGTATAGATTATTGGCTGATGATTCGGGACGAGGCCAAGATGAAGAGGATGAAGAGGGATACGGGGCCACATAGCTTGTCGAGGGTATTCCGGCTAGCGTCAGCTTTGATCCTGCTAGGACCACTCACGAGAGGACACATTGCTGGTTTTGTGCGAGGGCACCGGGACGCCACCGAACCTAGGCGCTGGCTGTGGAGCGGTGTAAGCCTGCGTCGGGCGAGGTTGACCCAACATTTCGCATTCATAGCGTACTCTGGAGTACGTCGAGAGATCGTTGTTCTGTTTCATGACTCGAAAAGCATTCTCGATCCTGTTGGTGAGTGGAAACGAACCATCGACAAGGGAAGAGGCCTCACTTTGTCAAAAGGTCGGCCTTTCTCTCCTGGCTTCTTAGATTGAGCGAGACCCGAGTGGCTTGTTCGATCTTGGCGACGAATTGCCTGAGCTCCGCGACCCTCTGCCTGGGGAGATAAGTCTGAATGAACCACTGAGGCGATGAGCGTTACACGATTGTACGAGTCAAAGCGACGGAAAAAAAATCAAGCTCAAGTGGGGAGAGATGACCCACCTGAAAATCGTTCCAGTCGTTCCTCCGTTCCGCCATGACTCGTGAGATGATGCTGGATAGAGTATGCGATACTCTACACCTGTATGACGAGATACCAGGTGTAGCAGCGTGACATGCACCAGAGTATGTAGATAGACGAGTGATAGAGAGAGAGACGAGCTTAGCTTAGGGGCACACACTTTGGTCTCCGATTAGGGGGGGGGAGGATTTGATCCCGTGTATTGGGTCAAGTAAAGTGGTGCTGACTCAAGAGACCATAACATTCAGCTTGCATGTCATGTCTTCCACCAGTACCGCTCCCTACGATTCCATGACCCCAGAGCAGCGTCAAGCCCACGACACAGATCAGAAAGAGAAAGAAAGGCAGGAGCAAGCAGGTAGGTCATCTCGCTCAGCTCGCGGATCGTTGTCCCAGCTGACTCGCTCCCTTTTCAGCCCTTCCATACAGCTGGTCCCAAGAGCTTGGCATCGTGACCGTGACCGTGTCTCTACCCAAGGGAACTCGAGGCAGGGATGTCAACGTGGTGTTGGAGAAGCGACGGCTCAAGGTGAGCAAGGCAGTTGTTACTGTCTTCTCGGCATACCCTGACCACGCTAGGTGCAACTAAAGTCGGCCCCAGAACCCATTCTCGATGGCGAGCTATTCAATGACATTTCAAAAGATGACTCTTCGTGGACGATCCGTCAGATCATTCGTGGTGAGTCGAGCCAGGCTGACGGACGCAGAGGACGACGTGATGACCATCGAGCTGGAGAAGACCTCGTGAGGCCTTTCGACTTGACATGAACTGATCCCAGTGCTCACCTCCACACGCCTCAATGGTGGCCCCACGTCTTGACGCATCATCCCAAGATAGATACAACCAAGATCCAACCTGACAATTCGAAACTGTCAGATTTGGATGGAGACATGAGGACGATGGTGGAAAAGATGATGGTGAGCAAAGCTTCGGCGTTGACAGGCTGACGGCTGACGGCTTTAGTTTGACAATCAACAGAAGGTGGAGTAGAGCTGTGGGTGATTAAGAAGAGAGGCTGACGTCAGGCCATGGGCAAACCGACATCGGACGAGATGAAGAAGGCGGAAATGCTGCAAAAGTTTAAAAAGATGCATCCCGAGATGGATTTCAGCCAGGTGAGTGATGATGGAAGAGAAGAGGGAGCGGACGGGGCTGACGTATAGGCCAAGTTCAGCTGAAGGTAGAGCTAGCAGCTGGGTATGAAGCAGGTCGAGGATTGAGGATCGAGGGCCGAGGGAGACATTCGTACATGGTTCATGGTGCATGATACATGCAGTATGCAGTATTACAATGTTACGGACTGTGGGCGCGACCAAGTGGAGTTGGTGGTGGCTGGTGCCACGGGATTCAATCTCATAAAGCCGCGTAACACCGAGGGAGTCCCATTTAGCCACACGCGGACTGTTCCGATGATTCCGTCTCGCCGTACCGCCGTTTTTCTCTTCCTCCTGCCGTCGCTACATTCCTCCCTCCTTCTCTCATCTTTGCGATCTTTGGTCCATTCACCACTCTTCTCTCTCTTCTTTTCTCCGGTTGTACATCGGTCAATAACTGGTCAGTCTCTCTCTCCCCCTTTGCCCGCTGTCTCCCTCCTTTTGTTCCAAGTCGTCGTGAGCTTTTGCACGAGACGTATGTGGGTTCAGAGAAACGAGTAAAAGAGGAAAATTTCGACCGCCCCTCTCGACATCGATTTCATTCCAACACCAAACAATCTTCATCGTCTACCTCATCTCTGATCTCTGAACAGGTGGAGCATCTTCAAGTCCATCACTCTGCTCCTTCGGCTTCCTTCAATAACCCTCGCTGACAGCAGTAGATTCTTTCAAAATGTCGGGCGGTAAACCCAAAGATTTCTCGTCGTTCATGACCGACTTCCTCATGGGAGGTGTCTCTGCTGCCGTCGCCAAAACTGCCGCTGCTCCCATCGAGCGTATCAAACTTCTGGTTCAGAACCAGGATGAGATGTGAGCACTCTGGCAGTCATCTCGATCACCATCTGACCGTTCAGGATCAAGCAGGGACGTCTGTCCACCCCTTACAAGGGCATCGCAGACTGCTTCTCCCGTACCTACCGCGAAGAGGGTCTCACCTCTCTCTGGCGTGGTAACACGGCCAACGTGATCCGTTATTTCCCCACCCAGGCGCTCAACTTTGCTTTCAAAGACTATTTCAAATCACTCTTTGGTTTCAAAAAGTCTGAAGGCTACTGGAAGTGGTTTGCCGGTAACATTGCTTCTGTCAGTCATCCACTTCGTCTTCAAAAGCAAAGCTGATCGTCAGGGTGGTGCTGCTGGTGCCTCTTCGCTCCTCTTCGTCTACTCGCTCGACTACGCCCGTACCCGTCTCGCCAACGACAACAAGTCTACCAAAGGTGGTGGCACCCGCCAGTTCAACGGTTTGATCGACGTTTACAAAAAGACCCTTGCGTCCGATGGTATCGCTGGTCTCTACCGTGGTTTCCTCCCCTCCGTCGCCGGTATCATTGTCTACCGTGGTCTCTACTTTGGTCTTTGTGAGTGGCAAGAATATTGAAATGTGTATAGACTGACCCCGGACAGACGATTCCATCAAGCCTGTCCTTCTTGTCGGCCCCTTGGAGGGCAACTTTGCTGCCTCCTTCGCTCTCGGTTGGGGTGTGACTACCGGAGCCGGTCTTGCCTCTTACCCGTTGGACACGATCCGTCGTCGTATGATGATGACCTCTGGTTCCAAGACTCACTACAAGTCGATGATGGACGCCGGCTCGCAGATTGTTGCCAAGGAGGGTGTGCGCTCGCTGTTCAAGGGTGCCGGTGCCAACATCCTCCGTGGTGTGGCCGGTGCTGGTGTCTTGTCGTTGTACGACAAGCTCCAAGAGATCATGTTTGGCAAAGTCTACTCTGTGAGTCTCTTGACTGCGTCGCGTGTCGTGGTCAAGACCCGAGCTGATGATGTGACAGGGAGGAGGCGCTTAGAAGCTACGCTGTTAGACATGTGGGAAGATGAAGGCTACTCGTACTGTCTGCGTTCAGAGTCATTGGTATGCGGTGTTAGCCTTCGACCCAGATGTGTCTCACGTGCGTGCACCGATGTGGGTATGCGATATGCAAACATTACGAATAGATAAGTGCGCTTTGAAGTGGGGTCACTCTGCACACGTAAACGTTAGCCTGCATGCCTCGAACGCAGCTGCATGCTTGAGCTGCCGGCACACACACAACCTTGTTTGCGACTTTGTGACACCGTTGTTAGTTGCTCGTCATGTCCAATCGTTCAATGTCATGGCCCAGTCGCGACAGACCATATCATCCTCTTCATCAACATCTCCATCTATCGACGGTTTCCCTCAATTAGAGTTGGGTCCAGAGCTCGAGGCGGCTCTCGTCAAGGCAGAGAGCTTGGCTGGTCTCCTGCACTTGGACACTTCACGCCATGGTTCGTGTGACTCATCATCTATACCACCAGCTCCTCTAACTCATTCAACCGTCGACATTGAAGATATCCACTCGGTCATGCTCAGTCCGTTCAGCATGTTCAGGAAGAAGCGTTTCTTGAGTGTATCTGATCTGGTGGGCACCGTGTGGTGCGAGGTTCAAGTGAGTCCTCCCCGTTTATCCTTTTCCTGCCCTGGACATGAGTTCGCCCAGCGCCCATAAGTAGTACATCCTCGCAGTCGTTGACGAGCAGTATGACTAGTGAGCATCCCTCAAGACAATCAGCTGTAGACATGGACCACTTATACTCCCAGTCGACTACGATCCCTCCCCTTTCTGCCTGTGGACAAACGACCGCAAGTCATCACTTCCACGTCTGGCAAGGCTATCCCCATGGACAAGGTCAAGGTGCAAGGCAAAGAGCGCATCCTTCGACGAGGAGAGGTGAGTCACGCTTACATAGCTAATGCGTCTCATGCCTTTCTGTGTCTGATGTTCAACAGAAGATTCATAAGCGTTTGGAAAGAGAAATTCACCCAGAAGAGATCGCCGTGACAACTACGACTCGTGAAGACGTGTGGGGTCTCAGGTAAGTTCTTTCCCCCAGCGATTACATTCTTCACAAGGCTGACTTCAGATTCTTGAATATGCTCTCAGGGATACAGGCTTTGATCACGCTAGGTAAATGTAGGGAATTACCAGTGGTCGGATTTGTGGATGACGTCCTGGTCATGGGTGTCATCGTGGGTTTGAGTGGCTCCGTTGAGGGGCAGAAGCTGATGAGTAGGACGAATTGACTCGTCAGCCCATAGAGGATGACAAAGTACACAAGATGACCACTCGACAAACATCGCTCAATGCTTATTTTTCCCTTTCGAAACCGGACAGAGAATATAAGGAGAAAACACATAAGGTTTTCATCTCTGATTCGAAAACCCGAGCCTCTGGATCCCTTCCACGACAGAGCGACACTCTCGCGGGTCGACTCCAGGTCATGTTGTACAAAGAACTCTTCGACGGGCTCATCACTTCCAAAGCACCACTCGCCATTGACAATTCTTCGCCGCTACCCAGTCGAAGCGGATTCATGTGGAGTAGGGTATGGGAATATCTCGATCTCGAACCGAAATCCTTGTTTTCAGATGTCTTTCTGTCGGAAAGTCGAGCGATCATCTTGGGAAATGGTTTGACCTGTGGGGTATCGGACGCAAAGAATCTATCAGATATGGTCGAGGTGTGGGAACGATATGTCCCTCTATTGGGTTTGGGTAAGGGAGCAGTGTTATCCCAAGCGGGGATGATGGGTGACAAGGAGAAGACGGGACCGCTGGGGTGCAGTGAAGATCGTTTGGAACTTGTCTATCGACGGGCTATCGCCAAGGGAGGAGGACAACGGAAGAAACGTCGAAAAGAGGAGGTTTCCCATGTTGATGAGTCGCCTACGACAATCGAACGAGACAGAGACATTTCCAGGATCGAAGCAGACATCGTTGAAGATACCACCCCTCAACTCGCCCCTCAACAGAGTATCAAACTCTCCGCTCCCGATCAATTAAACGTGGGACCCAGTGAAGTAATGAACTTGCCTCTCACACGCCGGCGTAGACCTTCCAGGCGAGCGTCGGATCATTCCAGTGGTGGCCGGAACAGCGAAGCCGAAAGAGAAGAAGACGAGATAGCCTTAGCGATTGAGATGTCTTTGGGTGCTTTCAATCCAATCTCAGGGGACACGAAAACCGTCGGTGTTGGCTCTTCTCAAGCTACTTCAACTCCATCCTCTAGCATTGTCAATCCATCTCAGAGTGAGACGTCCAACATCACCTCCAACAAGGATTCTTCAGCTGCTGGGAGCGTCATTGGAAGATCCACATTCACACATGATCCACGCTTGCTCGAACAACATTTGCAATCCGTGCTGGACTTCTGGATGGGTAGACGGGAACCTGTCGGCGTGAGCTTGGAAGAGACGAGAAGATGCGGATGGTGTGAATTCGAGGAAGGCTGTGAATGGAGGTCAGTCTTGGCACTTCTCACCAGTAGTCATACTCATGAGCAGATTGGCCAAAGCTGAAGAAGCTGGAGCTAGGGCTAAACGGCGAGCAGCAATACGATCCGCCGAGGGGGTGTGAAGTCTGTTCATGTTGTTTGGATCAGTGTCTGATCTTGTTTGTCCATCATATACATCACAACCATGAGATGTATGTACATTACTATCTCAACCACCCCGCCACACTATCGTATCTGATGCAAGCGAGGGGTCATGAAGGCTCGCACCCAGCGAATGTCCCCCAGTCGCAATCCTCTCCTGAACATGCTCGTCCCGACCCTGACGATGATGAACCTCCCCACCAATCTTGACCAAAGTCTCCTAATGTCCCTTCTGACCATTGGGCCCAGTACCCATACGCCACCATTCCCCAGACAATGACATTGAGTACGACCAAGACGATGACGACAAGATCCAGCTGTTTTTGGCTTTGGCCCTCACGACGGCAACACTGACACCTTCCCACCCCCGTTTCGGCGTCTGAGCAGCCGTAAGGATCGTTCGCCGAATGGGGACAATGTGGCGTGTGATAGTGGGGTGGAGGAGCCAAGAGAACGGCATGCTCATTGACCATCGGTAATGGTGCATATTTGGGGGGAGACGAAGTGATATATGGCGGCAAGTCCACACGGATGTCCGGGGTGGATGGCGTGAAGGTGATCCATGGCCTGTTGGACTCGTAAGAAGCACCGTTGGGTGAGACGGGTGGGATAGCCGGCTGAGTCCATAAACCCTGCAGTTGAGAATGAGGGGACGGCAGAGGTCGCTGATCGACAGGCATCGGGGGGCAGATAGGTTGATGAGTCGTCATAGTGGACGGGTAGTGAAGAGGAGCGAAAAAGGCCATTTGCTTTGACATCAGCACGTATCAAGTCATATGGAAAAAGAAACTCACCTTGATACGACAGCGACTGAACCTGATGGGCGGGCGGTGGGGTCAGCTTTTATCGCAATCGAGACGTGTAATATGTGGGATGAGAGTGCTGATACGACCTGTGCATTGCGTACTTATGCGATGCAGCTATACATTGCCCAATTTGACAAAAGACGATCAACCTTTCATGTTCATCATCACTGACAGAGATAGAGACGGGTGAGATCCCTGCTCGTCGCGGGGTACCAGATGAAAGGATGACGCCATACAGACGATCCTTTTACCATCTGCTCGGGTGAAGACATCGCCGAGAGAAGGCCAACGTGTGCGATGGAAAATAAGGTCGTCATGGGTAACGATCAGAGGAAGAAGGGTAGGTACACGGCCTCTTGATTTTCCCTCGAGCGACCGACGCCATGGGAGAGTCCCGTCCGTCCACTGGTTATTCCCACAGTCTCATTTCCAAATGTCGAAGCGGTGAGATGGGCTTGATTTCTCTGAGGTCGGATTCCGGACCGACCTCCAGAACACCTTCCAGGATAGAAGAGGGGCACGTCGGCCGATAGAAGAGCTACTGGGACGTTTGTGAATAGAATGATGAAAAATAAAATCAGTGATCCGCCCACTGTCAGACTGCAGGAGCAATTTGTCTTCGTCTTTCCCTTTCGTGACGAGGTTTCCCTGCATTCCCGGGTCAGAATGATTTTAGCGGACTTTAGCTTACTTCAGCATGCTTTCCATGATAACACCGAGATGAGGAGACGCTAGCACAATCACTCACGTCTGCGTATCTGGGTGCAGCCATTCTTACTCGAAGTTCTTGGCTCCTTTCACGTCGGGTCTATCGGAAAGGAGGGGGGATGGTGGGAGGGAGTACTTATCAGTTTTGATGATTGTCCACCGTCCACCGTCCACCAGAGAGGATCGGGTTTCATTGAACCCTCTAATCTGCCCATGCGAGCATCGAAAATGAGTGACATGCAAGAGAGTAGTATGCACTGCCTGCCGAGAGGCACGGAGAGGGAAGAGGGTATGCGATGCCATGGTGTAAGACTGTCAAGCACGTCGTTCTCGCTTGGCGGCCTTCTTCTGCCGTTCGGCTTTGGCTCTGGCTGCGTCTGATCTAAGCTGGTCAGCGACACCCACAATACTGAGCGAGACCGTGAATCTGACCTCTGCTTCTCCAAGGCTGCCTTATCACGCTCCTTCCTGGCTTGCCCATCTCTCTTTTGAGCTTCTCTTTCCAACTGAGCCCTGTACGCGACTTTTTCCCTGTTGAGATTAGGGGCGAGGAGGTCAACTACAGGGTCAGATGCCCACTGCATTGGGGGCAGTGTCAATCAAACACGCACCTTCCTGCTGCTTCCTGTACTTCTTCTTCTTGCCATCGAGCTTGAGAGCCTCTTCGATCAATCTCCTTTTCTCATCTGCGGCTTTCTTCGCTTCGGCTGTTGCTTTACCCGTCCGTGCTGGGGCGGTGGGGTCGCGATCGTCGCCTTCGACATCCGAGTCTCCTTCGAGGTAGGCGTATTGTCGAAGTAAGGCGGCTCTTTGAGCGGCTGCGAGGTCGACAGGGGGGTCATCAGGAGGTGGTGATGGTATGCGGGGTGATTCTGAAGAAGAGTTAGCGGAGTTTGAAAAAAACCGAGTCGACAGTGCACGAGACCCATACGGCGGGCTGTTGAGACGACTGCATGACAGACGCACCTTGATTGACAGCCGCGGCAGAGCGAAGCCTGGTCCATTCGTCAATCATGGTGGCTAAATGTCCGTCCACCTTCTGATCCTGTGGGGGTACCTTTGGAGTCAAGTCGGTGATCGCTTGAAAGCTCGACGCTCACGTCTGATACGAAGCTTTCCAACATGCCACGAAGCCCTTCGAGCTTTGCGTCTCTGTCCAAGCCTTCTTCTTCGACAAATCGTGCCATGTATTCGACCTGTGGCCTTAGCTGCAACAAGACGATCGAAACATGTTACGGGAGAAGAACGGAAGATGGGATGAGAGACGCACATCATCCTCGGGCACAGCCAGACTGAGTGAGGCTAATTGTGAAGCGATGAATCTCTCTAAGGCCTGAGCAGAGCTCTCTGCCTGTCCCGGTGACCGCATCGTCAAGATATCCACGATTGAAAGGAGAGGGAGAGACGAAACAGGCAAAGTAAGATGATAAGTTATGGTTGAAATGGTGGTAAGTTAGGCTCGTGAGGGAGAGATCTTAGTTGGAGTGACAGCGGCAATGACATGTGGCACTGCCACTACCTCACTGATCGCTCCCGTCCCATAGGCCATAGAACAGGTGTATGTATGTGTGTATATATATGCAGATGGAATAACATAGAGTCGTCATATGCGCGTCATCGAGAAGGTTGACCACAGAATGGTCATACGTGAGATAGTACTCATGGAACGTTGGGTCCCTCTTCGTGGCCGGTCGACCGTCTGTTCGTATCACGCATCAGTCGCCGCAGTCGAGACAGCTCATCCGCTAATAATCTATCTCATCAGCGTTTTTCTCCTCATCTCAGATATCGAAGACACTGACTTTGCTGTCGCATTCGCCTCCTGACTTTCTTTCATACTTTTATCAATCTGACCTTGCAGTCCGGCAATCTTGTCTCGGAAAGCTCGACCCACAGCGGCTGATTGCATAGAGCTCGTGTCAGCCAGCATCTGTATACTGGCACGCTCCGTTCTGACGACATCAGTACCTTTCTGAATGATGTTGACTGTGACTGACGATTGCGCTTTCACCAGTTCTGTGAGCATACGCTGTTTCGCCAACTGGTAGCTAATCAGCTACGTTCACCGACACAGGGACCGGCTACTCACCGACTCGTCTCTCTCTTGCCTTGTACGATCTTGACCCTTTCTCCACTCTGCTCGCATGGCCTTTACTTCCCTGGCCCAGACGTCTCTCAAACTCTTGACACCATCTCGCAGACTGGCGCATTCACTCTCGGCCTTGTGCTGATTCGCTTGTGCTTCGACCAATTCCGTCTTCATCTGTTGCAAAGATTTCTTCGTGGACTGTTCTAAGGCCTTGCGCGTGGACAGTTGCTCGTTTAGCGCACTTTCTGCCGTTCGAGCTCTTTCGAGCATTTCCTGCAGTTGACGTTCTTTCCGGGCGATGACATTGTTCAAACCCTCGCACTGAACGCGCATCCTCTCTCGAGTCTCCTTAAGATCCTCTGTTTGCCGAGTCAACTAGAGAGTGATCAGCCACCCATCACTGATCCTCGGTTTGGGACACTCACGCTTCCGACAAGTCTCTGACATGACTTGTACTCCATTTTGATCTTTTCCAGATGAGCTCGTACATTTGCAAGCTCAGTCTGCAAGCCGTCGATGACTTTGGTACTGGCCGCACTCCCCGAAGTACTCCTCTTGAAACCGGGGCTGAGACGACCCTCTGAGGGGGGACCGAGACCATTGATGAACGCAGGAGAGCGAGGGGAATCACCGAGAAAGGGAGATAGAAGTTGTTGCTCTCCTGGTGATTGTGATCCCCGACTTGTGGGTCGAGGAATCTGAGAGGGAGTGCCATGATGAGGGGAGTTGCTCATCGTGACAGCATGAGACACGACTGCTTGAGGTATACCTGATGAGAGTCAGCTTCCCCATCCATCGTCGAAAAGAACGACATACGACTTCTCCCGTCATTAAAGGGTGAGGACGCCTTCCCCGGGAGTCATTGCTCGGCTTCGGAGGTCGTAGCTGGAATTGGACTTGGGCAATGCCCTACGAGCGATTCTGCCCTCATCTACAAGTGAGATTTGTTCTGAGACCGTCAGATGAGAGTGACATACCTTCGGTAGTGATGGTAGACGCGCCTTGCTCCAGTATAGCAGGTACAAGATCGCTACCGGGAGTGAACGTGCTACTGGGGGTGAAGGCCTCGGACTCTAGCAAAATTTGCATTTCATTGACTGGGGTCCATGGCCGAGGAGAAGCCCTGCCAGCTCGTGACAAGGGTGCTGCGCCGTTCAATGCGAACGTGAGGTCGGTCACGCGCTGTTCAGATGCCTTGAGGGAGTACTGTAGCTTTGCGACTTGAGCTTTGAGCTGTACTGCTTAGATCAGATATCATGTCCGACGACGAGGGCAAAGGAATGTTGCCCACCTGGGTCATCGCAGTTGGCCAGATCAAATTGCCTGTCTCTCAAAGACATGAGACTCGTTCGACGCACCGCCATTCTAGAAAGTGGAGGTTTGGAGATGATCACCGGACTGGACGACCTCGATCCCGAAGCAGATGATGGGCGCTGCAAAGGTGAGGAAGGTTGAAGGAAGGGGGTGGTGAGGGTGAGGGAGAGCCTCTTATTGACGGGAACGGGTATCTGAGAGGGAGGAGGGGTGGAAGAGGACATTATCCTGCCTGATATCAAAGAAAGAGTATGATGAGAGGATGCCAAGCATGAAAGAGGAGAGTACGGTACGGTACGGTACGGTACGGTACGGTACGGTACAATAGTAGTATCAGCGAGTGACAAGTTGATGCGAGTTCAACGTCGGTCACTGCTTTGACGCGACCTCGATGGCTCTCGCCGCTGTTGATCACGTGATCACTCGAACTCACCCTCCCCTCAGATTTTCCCCCTCCAACTACTCTTACTCTAGTGTATCTCTCTCACCCAGCTGCCAATCGCCGTACTCGTAAGTCATCATACTTGCCGCTTCTTCCCCTCTGAGCTATCCCTCGCTCATCAGATGCAGGCATGTCGTCAGGAAGCAGGTCCCGAAGACCATCGTCCCGAGGGCCTAGACTGCCTGCCACTCTCTTGGCCCAGGTGGCTCCTCAGTCAGGTCGGTCTCTCCTAGCAGCGGTAGATCAGTCCATCGTCTGATCCAGTAGGTATTGCCCGCCAGCGATCGCTCTTTCGCAAGCCCTCTAGCGGGTCTCTCCGTGTGCCAGCTTCCTCCACCTCGCGATATCCCAACCGCAACGAGCCTGTGCAGCATGTTGGAAGTCGTCCTAATCCCCAAGATCGCGCTGGGCCTTCATCTCGACCACAGACTGAGCGATTCCGCCAGTCAACGGGGGATGCGAAGGGCAAACGAAATGCTATTGATCAGCAACGACCTTCCGTCACAAACAACAAGCGATCACTTACGCTACAATTACCAGAGCCCGATGAAGACATCGCCGAAGATGAGGAGATCGCTTGGCTGGAGTATGCATTGCACAAAGAAAAAGATCAAGAAGGTGGGGATGACGGATTGGACGGTGAGTATGATCGACTCTTTGGTCCCCACTGACCAACAGAGCTGATATCATTCGCCGACTCGATTAGACCTGAGAAGAAAAGAAGGAAAAGAGGGTCTCCTGAGTTGGAGTCGAGCGAGGAGTCTTCTGTGAGCCACGGCGGAGACGTGTTGTCTCCATCCTCGTCCACCACTTCGACGCCGACATCCGTACGTGGCGTACGTCAGATATCTCCCTCCCCTCAATTGTATCACAGCCAAGGACACCTTGCTGGCACCGAGCACGACGATGAGCAAGGGCCGCAACGCATCGCGACCACCTCAGAGATACCACCGACAGACGCTCACCTCGCGGTATCGTCGGTCACAACCTCTCAGAGATATCTACCGCCCCATCTCCGCTCAGCTCAGCTGGCTGCAAAGGCCCATGGTGACGTGGCGGAGACCGAAAATCGACGGAGACTCGAACGAAAATCTCAGAATCTGTTGAACAAGTGAGTCAGTCACACCATGTATTCTACTCATGACTCATCAGGTAGAGTAAGCGAAGCCAGCCTTGGAAGTATACTTGCAGAACTCGAGGAACTGTACCATGCCCACAGCAGAAATGGTAAGTGATGTACATCGGGGCCCAGTTAATGACAGACGTGACTACTGTTCTGACTGACCTGATCATACAAATGATCTCGTCTCGTTCAAACTTGCTAGGGTCATTCGTCACTCTCTATGCTACTCTCGTCGGCGCTCTTTATCGTGTCATTGGCACGGAGTTTGGTGAGCCTTGTGACGTGTTTGCAGCGCAGTCGCTAACTGTCCAGGCGCCCACTTCGTCTATACCCTGGTGTCAAGATACAACACATTGGCTGGCGGATTGTCTCCACCCACTCTCCTGGCGGAGACCATCTACGAGACACCGGACGCCTCGAAAGAAGGACTCAATCTTCTCACTCTCATTGCCGAGTTGTACAACGCTCAGGTAGTCTCGGCCACACTTATCTACGATCTCATCCGGCGATTTTTGGACTCGGGTAGTGAGGCTGAAGTCATAGGAGAACAAGAAGTCGAGGGGTTGTTGAAGATTATGCAGAGTATGTTGAACATACTGCCATTCGAACGAGTAAATGACCGTTCAGGCTCGGGACAACAACTACGCTCAGACGATTCGGCCAGTCTTACGGACATAGTAGGTGTGTTGCGAGGCAAGGTCAAAGGCAAGGAAAGCACCCTGACGTAGGTCTTCATTCGAAAGGGTACGACTGACGCGTAGATCCCGTGCTCGATTCATGATCGAGACTTTGTCGAATCTGAAAAACGGCAAACAGAAATCCACTCAGAGCGATGCTCTGAGCTTAGAAAGGAGAAGGAAATTCCTCTCTGGTTTGGGCCGGAAGCAACGTCGTGAGTCATTATGTTTTGCTTTGAGGATATGTACTAACCTTAAAGTAATGGCTTCTGAGCCTCTGCGGGTCTCTTTGAATGACTTGCTGAACGCGGATGTACGCGGCAAATGGTGGCTCGTGGGTGCCGGTTGGTCGGGGAACCCGTTGGCAGAAGTACAGCCCACTCGATCGAGGAAGAAAACAAAGATCGATGAAGAACAAGCCTTGCTTAAAATTGCCCGAAAACAGGGCATGAACACGGACATCAGAAAAGCTGTTTTCATCGTCTTGATGACGAGCGAGGTACGTTTTGACCGTCTGATATCATTTTGCCAAGAATAATGAAAAGGACTACATACATGCATGCGACAGGCTGAGCGCCTTGACAATGACAGAGGTACAACAACGTGAACACGTCAGAGTTGCTTTGCATTGTTGTGGTACAGTGAGTACACTGTCAAAAGGCGAGGTGATAAAATTGCTCACTACCACAGGAAACCGTGTACAATCCATACTACACACTCATTCTTAATCACCTATGTTCCTCCTCTTATTCACATCGCTTCACTCTACAGTACGCACTCTGGGACTTCCTACGCGAGCTCGGTGAAGATATCTCAGGGGAGTCATCTCACCCATCTGGCAAACTCACTCGGTCTGTTGGCAAAGAGCGGATCGTCAACCTGGCGAAAACACTCGCCTACCTCGTCGCGAGGAACAGCATTGACCTGACCATCTTCCGTATCCTCGACTTTACCTCGCTCCAGACATCCACCCACAGATTCCTCGCCAACTTTCTTTCTGTGCTCATGCTGTCCACCCAGACCACGTCTCCTCTTTTCTCCCTTCCCAGAGCGTGGGGGTTAGAATCCATCGACCATACGGCCATCGAAAACATTTTCCATGAAATGCTCGATAAACCGGAACTCGCTCAAGGATGGGCTTTCTTCATCAAAACCAAAGCGTCAGGAAGAATGATAGAGAAGGTTCTGGATGATGTAACAGAAGGGCAGAAACATTGCATTGGCCAAGGGCTAAACATAGTGTCTAAGATACTCTCCCAAACTGTATGAATGGTTTGTAAACTTGCTTCCTACGGTATCAACAACATCTCCGACAACACTAGTGATGCATTCATATTGTTTGCCTGAATGAAACATCGAACTCACCACGACATCAACTGCATCTTTCAGGTAGTTAGCTAACACGGCTAGTTAGACGCAGGCCGTAAGCGACACCGAACAGACCGCACCCTCGGGCTCGAACACAACATCAATTACCTGTGCGGCGCTTCATACAGTGAGTGAAGCTCCACATTTCTGTGGACAAGCGCCTTGATAATGTAGTCAGCTCCCAGTCAATTGCATGTGAAGTAACATCACGTTGATCCTCCTAGACTCCTGGAAAACGCACCCTATCGGTTCTTGATCAGCAGTGTGGTATGAAGGATTCGAAGCCAGCTTCACCGCTTTGACAACCATGGCATCGCCTACGAGATCGTTCCTCTAAGCGATCCGGACGACGCGACTACCCCGGTCCGTTATATGCGCACCGTTGGGGAGGGCCCGCCGACTGGATTGCAGGTCGCAGATCGGTTGGCTTACAATCGCTGGATCATGTCGTTGACTTGCAGCTCCGGGGACCCAACGCTGTTGGTCATAAGTCGACCTTTCTCCCCAGGCTCCTGACCTATGGCGTATGGGTCCAGACCGGGTCTTGGGTATGACGAGCATCGAAGGGTCGGACCTGTAAAAACAATGTGCGGCACGGTGGAAGGCGAGTTCCGACACCATCATTAACCTAGACAAGATGAAGTCTCCCCCGGCATTGATTCTGAGCATCCCGTGACGTCCCAGATATCCAACAGACGATGCTGCATCATATAAGTGCGGCACTGTTCCAGCGTACACCGGGCCAACCAACTACTTGCTTTGTCACGTATTCAGCAGTCGCCTTTGCGTCATGTAGAGTCTGCACTGCCTCGGTGCATATCGATTTGACTACTTGACTGGCCGCATCTACAGCAGTGGACGGTGCGTCATATAGAGTTGAGGCAACGAAGTCCCCGCAGTCATTCACTGAGAGAATTCTCTGACGTGCCGCGTGTATAGCAACCGATGAGGCATCGTACAAGGTCGAGAATACAAAGTCCTCGCAGCCATTTACAGTGAGATATAAGTGCTTTGCCGCGTATAAAGCAGTCGACCGGGTGAGCGCTGCGTTGCTTCGTAGACCAGTTGGGAGTTCAGTGCATGACGCGGTATGGCTAAGTGTCGGTTGACGAAAACCGTACTCTGGTATGCCTCCCGACATCGTATACCCGGGAGCCCGGGAGGACGGAGCTGTTGGCAATGGTCTCGATTCAATTCTGCGATAGGCGGTTGAAGGCGAGAAAGGCACAGGTGATGAGCTCGCTGGGACACGGGATGAGAGTGGCGGTAGACGTGTCCGAATCGGATCGCCAGTGGACAGAGGAGGGAAGGGCCTGATGGAGGTAAGAGGTCGAGTTGGGGTAGGACTTCGGGTGGAGGTAAGGTCGGGTCGAGGTAGGACGTCGGATTGGGGTAGGACGTCGGGTAAAGGTAGGACACTGGGTGGTGGTGGTTGAGCATAAATCATACAGAGGACGGAGTGGAAAGCCGGCAGCACTAGTCTGACCACTTGCTTCGGTAGGCGTTACTGTGAGATATTCACCATCTCGGCCACGAAAGGTTATGCGCCGAGGTGAGATGGACGGCATGTCGAGGCTGCAGGGCAATGTCAGCGCGAGCAAAAATAAGAACGTCAACAGTATTTAGAGGAAGGGTGGAGGAAGCGGAGCCATGAAAAACTCACTTTATATCCCACGCCTCCTTCGTAAACAGGCAGTATAGTGAGGGTTAAGGCGTTCATGGTTGATAAACTGTGTTTGAAATTCACTGATGGCGATGCTTGCTAGACGACTTGCGAACAGAGTACCTAGTCCCAGTCAGAGGCTGCCTGGGTGCAACTTAGATGTTTATACCAAATGGACGAGCCATGTCGTAGCGATCAGGATGAGGTTGAGCCTTCCTCAAACATTCGAGGTTGTCGCGCCTTTGATCCCGATCCGGAATGACTTGGGTTGCGACAGAACGATGGCTGTTTGTAAGGGCTGACGTGGGCGACCTTCAGTGCTCCGCCGAGACAGTAGTAGACTCGCCCAGCGTCGCTGGTGCCGAGGTCACACATGCATACTCTGCCTTAAGCCTTCAAACTGAAAGCTTATTCGGAAGATGATAGGGCGTACGGTGGAAGAAGGGATAAGTCACAGATCAGGCACTGACTTCAGCTACCGAGTGATTGCACATGAGCATGCATGAACTCGTCGGCTACTCGTTACCTGGGTCAAAGTATCGCCATTGGTTTGGACGAGGCTCTTCTTCCAGAGCCTCCCACCTGAGCAAGTCAGGACACAGGGGTCATCATTTGTCACTGGTAAGACCGACTCACGATTTCCACTCGAGCATCTTTCCGGCCAGATTCTGCTCCTCCTTGGCCGCCTCGATGAGCTTCTCGACCATTCCCAGCTCGCGCTCAACGCTCGCCACGTCACCCTTCGCTTTCTCGACTATGTTCAAATTATGCTCTGTCACAGCTTGAGTAGCTTGACGATAGACAGAGGTCGACGGGATAGATGAGAGCAGGGAGAGAGTGGACGCATAGATGTGTGAGAGAGCGGGGAGGGGGTCGGGATGCGCAGGGAGACCGGTGATGCCTGTCGAAGCCTTGATCGATCTGGAATATGAGCGCGTGCGAACACTTGCATTGTGTACTGATTGAGCTTACCTGATAGCGGAGAGTAAAGGAAGAGTGGCTCTCAACATATCGTATGCTAAGTGCAAGTGGAGTACTACTACTGCAGAGTAAGTAACAATAATGAAGGGGAGAGTGAGCAGGTTGGCATGTGAGAGCCTGACAATGTCCAGATCACATCCACAATCCCAAGCCACTATACAGTTGTCAGGGTCACTTCTCAGAAAGTAACGTTCATACAAGAAGTCACTCAGTACAGTACTCGTACTCCACTCCACTACTATTATGTACGAGTAGTAGTACTCTACTCGACTCATACTATAATACTACCGTCTACTTGCTATACCTTTGAAGATGCAAGATGAACTCTTCCCCTCCACCCCCGTCTCTCACACTTCCTCCACCCCATCCCAGTCGCAAATTCTCCTTCGAAGATGCCCAATCTCGTCCGTCCATGTATGTCAGCTTGTTTAAGGGTATGTCTCATCTTTTCTCGAAACACACAGATAGCTTACTTGTATCAGAGATGGTCGACACGGTCTTGGCCTCCGAATCTTATCTCTTCACACATAGGGAGGTATCGGCGCTTCGGTACATCCTAGACCTTCCCTGTGAGTGCTCCCATGCTGCGAATTGCTGCTTAGGACTGCCTAATGTCGACAGACGAGCCAAAATACCTGCTGATTCGCTTATTGCTACGACGTCCGGGCAAGATACATTCGCTTTCCTCCCTGGTGGCTGCCTATGCGTCTGAGCTCGGCGAACAAGGCGTCGGCCGAGGCATGGAAGCTCTATTAGGTCCCATCCCGATATCGGACTGTAGCAGCCAGAACTCAACTACCGATCGTGACGAAAATCAAAAGACCATGTCACCGAAAGCACGAAAGAGACAGGCAGTTCGTCCATGGGATGATATATCTACTGGTATGACAGCAGCCGAGGAGGAAGCCGATCCAGATCTCGCCGAGGCCATACGGAAGAGCATGTGGACATTGAAGGATCCGCCTCTCGAAGTCATTACGTCGAGCCCAATCCACATTGCGATGGATCCCCATCTGCAGGCTTGTGGAGGCGCAGTCGCCCCACATACCTCCTCCATGACCCTGTCTTCTTCGCCTATCACCGCACTAGTTCACGACGAAAGCGACATGTCCTTTAGCGACATCATGACAAGTGTCTCGGCAGAGGATCTCCGTCGTTTCGCTCGACAACGCAAGGTGCCCCTGAAAGCGACGGCCAACAAGGAGGCCGTCATGAATGCTCTCACGAACCTAGCTTCTAAGCAAACAGTACTCATATTCTCCGGAGGAAAGGGCAAAAGCAGTATGCCGAAGCCACCTGCAGTACGCTCTACGTCTTGCACCGCAGAGAGTCGCTTGAAGGCCCAACTGCTTCCGTATGTAGGATTTCGCGTCATTCGACTCACACCCGAAGTACATAATCTCATCCGACGTCTGAACCTTATCTTCTCTCGCATCCCCCCGACTGCATCTGGCTCCTCCCTCATGCTCCCTTCCATACTTGTCACGTCCCATAAGCGACGCTATCCAGATTACGGGCCTCCTACGCGGTCCGTTATATGGCGTGACAGAGAAGAATTGCTGAAATGGGAAGGAGCCGCACATCTGGAGGCGGCCATCGGGGAAGCCCTTGGTGACGACTGGAACGAGCAGAGAAGCGATGCTCGAAGGGCTTGGAAGCTCGGCCAGCGGCTGAGTCGAACTGATGGCGCTCAAAAAGCCAAGCAAATATGGCAAACAGCTTGGCCTGTCTGGCAGTCACTGGTTGAAGGAGCGAGAGGCGAAGCAATGGGATCGCTTCAGGTTCGAAATTCTGGAGCCCTTGCTGGAGATCGTTTCGCCGCAGGTGAGCTCGAAAATCGGATTATCCGCTCATGCTTGTAGGTCATGTTCTCACAAGAGTCGTATACAAAGGTGCCATCGCGCTCGGAATCCTTCACGAATACGATGAAGAGTGCAAGGTTTTACGTGCCTTGCTCAGACAGCATCGTTGGCGACGCGGAAAGAGAGGGTGAGTGATGACACTGTTACGCAGAGCTGACCATCAGAGCCTGGTACGGGAGACTCGCGCTTATATTGATGAATCACTACAATGCCAGTCTTGTAGAAAAAGAGCTCAAGATGCGCGAGGCAACCCAAGTCTGCATTGATGGTCTTCTGGATGAGGACACTCATCTGAGTACGTTCGCGCTCAATCAAGAATAAAAACTGAAACTCACAGTCTTCCGGCCCTCTCTCAGCCGACGCCTCGGTAGGTTAGAAAAGAAACTGAATTTGCCTGCCGATGAACGCCACATATCTCATGCTGAGCTGGCGAAGTGTCAGATGAGGGAACTGTCGGCGACGCGTGTCTTGGAGAATCTCGGTCGTCCAAAGCTACACCCGACTCGCAGTAACTCGACCAGAGGGGCGAGCCCGGATGTGAGCGAAGATGAGTCGGCCATTGACCGAGGGCTGCAACAAGTTGGAAAGAGCGTCTGGATGGGGACTAATGGCGAGGTTACGGTCGAGGGCTGGGTCTTGGAGTGGTGGGAGCGACGGGGGTACAAGGGGTAAGCTTCCTTGTTCAGCGCGAATCTGACCTCAGGTTCCACTCCGAAGGGTCCATTCTCACCACGCTGTTCGGGTTGTTGATGTGGCCCATACTGTTCCATCCTCTGCCCGGTGCGTTCGAGACGGCGTATCAAATAGCTCCTCTGGATCTGGGCGAAGACACTTTTGCGACCGCCCGAGCAGAGCTTATCGAGTTACGTCTTATGGAAATGAGCGAGACGGCCCGGGCCATTGAGATGCTTCGCGAAGCGGATCACCGAGAACGGCCTAACGGCACCTGGGCCGTTGGTATCTCGTGGGAATATCCAGCGGACGATCTCGAGGAGATCCTGGAATGCCTTGGCGGGGCTGCCATGACGACGATATGTCGAATGCTATGCGAGGAGTACAGACACAGGGTGTCCGGGGTGCCTGACTTAATGTGAGTGGTCGTCCGTAATGTTTGCAATGAGGCTGACTTGAAGTGTTTGGGACGCTGCCAATAAGGATATCAGATTTGTCGAGGTCAAGGGGCCGGGAGACAGTCTGAGCGAGACACAGAAAGTGAGGCCACTCTGTTCTGTCTTCCTTGACGGAGCAAATCAGCTGACTGTCAGATATGGATCGATGTTCTTCTTTCAGCCGGCGTGGCAGTCGAAGTGTGCCGCGTGAAGGAGCTGGAGGCTCCGGATCAGTCGTTGAGACCGAAGAAGAAGATGAAGATAGATGCGGGGGGGACGGCGAGGAGACGTGGTAAGGCACGAGACATCACATCTGACGTGGGAGATGTTGAGACTCGAAGCGGCGAGCTGCGAGAGGGGATATGAAGAGGGCAGAATAAGGGGGGTGGTCACGAGTAGGACAATCATGATGATCTTGACGGTGTTGTACGAATAGCAAACTGTAGCATCATGATATCATATCACTGATGCACAAGCTACAAGATCCGGTCCAAATGCCCCCTGGATGTTGATTACAATACTGTTTGATATAGCGAGTAGAGTACGAGTATGAGTATTAATTATCGGATTATCGGATGGACGACCTCCACTTTTCGCCACTCCCACGTGGACCCACTTTCTACTTCATCACCACTACTACTAAACTCGGCTAAGTACTGGTACCCTGCAAAAGTTTCGCAACGCCGAGAATGTGGCACGCCCCGCACCCTGAACCCCTCGGCTTGTTGTATGTATCAATGGTAGGATCGGTAGGACATGCAGATTGCGAGACGTGTGATGCCTACTTCATATGCATAAAGGGTATCGTGACTAGAAGCGTGTCTGCAATCCGTTAACCGCTATAATCGCAAGCCTTCGGGTCTCCATTCCTGCTATCAAGCCGTTCACTCGAGACATTGGAATAGCATCCCAAATCCTCTGCATCTCCGCAAACGTCTGGTTTCAGCTCTGCACTACTACGCGACAGTTGAAACTCACCTGATCGGCTGTTGTTGGCCTACGGGTCAACTTGTCCAACTCTCGCTTCAAATCAGCCCAAAGACTCTCGATTGGGTTTAGATCGGGGGAATAGGGAGGGTGTCGGAGTCGGCAGAGTTGGAGTTCAGCTTCGGCCTGACGGGTGATAGCAGCGCGATGCGCAGGGTGACCATCAACCATGATCAGAACATCTGTGTGACCTTCCGACTGAAGTTCCATGACATAGGAATGGAGAAGTGGGCGGAGGATAAGATTAATGTATTTTTGTGCGTTGAGACCAACCGTTTTGATGGCGTTGTTTGGAAGGCGAATTTTCTCGATAGGAATGCGAAAAAGTGGCCATTTATGATTATAAGCGATGGCACTCCATACTGGGATGGTAATGCGTGAGGAATGGAAGTCGGCTTTGAAGTGTTTTGGCAAGAACTCTTCGTGGGGTCGACGTATCGTCCAATCCCGTCCATGTTTCTTTGATCCCTCCTCCACAGTACACTCATCTGTCCATACCGCTCGATTCCAATTCTGCCCCTCATTCTCCTGCGCCCATTGTTTTTGGTCTTCCACTGCATGATCTGGTAGCCATGGTTTCACTCTTTTGACCCGCTTGTGTAGATTCTCTTTATCCTCCATATGCCGCTTTACAGTGGCACCACTCACTTCTTTACCCTCATCATTCAACTCCTTCCCGTAGGTCTCCCAAGGGCAATTTGGATCCTTGTCAATCCTCCCCAGTATCACCCTTTCATCTTCGGCTTCTAATTTAGGAGGTCGACCGCTTCTAGGACGTGTGGTATGTGTCCCTGTCTCGTCTTTCCGCTGTATTGTGCGAGTGATTGTGGACTTGTTGACACCGTAAGTTGAGGCAATATCTCCGAGAGGCGTCCCTGCAAGCCGAAGCCCATAGATCTCACCACGTTCCCCTTCTGATAACCTCTTAGACATGAAGTTTCTGGATATGATTCATACAATGACATACTGAGTAGAGGTAGCAACAATTTCAACTACCAGTGCCACACTCGACACGGCATTACGGCGTTGCGAAACTTATGCAGGGTACAAGTACATTACTAACTACTTAGTACTCGCAGTCGACGGCTGGAGTGTACAGTACACATCTCAATCATAACATGTCGGTCGCATTCTCCACCCCCGCCGAGCATGCCTTCGTCGACGAGGACTCAACTCAGCCCCCGGTCCGCTCGACTACCACCCCAAGCGCTGTCCCTTCGAAGTCCGACCTTGAAGAACATTTTCAGATCTCTCTTACGGTCAAGCTGATATTGGAAGGAGATTATCAGACTGCGAGTCTCCCCTCGGCGTGAATCTCATGCATCTTGCTGATGGACAAGGTCGCTTTACAGTTTCCCGACGAATTGTTATATGCGAGTGTCGCCGTCTTCAGAGCCATTCAGACAGCCATCCAGGGCAAGGCTCAGGCATACGTGTTGGGTGATTCGACTCATGGCAGGTGGGCATTCACTTCTTTCTTTTGTCCTGCGATATTCTTATTGATCGTATAGCTGTTGTCCCGATGTGCTCTCATGCCTTCATCTCCCTGCCGACCTCCTCGTACACTACGGTCATGCCTGTCTCACACCGTGAGTTCGGCCCCTGCTCAACGCGCTGATTGGTGTCAGGACCGACGCTCTCCCTGTTTTCTATGTATTCCCTCGACAGCACCTTGATGTAATCCAAGCGGCGGAGCGACTCATAGCGACAAGTCGGCGGGAATCACAAGAGCGAAAGGGTACCATTGTGGTCTGGGATGTGTCTTTCGATTGGTTGGCCGGTCAGTCGATCTGTCGTCTTTCACAATCATAGCTGAGACCACCAGAAAGTATCGTGCAAGTCTTCACAACCAGAATGTCAGGACCTGTATCTTTTTCCTTCATCCAAAAGCCAGTTTTCGATACAGAAAGAGTGTCAAGCAGACGGACTGGCAAAGCCCCGGCGCTCAGGTTGATAGAACCTCCTCCTGGGACTCCGAGAGAGGAATGCGTCATATTCTACATCGGGCAAGAGGGACGCAGCTTGGTCAACCTGCAGATGACTAATGCTGACTGTTCGGTAAGGCTTGTTCTTTCATATGTCTGGAAAGACCGCTAATGGCAGGTCTTAGCCTACTCTCCAACATCAGGTTCGGCCAATCTTGTCTCTCCAGCCGCCTCGAAGCTACTTTCCAGACGACTATACGCAGTGCACAGAGCCATGGCTGCCGACGTATTCGGTTTGGTGGTGTCCAACATCGGTCTTGCTGCGTCCCCTTGCGTGCTCGATCAACTCCGCCGAGACCTCAAGACAGCAAGAAAGAAGTCATACACTATGAGCGTGGGCCGACTCAATCCGGCTAAGCTTGCCAACTTCGCCCCGATCGACTGCTTCGTCCTCATCGGATGTAATGAAGGAGGCGTGGTGGAGTCTAAAGACTACATGGCGCCTATAGTGACTCCTTGGGAGCTGCGATTAGCTTTGAGTGGAGCAAAAGAGTGGACCCCTAGCAACTGGACAACAGATTTGTCTACCATATTGCAACGCAAGTGATTTTCAGTACTTAGGTGGCTGCTTACTTGACTAGACGCTAAGAACAGTCAGAACGACTTGTCACTGGATCTCGAAGCAGACGACCAACCGCAGTTCTCCCTGATCAACGGCGAGTACAGGACACCGAAGATGATCGACACCGACAAGCACTCAGGGCATAGAGAAGACCTTGAAAACAATGAGGTCGCTCTCAGAATATCCAATCTCTCTATAGCCACGACGCATCCTACCGGAAGTGAGTTGTCACTATCACGATATCCTGGCGACCGGTTACCACTCATGCACCATGCTTGCACGTAGGCCAGGTTGAAGGACCGCACTTTTTCTCAAATCAGACAGAGCTGATCTCAACAGGCCAATACCTCGCTTCTCGTCAATATAAGGGCTTGGACCCACGGTACGGTCTCGACGAGCCGGCTTCATTGGAGGAAGGTTTACAGGGGATAGCTCGAGGTTACAACGGGGAGCGATCCGCGTTTTGACGGATCCCATGACCATCTTGAAACCCGTGCAGCCACACGTTGCTCATCACAATTTTCAACGTCACAACCATCAATCTCAGCGCTCACTCCGATCTGCCAGACACCATACCTGCCCGTGTCCGACGGCCGACTGTGCGCCGGACACACTCGCCAACAGCCCGGATACTGAACGCTTCATAAATGTCATGAACGAATGCGCCATCTCGACGCCGAACAAGGACGAACTCTGTATTCAGTGACATACGAGGCGATGATGTGAGTCGGCGTTAACTGAGTTGACCAGATCACCTTGCGTTTCACATGCCAACAAATGCGCCACGGTCACATGGAAAGCCGTGGAAACTGGGGGTGGGTCGTGATATATGCATCAATCTGTCATAACCTCGTTACTTTCTGCGGGTGCTCGATGGTATCAGATTATCAACGCCGAAACGTCGCTCAACAAGCGGACAGTCGCTCGCGTGCAGTCACATCGGCCGTGCTTCCATTCCTTCGGGCGGTCTGATCGGAGTTTTCCCTACCAAGTCAGCTTCGCAGCCTTTTCGTTGTATTATAGTAACTGACCTTTCCCGATTGTATTCCAATCTGTACTCAAAGTGGTACCCCCGCTTTCGGTGAACGATTTGACCATGGCCCGCTTGGTATCATCGTCCGCGTTTGCGTAGATGGACGAAAACAGCTTCTGCAAAGCGGCATCTCCCCCAGCGTTCTGCGAGATGAGCTCGTGAAGCAATGCTAGAGTTCAGAAATGAGACTCGCCGGATCTGTTGACTCTGGCTCTTGCAGCTCAACATCGACTAATTTGTCCCAATTTCTCGCGGCTTTCTTCTCACTTGTTGAAGCTGAAACGTCTTCGTCCCGGGCCAAAAACGGTGTTGCGGGCGGAGGGGGCACGGGGCCCGTCACAATACTCGGTCCAGGGAAAGAACTTTGTCCGGAGGACCCCGACGATTTTGAACGAATCAACGCCGGCCAAATGCCCTCCGACACTTTTGCCAACTGTATTTCAATCTGCCGTCAGCCACGGGAGCTGTAAGTGGCGAACAGCAACCTACTCACCTTTGATTGTAAGACACGATGAGTTGTCTTCTCAGAGTTGATCGACGCGAAGAGAGGTCCTAGGACAAAACGCTGCCATGCTTGGCCCGATAACACCTCCACAGCGATCTACCTCATGTTCAGTGGTTCGAATCACAACAAACACGCTGGCATCTCACAGAGTCGGACGAGTACGTGATTTTGACATCCTCCGCTCGCCTACCTTTGACGTAGACAGCGAGGGTGAGGGATACAGGTGACTGATAGAAATCAAAGCTGGACGTCACCCAAGGAGCCCGGTAGTAAGGGAAAGAGTATGATGCTCACCGAGGGGGAGGTACGTCTATGACATGTGACATGTCCACTGTCATGTATGTATGTGGTTGAGAGCAGCAAGCGGTCAACACGTAAGTTATCGTCGACGAAAGCTTGGGGTGATAACGACCGGGATGTGAAAAGCCACGTGGCGTAGATCCTCCCTCACCCCGGTGCCCCCGCTTTCGGGTCACGTCTCGCAGCTTTGGAACACGGGATCCAGGATCCAGGGACAGGTGAGTCTTGGCCTGGTCTGCGGGCCCGATTGCTCTCTTCAGGGCTGGACCCTTTGTGGGAGATGACTTGCTTGGTCGGGCGACCCCAAAGAACGAGTGAGGGAGAGAAAGTTTATACAGTAAGTCGGTGAAGCTCTGCTCTGGCGCCACGCCGGAAGCGTCTGTCTGACTGTTGCTGCGACCTCGAGAACACAATACTTGCTGAAAGCTGCGCGCGACATGTTTGATACACTTCCGATTTGCTTGTAGCTTTCTCACCGACCGTTACTCCACATTCTTTTCAAATATCCTCTCTGTTGCTTGACCCGACTCGCGACCTCCCTTCAGTCGAGCTCGTGTCGCTTTGGAACCTCGCCCGGCATTCACGGATCACAGATCGCAGATCGCGGATCAGCGCCCGGACCGATCGGTGATCGGTGAGGCGCACTTTGGTCTCGTTGACCCATGTCTACCTTCCTTTCACTCCTTTATCTCGCTCTCCTTCCTACCATCATCGTCACTACCGCTAATCCAGATGTCACAGTATACACGGGGCAGGCCACAGCCACCACTTCCGCAGCAGCCGACTCGACATATACCGGTCTTCCAGCCTATGACCCGACCGTTCTCACACCTCCCCCAGCTCCACAACCCCCAATCAATTCCTATACCCTTGCCCTCCCTGCTTCGGCCGCCGATCTTGGTAGCAACTACTCGCTGAGCATACCTCAGAAGGGTAATTTCTTGGGCTTCAGTATAGAGCTGTCAGTCGCCAACACCGTGCTTGGAGAAAAAGGCAATGAACTCAAAGTCCCTTTCCTCAATTACATGGCAAATATCCGAGATCGAGCTGGCGCAGGACCAATCATTCGGGTGGGAGGGAACAGTCAAGAAGGTAGCACTATCTTTGCCGATGGGTTGGAAGATGGCGAGAGTCTTGACAAAATCAAGGTCTCGGACGATGTCGTAAGTTCATCCTCCCAAAGCCCGAGCGAAGTAGCTGACGACATACAGACGGCAACACCGATAATCAACTACTCCCCCGAACTGCTCTATACAATGGCCAATATCTCGACGCTTTTGGATGTTGAGTGGTTCTTTGGTCTGGCATTCAATGAAACCAGCGTGGACGGCAATGACGTCAATATCCCTGTTGCGGCGGAGTGGGCCCAGAAGATACTTGGCTCTAATCTTCGAGGCTTAGCTGTGGGCAATGAACCTGATCTGTGGGTGGACGTCGCAAATTTTCCCTGTCCATCACCTCGTCACATCACTGGACTGTGTTCTTGCCTATCAGAACGTCAAGCTGACGGCTCGCAGGTATGTTGATCACTCTGCCCGTCCAGCCGGCTGGGGTGTGTCAGATTACGTGAACGAATACAAAACCGTGGTTGATACTATCGTGAACGCCAACGTTCTATCCAACTCTCAGACGTTCATCGGTCCATCGGTATGCTGTCAGCGCGAGGGCTTCGAGCTCGATGACGTGATCGCAGCCAGCTGGCTCAGCGATAATCAAGATCGCCTAGCAGCTGTCACCGTCCAACACTACCCCACCAACAATTGCGATGGAACGATTCAGGCACAAGACATCTTCGCCGATTTTTTAAATCACACCAGCGCTGAATCATTGACTAGTTTATACTTGTCAAATTCTGCCGAGCTGCAGGCAGCGGGGAAAGAATTAATCATGCTCGAAATGAATACTGCAAGTTGTGGGGGTTTTCCGGGACTCTCTGATAGTTTTGGGGCGGCCATGTGGTGAGTCAAAGTTGTGTCCTCCGCTGACATTCGCTGATTCAATCAGGATGACTGATTGGGCCCTTCAACTTGCTTGGGCCAACTTCAGCGCCGCACTCATGCATGTTGGTGGCCAGAACGTTTATTACAATGTGGGTCCATTTTCTCAATGCCCTGTGAGGCTCAGTAGATGACGCCCAGCCCTTCCTTCCACCTCCTTCCAGCATGGCCAAAGTTTATCAATGGACAACTGGGTCTGTCTATTACTCTACTCTGGTCATTGCCGAGGTATTTGGCTCTTCGAACAAATCCCAAGTGGTGGATCTACAAGTCGACGACGCCAACATATATCACCCCGCGTACGCCATCTATGAGGACGGGCAGCCAACTCGAGTAGTTCTCTTCAATTACATCAACGATCCAACCGGAGCTTCACAACTTACGGTCAACATTGCCTCTTCAGCATTCTCCGTGTCCGTACGGTATCTGTCAGCGCCGACTGTCAGCGAACAATATAACATCACCTGGGCCGGCCAGACGCTTGGAGTCTCATTCAGCTCCGACGGGCGACTGTACGGCACCGAACAGACATCTGTAGTACAATGCACCGACGGGAACTGCCCCATCGAGGTGTCCGCCCCCAGTATTGCCGTCGTTTACTTGACGGATCAAGCCCTGGCGGATTCGAGTGTCCCTCAAGATGCAACTAGTACATATGCAACGACAGTCGTGGGGCATGGAAGTGCAACTGTGGAGGCGGGCGCGTTGTCGACTGGTAATGGCCAAAATGCTCCATCCGGCGTCAGTGGTAGCACTAGTGAAGGAAGCACGAGCGGGTCATTGAGGCAGTATTGTACCCCTTCTTTGTGGGCAGCGTTGGGGCTAGTGATCTGGCTGTTTCCGGTGGCAGTGCGGTAAGTGGCCCGGTGGGAGAGAGGCGATTTGTGGTGTTGTAGCTTTAGTTTGGCATGCATTTTACAAGTGCGGACAGCTGATCATTGTCAGCTGTTCTCTCCTTGAACTCACTTGTGCTCGTAGCTTCGGCCTCGACTCCTCACTTCACCTACGACTCGAGCGTCAGTGAGAGCGGTGACACTTCAGGCAAACCGCCCCTTTAGATATGTTAAGCAATCATAAATATTCGAAGTGACCCTTCGAGCAGCCCAGTACATTGAAAGACATTGTCATTCTCCCTGGTGTGTGACTTACAAGAATGCATATGTATGAGATGGTCTTCCAGAAGAAAAAGATGATTCTACGACTTATCCACGATCTTTCCAAGGCGTTTCTTATTCTTCTCTTGAAATTCCACGAATCCGTACCAGCCCTGAGAGTCAGTGGTGAATCAAAGTGCGAAACAGTTGATAGCTCACTCCTCCTAGCAACGTCAATAGTATACCTATCCCATTGGTAGCGTTGATGTGCAGGTCAAACAAGACCACTGCCAACGCGATTGTGAGCACCTGTTTGCAGCTGCGCTCGTCAGAGCTCTCTTTGAGATTGGAGTAGAATTCACTTACTTTGCCGACACCGTCATTGTCAACGCGCCGGCTTTTTTGTTGGCGGTGAAGGAGACGATGTTCAAACCACAAGCAATGACTCCGTTGACAAGCAGAGCAATAGCTTTGCTTCGTGTCATCTGCGTCGCGCCGTATCTTCTCACTCGCTCCAGTTCCCCGGTATACCACCCGTAAATTACACACTGAATAAATGCCAGTGGTGACATACGCATTAATAGATCGAGTGGGTGCTGAACCGTCAGCGTCCGTGGGCTTCTCATTCGCCATGAGTCTCACCAGTCTCAGACGTCCTCCGCCACCCGTTTGTATTAAATTTGTGACGACGGTTTTGAGCGCTGCCAAGAATGTCCCCAATAGCGTCAAAATCAAGCCCCACGCGGTGAAATAGTAGTCTCCGTAGGTCCTGGAGTTCAGTTTGTCGATCGCGCCGCACTGTCAACTTACGCGAAGCCAACCCCGGCCACAACGGGGAGAAGGGAGATCAATTTCATACTGCTGAATTTTTGCCGCAACAAAACAGTGGCGATGAGGATAGTAAATAAAGGAGTCGAGGCGCGCACAACTTGGTGGAACTGATGATCAGCTCGTTGCATGCGGAAGCCGACCGCGGAAGATTGGGGACCGAGACTCACTGGGACGGTCACAAGCTGGAGGGAAATATTGGAAACGGCGATATTGATGGTGTACAGCACAGAGAAGGCAGCTAAGACCATGCTTTCTTTCTGTGTGAGACGCGCTGGAACCTTCCAAGTCAACTCTTATCTTGCATGAAAGGACATTGCCACGAGACTTACAAATGCGCCTTGTTCCAATGCGAAGTAGCACCCAGCGCATCCGGACAAAGCGTGTAAGCCGGTCAATGTCTGTCTTGTCAATTGCATGTTCATCCTAGCGAGGCGATGGAAGAACCACTCACGTAGGGGAAAGGGAAGCTGACCAGCACGACCTTGTTGAACAAGGTCAGACCAAGGTTGAAGAAGAAGTACAAACCGAGCCAGTATCCAACGGAGTCGGTGAATTTAACTTTTGGCATCGGAACGGTTGGCGTATTTGTCCCATCATGGTGCTTTTGTCCAGACAGGGGCAAATAGCTGGAATAGCCGTTTGGTTTGGTGCGATGATGGTCGTAAAAGTGTTCTACCGATGCGCCAGAATAGGTCGCACGAATGGGAGGTTCTTTCTTCCCATCTGCGGGTAGCGAAAGGGCACGATCTTCAGGTGTATCGTCTCGAAGATCGGGCGCGTCGCCGTTGGGCGAGAAAGAAAACGAGGAGGTTGAGACGATGCCAGGGTGATCGTGGAGCCTAGGAGATACGGAACGAGGCTGATAGGGGAGCGCGAGAGGGGCTGCCGAGAGACCAACCGAGGAGGGATGTGACCAGGGCTCTCTGCTATGATCGGGTCGACTGCGGACAGCCGAAGTCGACTCTGAGGTTTCATGTTGCCCATCGTGTGGTACAGAAAGTGAATATGTCAGACTTGGAGACCTCGGGTCAACGGTAGATACGGAAGATACGTATTCGGGGTGGAACTGGCTCTCACATTTGCTACCAGCAGGTGAGCCGACAGACATTGGGGGTGAGACAAGGGGAAGATCTTTGTCGAACTTTATTGGAGAAGCGGATGACGGAGTATCTGGAGGAGTAGATGGCTTGACTTGCGGGAAGTATCGAAATCCGTAAGGGTCGAGAGCCGTCGACATAGGTCGATTGCCGGCGGAAGGATAACTATGGAGAGAGATATTGATGAGGTGTAATGTTCAAGGTGACAGACACACTGGCGCGAGTACTTATTGAACACGGCTTCAGACGTCCTCTCCCTCTGTCGTTTCGTTGTGTGGTCGTTTTTGCTTTCGCTCCCTTCGTGATGAACGGGTGAAGCAGACAGACGACGACTTCCTGAGTATTGTACGTTGAGGTATGAGAGGGATAGCAATAAGATGGATCAGTTGCTCTTCTTGGCGACTAGCCGTCTAGTTGACAGTTTAAGGTTGGAGCAAAGCGCGACGGCCACGGACGCCACGTGGGACAGGGACATGGCCGACATGGCGATGTGTTAACTCAACCTTCCGCAGCATTCGGAGTTACGCTGCCCCCCTATCACTATCTCCGACGTCAATCCACAGTTGTTGCGCCACCTCTTGGAGATAGCCGGGATTTCTTGATTTGCCGTCTTTCTCTGTCTCTCTTCAACCTCCCTCTGTCGACCTCACGTCCTGTCTCATCGACTATGTCAACCTTTTCATCTTCTCCCATCGTCATAGATGGTAAAGGCCATCTGCTTGGTCGCCTGGCCTCAGTCATCTCGAAGCAGGTAAGCTGACGTCGCATCTCGTACCATACTCGTGCTGTACCAGTTATTCGTCTTGATTCCACATTCCCATGTGTCCTCCCCCTGTACGTCGTGGTGAATATAGCCTTGGTCCGGAACTTGCTCGAGTCCTCGTTCATGATATTTCTCAAGACGTAGCAGGCTCCCGCTGCTGTGACGCTGACCTACAGATATTGTCCGGTCAGAAGGTGACAGTCGTGCGATGCGAGGAGATCAACTGTTCTGGCTCGTTTTTCCGAAACAAATTGAAGTATCATGCATATCTGCACAGTGAGTCTCCGGAAGTGACGTCGAGGGGCCATGTTGATGATGAAGAACGTCATATCGTAAACCCCAAAAAGTCGGGACCCTTCCACTTTCGTGCTCCGTCGAGAATCCTCTACAAAGCTGTCCGTGGCATGGTGAGTTTCCCTTCTCGCCCTTGCTTTTAGTGTGCGCTAACATTGTGTTTCTTTGTCCCCTCCCTCCTTGCGAACCCAGGTCCCTCACAAAACACCCCGCGGTGAGGCTGCTTTGAAGCGACTGGAGTTGTACGAAGGTGTTCCCCCTTCCCAAGATCGCGTGAAGAAGATGGTCGTGCCAGCTGCGTTGCGCGTCTTACGATTGAAGCCCGGCCGCAAATACTGTACCCTCAAACGCATCTCTCACGAAGTGGGATGGGGTTATAAGGACGTGGTGGACAGGCTTGAAGAAAAGAGGAAGGTCAAGGGTCAGGCATATTACGAGAGAAAGGTAAGTGTATTATTGTCCCCACGTAATCCTCGATTGTGCTCCCCTCCGTGCCCAATTACGAAACTCTTTTGATTTTCGCTGAAGCTACAGATGGCCACTCTGAAATTGAAACAGAAGGCCTTCGCGACAGTGGCCAGCGATGAGCGCCTCACCTCCTACGGCTATTGAGTGAGATATAGTACGCTTGACGGACATGCATGTTGATACAACCTTCTCCAATCATCGTTATTCCTGTGATAAATCACCGATCGACCCCAGGTAAGGCCCATGGACGCCCAATCACTTGTAGCGCACAGTGCACAGCGTTCAGGATCGACATTGGAAGCATTTTCTCCTACGAACCGACGAGCCGACGACCCCATTATGACCTCGTGACGTACAACGACTACGACGTCTTGGCGACCACTTTCGTCTTCCACATTCCGGGAGTCAGGCGTGCATAAAACTCCAACGAATGCAGTTAGTGGTGTGCAGTGTCTTGTGCGGTCATGTGTATACCGAAACACGTGGCAAGAACGTGGCCTGCGCGGGCCTAAGTCTCAACTCTTCTCTCTATATTCTACCAAGATCCTCTTTCCATAGTGTTTTTCTTCTTCTTCCTCTTTCTCCCACACCGTTGCCTCTGCAACCGTCTCCTTTGCTCTATGCGGCCTGCTGCCATTTGCTCTACCTTCCCGTACATGCATTAAAGTCTTGTGTGCCATGCCCGCTGAGCTCCATACCTCACCCCAGATAGGCGTGTGCAACACACCTGTCACAAAGTGACAAGACAGTTTGGTTAGAGTTGGATGGGTTGGGTATTTAACCAGCGACCGACGGTTACGCTTAACTGCCGGTTAATAGGCCTTTTATCAGCACAGTGGTTCAGGCCACTGTCTCTGAAGGGCACTGTTATATCGTCCCAATGCTGGTTAGTTGGTCCTGTGACAGCACCCACATGCCTATTCTTGAGTCCCACATCCGCCAGCTCTGGAAAAGTGGACACACTTCACATCAATCTGTCACGGTCCATCTTGATCTTTTTTCCAACCTCCACCCTGAAAGCCAAATGCCAGCTGACCGCTCTTTCACCCCACGTTGGGGGCGTCAATCACGGCATGCTCCATCATGCTACAGCCCACCACCTTTCATGCAAAGCAGGCGTGCAGTACCAACACATGAGCAAGCGTAGGCAAGGCTCACAGCTGCTGAAGAAGTACCTCCCAAAGCTAAGGAACCTGTGCTTGAACACACAACCAGATTGACTGTGCTCCACAATCTCAATTAGTGTCACGAACCATGTCGTGAGATCCCTGACAACTACCATCACCGACCCTCCTTTCACCATCACCGAACCGCTAGCCATCATTGATGACCATAACCCGAACCACTGAGACTCACTACAACGAAGTCACAAGAACCTAGGGAACATCTGTCACGATAACCCCGCCTGGTGGAGAACTACAGCGAAATTAGGAGAAGGAAACCGGGAGAGTGTCACAATCGTCTTTTCTTCTCTTCTACTGACCGACGGTCGACAAACCTCGGCTAACTATGTCGTAGTGGGGCGTCGATGTCTCACTAGGACAGGGTACTTGTCGGGGAACTACGGCTAACTACGGCGTAGTGATAGGTCGAGTGGTAAGTGATAAGATGATCGTCGATGAACTGCGGCTAACTTTGCCGTAGTACGTCGAACTGCTCGGTGGTAACTCTCCTTAACTCAATGGTGGTAGCTACTGAATATATTGCTCGCTACTGACTACAATCAAGGATCGCTGAAGAAGTTCAGCGACCTGTAACCTATCTATACTACTCCTCACTTCTCATAGAACGTCTTTCAACTCCTGCACTGCCTCACGCTCAGTCCCCTTTGTTCAACCTCGCCGTACCTCGCCATATCCCCGAGGTCCTACTCCACTCACTTCGACTAACTTCGCCTAACTTCCCCTGCTCTGCTCCCCCTCGGTTCCCTTCCCCTAACTTCGCCGTAGTTCTCCGCTAGGCGGGGTCATCGTGACAAATAATACCCTCTTGGTTCTCGTAACTTCGCCGTAGTCCGTCTCAGTGGTTTGAGTGGAGGTTGGTGATGATGAAAGGAAGGTCGGTGATGGTGAAAGGAGGGTCGGTGATGGCGGTTGTCAGGGATGTTACGACATAGTTCGTGACAGAGGCAGAGTGGAGTGGAAGAAGTTAGGCAAAGTACGGCTAAATTAGCAAAGTAGGATATCAGGGATATGGCAAGGTACGGCGAGGTTGAACAAAGAGGGTGTCACGAACTACGTCATGACACCTCAATTATTCCACCAGCAATGACCCTCCTTTGACCATCAAAACCCCTATCACGTCTTAACCTCTCCACCCTACACTTAACTCAGGACACCTGAGACCAACTACAGCGAAGCTAGACGGAGTTAGGCTGAGTAGGGACAATGGAAGCAGAAGTGCGGCGATGTTAGGCGGAGTAAGTCAAAGGAGGAGAAGGATGGCCGGGGACTCGGGGAAGTTGGACGAAGTGCGTTGAAGTGCGTCAAAGCGGGAGAGGGTTGGTTGAATGTCTAGGAGGGATAGATAATATTAGCTGAGAAGATCGCTGAAGTTCTTCAGCGATCCTTGATTGTTGTCAGTAGTAAAAGACAGATAGAGATAGCTATAAATCGAGATACATCGCCATCAGTAGAACAAAACCCTAGTTAGAGTAACTACGCCGAAGTACGGCGTAGTTACACTCCTTTCGACGTCTGCGCCCTCCTGGTTGGGTGAGACGTCGACTCAGAAGCGTCAAGTTAGCCGAGGTTCGTCGACCGTCGGTCTATTAAGAAATAATTGCTTGACGGCCTTGACAGAGGGCTAAGCGCGAGGCTGTGCAGGAGTTGAGGGATTTTCTATGAGAAGAGAGGAGAAGTATAGATAGTTTACAGATTGCTGAACTTCTCCAGCAATCCTTGATTGTGGTCAGTAGCAAGAGAGATATTCAGTAGCTACCATCTTTGAGTTAAGGGGAGCTACCACTCAGCAGTTTGACGCACTACGACAAAGTTAGCCGCAGTTCGTCAACAATCATCTTATTGTTCACCACTCGACGTATCACCACGGCGTAGTTAGCTGTAGTTCCCCAACAAGTACCATGTCTCAGTGAGACATCAACACCCCACAACGACGTAGTTAGCCGAGGTTTGTCGACCGTCGGTCAGTAGAGAAGAGGAAACGATGTTTGTGACACTACAATGCCATATCTGTGTTTACCTACGTCCTACTATGACATCCTACGCGATGCGCCGGAAGTTGCTTGACTTTGTTGAAGGTGGTCAATGAGGAACTATGCAGAACATAGAAGTGCTGCAAAAACAAGAGACTGAGAGATTATGCCTTAGCAGGCATTAGAACAGAGGAACTAGAGATTAGAGAATGACTGGGGACTTATGCCTTGCGGGCATGGGAGCTAAGCACCGACATACTAGAATGATACTTGGAATTTATCCCTGATAGGCATGAGAGCAGAGGTGAAATATTAAAACACAGAAGTGGAGGCTGAACTTGTTTTGCGCAACAAGGAACACGTGATGGCATGATTCATGACAAAATGATCTTCCCACCCAAGAATCTGCCTGTTTCCTGTTGGACGTTGGAGAAGGGGTGGGTGACACTTGTCCAGGTTGTGCCCGTCTCCCTGGGAACATTTGCCTTCCGGAGGGTAGTTCACGTGAAGACCTCGCCACGTCAATTTACCCAGGTGTTGCAGCAATTGATCTGGAAAACGAGGCATTGCTATGCTCCTACTTCACAGAGAGGGCCATTCTTGCACCTCTTAACCACACGGTCGATGAGCTCAACAATGCTGTCCTGGCAAAGATCACCTTGTTACCAAGGACTTACACGTCAGCCAATTTGGCTACCCATCTGGATAGCAGCCCTTGTGCCCTCCCGGAGGAATACCTTAACACACTGCAGCCCAATGGTTTTCCCACACAAGTCCTGTCCCTCAAGATTGGCTGCCCTGTCATACTGCTCAGAAACCTTGCCCCGTCTCAAGGCCTTTGCAATGGTACTTGCCTCATTGTCACACACAAGAAATCAAGGGTGCTGTGGTCCACAATCCTTGGAGAAGCCCAAGCTGGTGTGAGCGTTCTCATTCCCCGTGTACAACTCTACGACAGATCAGATCCTGAACTGCCCTTTGCCTGTATCACCGGCAATTCCCCCTCCGCTTAACTTTTGCAATGTCTGTCATCAAAGCTCAGGGACAGACCTTGTCTCACACTGGGTTGGACCTCAGTACTCCTGTCTTCACTCACGGACAGCTGTATGTGGGACTGTCCCACTCCACCAACGTTGCCTCCACCAAGGTCTTGCTCCCACATGGGGTAGACGGTGAAACAAGGAATGTTGTCTGCCGAGAGATTTTTGACTACCTTTTGCCTTAGGGGTGATGCACATATCTCCTAATGCGGAGGGTCTGTGGAGTGCCTGTTCACATCAAGGTTCACACAGTTGCAGAGCTTGCTTGGACTGGCGACATTGAAAAGGTCTTGCAGCGACTTGAGAGTAACAACTTTTTCCCACCTGTCCTTCATCTTCAAATACTCATGATGGCTGCCCCTCAAGCATACTGCTATGTCAATCCACCACTCCTCCTCCAACTGGTCACCGCTCCAAACTCAACTCACCCGTACCAATTGACCTTTGGTTTGAGTATTGACTGCATCAACTCCAACACTCATCACCCTGTAGCAGTCCATTTTTGGACTATCAATCCACCTGTCATTGACAAAGTTGTTGATTTCTGGGGTTCACTTGCCCACAATGGAAGCTCACATGCACCGCTCATGGTTTTTGCAACATCCGTTGAGAGGTTTCAGTGGGCCAATCTGGATGGTGAGTGATCTGTCTCATGTGGGCTCCTATCTGACACCCAGCCAAAAATTACATGAGTCTTGTCCCCAAGGAGCGTCGCCCTATGATCATTGCCCAGGGTACGGTCTAGGGGCATACAGTGAACCGTCTCTTTGTACTCAAGGGACAAGTGTATGGGGTGAGCTCCTACACTGCTCTCTGGTCAATGTACGCTCATGGAAAAATAGAATCACAGACACCACACTTTCATATTCAAGGTCTGGCTTCCCAACACCCCTCGCTGGGCCAAGGTTGCCCTCCAAGCAACAACCAGATTGTTGCTGTTCGTGGCGTGTTGGATAGGCGTACCAAAAGTGGTATGTTCATTGTCAACCTGCATGACATGGCGCTCACATCACGCCAGAACACCAGAGCAACACCACGGACAACTCCTGGCTCTGTTCCCTTGCCAAAACATGTACGTTGCTCAGGAAGACATAATCCTGTACGACTGGCAGAAGATGTCCCAGTAATGGTGTGGTCCCAAGATGTTGGTAAGGGTGGCCCTTCCGGTGAGGCATGACTGTGGGAACATTAACAAAGGTGGAGATCGGTTGCCATCAACTTCAATGCAGTTGGGATCTTGATTCTCTGAACAATAACATGGTCACATGACTTGTGAGGTGTGGATTTGTCACAAATGTCACTTCTTCTTCTCTACTGACCAACGGTTGACAAACCTCGGCTAACTACGTCGTCTTGGGGCGTCGATGTCTCACTGAGACAGGGTACTTGTTGAAGAACTACGGCTAACTACGCCGTAGTGATACGTTGAGTGGTAAACAATAAGGTGATCGTCAATGAATTACGGCTAACTTCACCGTGGTGCGTCAAACTGCTGAGTGGTAGCTCTTCTTAACTCAATTGTTGTCAGTAGCAAGAGATATATTCAGTAGCTACAATCATCAAGGATCACTGAAGAAGTTCAGCGCTCTGTAAAATATCTATACTTCTCCTCTCTTCTCATAGAACGTCCCTCAACTCCTGCACAGCCTTGCGCTCAGTCCTCTTCGCTCAACTTCGTCGTACCTCGCCATATCCCCAATATCCTCCTCCGCTCACTTTGACTAACTTCATCTAACTTCCTCTACTCTGCTCTGTCTCCCTTGGTTTCCTTCTCCTAACTTTGCCGTAGTCCTCCGCCAGGCAGGGTTGTTGTGACTAATAATCTTTAGGTTCTTGTAACTTTGTCGTACTCGGTCTCAGTGGCGCGGGGTGGTGATGGATAGTGATTCAGTGATGGTGAAAGGAGGGTTGGTGATGGTAGTTGTCAGGGATGTTACGACATGGTTTGTGACAGGCTTGCCATTTGGGGGTGACCACATTCAGAAGCACAACTTTGAATGCAAATCCTCTGATATGTTTGACTACAATCTGATGTCTACATGTCCATCCTTGAATCCACCAAGGGCCTTTGTTCCTCTGATCTTTTTGTGATCTGTATTGAGCAAGCCCACCTGTACATTGTTGCCGTCCGCCAAGTCAGTCCTTCCCTCAGATTGCACGCCATTGTCCCATGATAATCTTTTGGAGCCCGCCATGCCACTTCCGCATACACATGGTCTGGTGCCGCTCCCACTCCCACTCCATATTCAGCCCACCAAAACTCACCTCCACTGATCTCTGCGGACACCTCCCTCACCTCCCCTGTGAACCTACCACCTTTACTCTTTTGAGTCCAGAAGAGTCCAAATGCCCAAGGAGATGTATCTCAATCAAGGTGGTGAATGTTGGAAAATCCATCGCAGGTGACCATTAGGGCATTTGCACCCAATGGTAAGTTGTCCGGAACTCCAATATCTATGTCCACATGAGCAGTGTCAAACCAGGCTATTCCCTCCTTAGTAGCATGTCCCTCCACCTCCTGAAGTCCATGTCAATACAACATCCCAAGACGGTTTACAAGATGCCTGGCAGCCTGAGTCATCTTTCCATCTGATAAAGCTTTCCATCCGTCTTGTTTTCCAGCTTTTGGGGTGTATTGGTCAAACCGAGTCACACCAACGGCAAAGGAGCCCTTCCAACCAAAAGCATGCATCCTCCCATGACCTCCTCCAGATTTTGCAGCTCCATTAAGGTTGATCAGATTACATGTTGTATGTGTCACCAAATCTAATGTCTTCATACACTCCAATACTTCATCCCTATCTTTGACTGAAAGACACATCAGATCCCGGAAGTTTATGATGCCCACGTATTCACCCAAACTGAGTCCTTCAGAACGTTGAACCCTTGTCAGAACTGTCACCCCCAAACCCACTGCCTCTGATAAATTAAGGTATCCAGTTTCACGAGTTTGGGGAGCCTCTTCTTTGGCAGAAAGAGAGGTGTATTGTTCAGGACAATGATTCACTGAGATGATGTGAAAGTTGGTGTGATGGATACCAAGAAAATGGGTAAGGAATGATAGTTTGTCTTTGAGAGGGAGAATCTGAGCAGCTTGAGAGAGTGCAATGTTGGATTCCATCTGCAAGTGTTGCAGTTTATCAAGGAGGGAAGGGAGAATGACATTGGCGGCATGGGTGTTGACATCAAGGGTGTGGCGGTGATCACACGCAAGACGTGCCGGTTTCCAACGTTGAGTACAGGCACATGGAACAGACTTCAAACCAGTCAACAGACGCAAATTAAAACATCAGCAGAGCCTAGTGATCACATGAGACAGTAGGTCATTGGATGCAAGAATGACAGAGAGGTAAGATTGAGATGCCCCAGCTGCCACAAGCAGCCATGCCAGATGAGAGGCAACATATCACTACCTCCATCCAGCAGACATCCCCCACCAAAGCAGGAGACTCCAGTGTCCCCGCTAGCTTTCAGAACCATGATCCCTTCTACGTTCCCCCTACACACACCAGAAGTGAACTTCTACCCGGCGTGCAGCGGTCATCTGACCGAGACTTGCAGCCAAGGGCATGGACAAAGATCCTGGTCAACCGGCAAATAAAGCCAGGGGTGGACTTGTACACATGCGCGAGCATCACTTCTTCAGTGGTGGGAGTAGGCAGGGTAGTCATAGGCTGATGCCAGAGCGTGGGTAGGTGGGGGATGCGGGTAGTCATTGCAGAATTTCCCCCTACAACTAGACCCAACCAGCTTGAACTGGCCGGATGCAAGCCATAGGTGAACCCACCTGGCTGAACCTCCAGCGTGAACTGGAGAGACACTTGGTGGGAGAGGAAGGGAAAGAATGGAGTTAGATGATAGAGAGGTTAAAGGGAAGATCAAAGAACTGAGACCCACCGTTGTACCATCTTTGTTCTTTACAGCCTCTACCTTCTCCAATTGGTCATTGACCAATGTGTCACAAAGAGTCATTGAGGAATATAGTTTTGGAATAGGAACGGAAATGGTGTTGGACGTGTCTGGGCATCAGCTCTGTACTAGACATGTGAAACTTTCAGTTGGATAGCTCTGAGGCAGGGATGCGTACCGGTGATGATTCCTCTGTTGATACCCTTTGATGACCCCACCAATAACCCCACCAATAACCCCACCAATAACCGCTCCAATAACCCCTCCAATAAACCCTTCAATAACCTTGTTCATACACTCAACTGGTGCAGCAGACTTGACTGGAGCAGCAGATTCAACTGGTGCAGCGGACCCGACTGGTGCTGGCCCTGCAAGCGCTGGCCTATCAGCTGATCCTCTTTGACAAGTAACTCGGTACTCACCCCTTGCCTCTCTTGCACTCTGTCTCTGTCCTTGATTCTTCTTACCCATGATTGGTCAAACAAGATTGAATAGATGAAGACTGAAAAATGGACGGCAAGGGGTCCTTGATGTTTACTTTTTACCCAATCAATCCCCACCACTTTTTGTGGGCCCATGAGGCCGGAATCCCCAACAGTTCGTTTTCCGGTTTCCAGTTTCCCCTTCCGTGTCCCGCCGCAAAGTGGCGGATCCACTGCTAGTCTCGTACTTTCAACCAATGTTCATCCAACATCAATAGACATTGTCACTCTCTCCCACCCACACCAGACAAGTCATAGCCTCAAACACTGTTCCATTGTTCTCAGAGCACTTGATTACCCCTTTTGACTACTGTTAACCACTTAAATATCTTGTCATATTGACCTTCTGGTGGGTACCTCCTTCTACACTTCTCCTCAGTGTCACAAACCATTGTGACATCCCATCATCACCACTTCACCACCTCTTTTGGAACGGTAAATAACCATCACTAACCCCTGACTATGACCTCCATTGGATCCGACAATCACCAAGACATTGGACTAAGTGCAACAAAGTTTGACGGGATGAAGGTAGGGGTGTGAAGTGAGACCAACTTAGGCAAAGTAAGGTTAAGGGGATCAGGGTGTCAAGGATACTGCCCACCCTGGGACAGAGGACAAAGGACAAGGGGACAAGGACAAGGAGTGACAAGGAATATACTTCTGATAACAGGACTGAGTCCAACAAGGAACGGGACTGTGACCCAAGGAATGTCTCTGGCTTGTCTAACAAGACTAGGAAGGACTTGGACTGTAACTGTAACTGGACTGGACTGGACTCAAAGAAAGGGTGGCAATGGAAATGACTTTTGATCAAGAACTAAAGAAGAAGTATGTAGAACTATGAGGGGTTTATATCTATAAAACAGGTGTTCTACCAGGTGGAGTTGTCCTGCGTAGGAAACTATCGCAATACTTGCCTTCCTCACTGTTTTCTGGCTCACAGCAACTGACTGCGCCCAGTTCTTGCCGTGCTGCGTATAATGCACTGTTGACTGCATGCAGACGTACACATGACGACGTAAACCATACATTTGCCTAAAATCTAACTAAACTAAAGCCTTGGGTCTCATGCCTATTATAATAACAGATGATGTCGAGACAACTTGGGGGGATAAACCACGTGGCGAGCGGCGAGGGCCACAGGCGTAAGAAAATCGAGGGCCACAGGCGTAAGAAAATTGAGACAATAAAGCAAGAGGATAAAGCGAGAGGATAAAGCAAGAGGATAAAGCGAGAGGACAAAGCGAGAGGACAAAGCGAGAGGATAAAGCGAGAGGATAAAGCGAGAGGATAAAGCGAGAGGATAAAGCGAGAGGATAAAGCGAGAGGATAAACCGTGATGATGAACCATGATGATAAACCGTGATGAGAAAGAGAGAAAGAGTGAAAGAGAGAAGGAGAGAAGAGGAGGAGAAGGAGAAAGAGAAGGAGAGCAGGCTGTCACAACTCCACTAGACCTGCTACCTACAAGCTAGAGAGAGACAAGGGAGAGGTCACGGGTCCGCGGTCCACTAATTCACGGACAGACAGAGAAGGGAAGTAAAGCATACAACAACTTCACTACCTTCAAGCGAGAGAGAGAGAGAGAAGGGAGAGGCTACGGGTTCACGGGTTCACGGGTTCACGGGTTCACAACTTTGCGGATCCAGCTTGAGAGGCAGGAAACGGGCCTGTCAATTTGACAGGTTGGCACGCTAATAACATAACCAACTAAAGGTTCAGGTCTCTTGCCTCAAAGGCATCAGAGCAGAACTAAAACATGAGGAAACTGATACTTGTGATTCATGACACAGGGATAGCAGGGTGGAGAATGGAAGTAAGCGGAAGGGCGGAAGGGCGGCAAAGCTAGGTGGAATAAGCAGGATGGGACTGGGGATATGACAAGGTACGGCGAGGTCGGACGATTGAGGTCTGAGCGTGAGGTGGTGCAGGAGTTGAGGGATATTCTATGAGGAGAGCAGAGAGGTATAGATAGCCTACAGATTGCTGAACTTCTTCAGCAATCCTTGATTGGTTTCAGTGTCAGATGTAAAAAGTAGAATGCATAAAGAGTACAATCTTGACAGAGGTCAGATCTGAGACGAGGGAATACACGGAAATAGCAATAGCACATCAATGTGGCAGTTACCAATTGCACTATTTCCAACACCCCCACTCAAGTGGATCTGCCACATACCCCTAATGACTCCCTCAGTCTATCAAATGTATCTGAAGGGAGAGCCCTTGTCAATACGTTAGCCATATACTATGCTGAGGGAATATGTGACAGAGAGACAGGGTTATCTTCAACTTTCTCCCGGATATAGTGATGTTGCAGGTCAATATGTTTTGTCTTGTTATGATGATTTGGATTCTTGGCAAGGGCAATGGTACCCGCATTATCATTGAGAAGTTTCAGTGTTTTTTGACCAAGTCCAAGTCCCAAAGCATCTGAGAGTGGTCTTAACCACACAGCTTGGCGTGTTGCATCTGAAGCCGCCATATACTCCACGTCTGTTGTTGAAAGCGCAACTGTAGGTTGTCTCCTCCCCCCAATCTGCATCTGCGTAACCTAAAGCAATGCGGTTGCTATTCTCTTTGTTGAAGGTGTGACAAAGATCAGAAGTACCACGGATATAACGAAGTAGGTGTTTGACCACTTTCCAATGTGAGTCATTCCATTTACTGAGGAATCTAGATAAGAGACTTGCTGGGAAAGCAAGATCAGGACAAGTTATGGTTGAAGCATTAAGAATAGCCCCCAATGCTTGGGCATATGGGTAGTGTTTTGCTTCTTCATGTTCTTGATCTGTTACAGGGATTGGACAAAATCCAGAAGGTAGAGGAGTCTTTGCAGGATTGCAATCTTTCAAGTCAAATCGTTCAAGAAGTGATTCAAAGTAATGTTCTTGAGACATAAACAGTTTGTGATTTGTTCTATCACGATGAATGTTGAAGCCAAGAAAATATCCAACTGGACCAGAGTCTGAACACTCAAATTCTGAGTTAAGCGCCGCTTTGAAGTTGTCCAACATAGTTCGGGTGTTACATGCAATGAGTTGATTGTCGACATGTACAGAGAGCATGAGAATGTTATCTCCTTCACGCTTTGTATAGAAACAAGGATCCGCTTTTGTAGGAAGTAATCCTTGGGATTGTAACCACTTGTCAAGTGCTTTGTTGAAACATCTTGGTGATTGTTTCAAACCATAAAGCGACTTGCGCAACCAAAGTACTTTGTTTGCTGGGATGTTGGATCCTTCTGGTGGTTGCATGTAGATTGTTTCTTCTAATTCCCCATTCAGGAATGCCACTTTGATATCCACTTGGTCACGTTCAAGATCAAAGTGGTTGACGATTGCCAGAAACACTCGAATTGAATCTTTGTGCGCAACAGCAGCAAAGAGTTCATTGTAGTCCAATCCTTCCACTTGATTGTAACCTTTTGCAACAAAGCGAGCTTTGTAGGTAGATGGCAGACCAGTTTCTCCGTCTATCTTGCGAGTATACACCCATCTTCCCTTTAAAATGCGCATTTTTGGATCCAAGTCCACAACTTCCCAGACTTTGTACTTTGACATTTTTGCAAGTTCTTCATCCATGCTTTTCCTCCAACATTCCCATTCACCTGTATTTTGCGCTTCTCGATAGGAGTTGGGTAGATTTGTGGCTGCAAGCGCATGACCTGCATGACTGAATGATGTATCATCATCATGGAGGTTTAGTTCATCTGAACTTTCAGAGGAGGACGAGGATTCTTCATCTTGCAAATTTTGTGCAAATTGTCGTTGCACAATTGCATTTTGACGTCTGGGATCACGTTCAAGATTTCGTAAAAACTCTTGATTCTGTGCGTTTCTTTGCTCCTCAAGTTGCTCAAAGAGAGTTCGTATGCGCCCCAGTGGCTGAGCTTCATTTTGGTTGATTTCGTCTTGTGGGTCTTGCGCAATGTCATTTTGACTTTTTTCAACCCCAATTGAGATTGTTGTGAATTTTGAATTTGCTTTTTGATTATCTAAATCCCTGTAAGACGGATTTGACTGATTTTCATGGTGAATATCCGCGCCACTACCAATAATATGTGGGGCAAGTTCTAGGTCAGGAACTTCTGGAACTTTGGAGAAATCTGATTTTGTAGCAAAAATGACATCTCTTGTGATCCAAATTTTCTGTGTGACAGTGTCCAAAATGCGAAAGTTGTTTGAACCTTCTTGGTAACCAAGTAGTTGGCCCTTGCGATAGCGTTGTGCAAGTTTGTTGCTTTGTTTATGGTCACGGTGGTAAACTTTACATCCAAATGGTTGAAGATGAGAAAGTCGCTTTTCGCTTTTGTACCAAACATCATCTGGAACTTGTCGCTTTGGACCACCAGGACATCCATTGCGAGTATAAGCAATGTAATTTGCTGCTTCTGCCCAGTACCTCGCACGAAGCCCAGAATGTGCCAGAACTGTGCGAACTCCATTGAGAATTGTAAGATGAAGTCGTTCTGCACGTCCATTTTGTGTATGCGCATCTGGAGGTACTTGAATGTGTTGAATACCATGTGTTGTGCAAAAATTCCTCATTTGCGCAGAACTGAACTCTCCACCATTGTCAGAGCGCAGTGTTTTTACTTTAGTATCAAGTTGTCTTTCTACTTTTGCGATATGGTGTTGTAATTGCGCAAAAGCGTCTGATTTATGTTTGAGAAAGTAAAGATGTACTTTTCGGGTGAAGTCATCATAACAAGACAGGAAGTAAAGCGCTCCACTAAGAGATGGAGTTCTGGCTGGTCCCCACAGATCGAGATGTATGACTTGCAGTGGTTCAGTAGCACGAATTTCGCTTGGAATTGATGGTAATCTCCTCCCTTTTCCAACCACACAACTTCTGCACTGAAAATCTTTTGCATGAGAGTTTGTAAATTCACATCCTAACCGTCCTGACTTCGACAAATTGATTAAAGCGCCAACATTAAGGTGTCCAAGGCGCTCGTGCCAGTCTTGTAGGTCAGTTGTGGTCGCA